CGCAATGGGCAAAGTTGGTCCCCTCCTATTTTCAAAAGTGATTGGATCTCTTTCTTTATCAAAAACGGTAGAACTTTGTGGGGGCCTCCAAAACTCTCATTCCAATTGTAAAACTATAAATGAGGGGGCAAACTCCCCACATGCGCAAATTTTAAATGCCTCAGTCACTTTTGTTTTGCTAGCAACCTAGGCACCCTAGGTATTTAAAAGTTTCGAGTACATTCCTGTAACATATCTTTGTCTACGCAATAACAAAGTAAAAGGGGGATATTGAATAATTCCTATTGACATGGGAATAAAGTCTTTTTGCGCCTTGTTGACAGAGCAAAACTGTGTTTATTGCTGACGTCAGCGAATTATCATAATTAAATCGGATTCATAAAATAATAAAATGACCACAATCATTCAATTTCACTTTCCCGTCCACAGCGACTTAGATCTAAAAATAGATTGTTTACTATTTCTTGAATTATAAACTGTTGTGACAAAAATGAACTCATTTCTAAGAACGAAGTAAAGTCCCAAGTTTACTCGACGATAAATCCAGAGATCAAAGAATAACCCAAATTTGAATTTTCTCAATTTAATCTGAGACTGCTTGGCACCGCCGTTTATAAATAACGTTTCCCTCTCACCGTGAAAAATTCCATGCATCGCGTGTTACGAGCGAGCGTAAAATTTTCTCACCTTGCGAATAGAATGAATAAATGGGGTCGTTTGTGAAATAAATATGTTGTGCAACTTTATCTCATTGCGATGTTGCCGCGAAGTATTAGCGCAAATAGAAAACCGCATACTTAATTGGATTTAATGACTATTGGAATGCGAACGGGTTAAATTGAACCAATTCCCGGTTACAATTAAAATTCGCCCCCAAATACGCGACAAATGGCACAATTACGCAACTTACTCACAAGGTCGAACAATTTTTATCTAAAATGACGTAAATACCTTTACAAAAAGTGTACTTTTGCAATCAACGAAACCTCTAGATACAATGACGTAAAACAATGGAATGACGTCGAAGCGCGACGCTCTTTTGTTAATACAATTAGGGTTTACAAAGAAGGCCGCTGAATCATCCCAGTTATCCCATTACGTATTCCCGTAGTTCGCAGAACTGACTCGTTCCCGAAAAAAACCGTCGCGCTTCCTCCACGCGATCGGACGATAATTGTTCACCGCAAAACAATTTACGTAATTACGATAATTTACAGCGTATTTTGTTTTGTTTACTTAACGTCGATTAGATTTAGTAAAAAAAATGGTGAAAAACAAACCGGTTGTTTTTGCCAATCATTTATGTGTTTTGCATTTGTCGAGTTAATTTGTACACAATTTATCATTCATCGTAAACAAAGCGAGGGCGACTATCGACCGCTTTGCCCTCTGGTCTATCGTAAATAATATCCAATATCAAATTTAGCCCTTGATAGAGCAAAATCAATGAAAATCACAGAGACAACGAGTGTCAGTTATTTTCCTTAGTACAAATTTCCCAAAAATATGGGGGAGTTTTTTGTTGTTGTTTTCAGAAAAAATAGGAAAATGGGTAATTAGAGTATCGGAGGATGAATACGGGTGACTCCTCAAAAATTAATAAATAATTAATCATTAGGTATCCTAACATGCAGAAGGCTCAGTTCTGTCTTGCCTGATGATGAGCAATTCAGCAAAAAACGATATAATTTATCATAGATGTATCGTAAAAGAAAAATAATTATTATAATTTAACCACATTTGTATGGACATGGTTTTTAAGGTAAATACTAGAGTAGTATACAACTTTAAGACCTTCTGAGGGGCACCTCTAAAAAGCATTATGCGGGTCACTCTGTAATTGGGCGCAAGCCTGTTGAGAGCCCAGAACAAAAGAGGGATAATAAATAAATAAATAAATAAAAGGCGTCAAATCCGTTTTTTAAAATTTTCTATCGTCATAATTTTGGGATTATTCCCTTCTTTGGAGATGTTTGGACGAAAGATGAATCCACCGTTTCCTAGCAATTAAAAATATCAATCGTTCGATGGAAGCATAACAAAATCGATTGGTCTCGCCCATTTTCCTGTCCATTGATCGCCTTTTACGATCTCCAGGACGGGAGTGGGTCAACTCTATCCCCGAGCCCACAGGGGGACTGCCGCAAACGGTATGATACCAGGATTCCAAATTTGTATATTATGTGTTAGATATGTTATCGTGTATGATGTGTTGCCTACCTTACAAATAAATGAATACGTCAACTTTACCTGAAAGGTAAGTAGTTTGGTAAATTGTGAGCATCTGATCATTTAAAAAGACATCGCAGATCAACATCCTTCTACGAAACTAAGTGAGTAACGTCTATGGAACAGGGGGGAGATCCCGTGGGGATCTTAAAAAAATGATAGCTACTTCAATTGTAAAAAGTTCGCTGTGAGCATTGAAAGGGGGGGGGGAGGATAAGGGAGTCATCCCGATCGTCCCTTCTTAGATATCCCATTTGATATAGTAAATTCTTTTCCATTACTACTTGAACGGTTTGAAAATGGAAATAAAAAATTGCTGTGGCCAGAACAGACAATTACAGAGTGTCCCGCATAAAGCTTTTGAGAGATGCCTCTGCAGAAGGTCTTAAGTTGTTCTATACTACTCCCGAATACTTACGAATTAAGAAAACTGCAGGAAAACCTAATTTGGAGTAGCCGGCAGAATGTTCGAACTAGTCTAATGTAATTCCCATCTCTGCCACAGATTCACCTCAACCCAGGTTCGAACACCCGACCTCCGGGTTTATAGTTCAACGCTCTGCCACTAAACCATAAAGCCGGTCAATGGATATAGTATACAGTGAGCGGCTAAAATATGGAGCAAATGATTTTGATAACCAAATTGATTTTTAACAGAATTTTTTTAAATCAATTTTCGAAATTATGCGCGTAGAATTTGACACAGAATTCGAAAATGGATTATATGTTCCATTTAAAAAATCAACTTTGGCATCATCATCTACTTTTTGAGCACCCTGTATATTTCTCTTTACTACAAAAAATGCGCATAAGAAAAAATTATGATAGACGTGTGCGAGCATTTTTCTCAACCCAACACCTTATTGTTGTGAAGGACCTGAGCCCCGAGAGTTGCATTGCCTAGGGTCCCCGACAGGGTTAATCTGGCATTGCATATTTGAAGGAGCAGTTCACGCACCACTTATGGGGCTATTGTACATTCTGGTTAGGGAATAAACTCTGAATTTGCACTTTAAAGTGCTAGTACAAAATAAAATCTACAAGTGGTCCTTCTACAGGGTGTTTTTTTGGGAGCTTTAGTTAAAAGTTTCTGGGAAAGTAAAATAGGTAGGTTTTTGAAAATTTGTACTTAGGAGTTACTCTGAAGGCCGAATCGATGTAAAATATTTTCAAAATGGCCGCACTTCCGGAAACACCGGAAGTAGATAGTAACTTCGTTATTTTAAATGGCAACCCCTATTTTTTATTGCATTTTTGGATTCTACGTGAAATTTCAGTTCTTTTGATACCCATATCTGCCATTTATGGTTTTTAAGTTATTTTGACTTTAAGAAAAAAAATGGCGGATGCAGATGGTACCTTGATAATTGATTACTTGAAAAAGGTTATAGTCATGACAACCCATTTTTATCAGTGCATAGAGAATGAATAGGGCTTTCTTTTACTGTACTTAAAACAAAGTTAAGTTGCGTACAACCGCACCTATGGAGATCCAAATTTAAGAAACTTCAAAGTCTATAAACTCAGTTTTTTTTAATGGAATGACCATGTTCTTAATATTGCATGAGATAGAGAATCGAAATTGGCATATTTTGATATTACATGTTCCTATAGCTATCTTTAACAGTTTCTGATTTATTCCCATTTCATTGAATTGATCTCGGAATTGATGCCATTTTTTTTCGCATTTTCTTTTTAGTAGTTGGCCATGATTTTATAACAATCGAATTTTAAACAAATCAAGGAATGGATTCTTTAATACCATTGATTCTAGTTCTAGTCTAAATAATTCATTAATAAATAACTCATTTATTAAGGATATAGGACGGAAAATTTTTGAAAAATCTAAACAGAGTCGTTCAACTGAATTTCTTAAACAACTTATAAGTCTGGAAATTAAGAGAGGTAATGCGATATCTGTTCTAGCAACAATTCCATACCAAAAATGTTTCAACGAAGTTTTTTATATTTTGCATTGAATTTAATTTGTTAATCTTGCATTTGCAATTCAATTCATTTTCTTAAATATTCTCTTGTAGAGCTTTGTATCACTTGTGCTTCAACGGTTTGTAGTGCATTAGGGGTACAAAATTTCCAAAATTCATACAATTTCGTTCCAGTTTTCGAATGAATGTAAGGAAAGCACGCGCCGCGATTCTGCCCATTTCACCACAAATAACAATTAAATTCCAAAATAGGTGAAACCACTGCGTCATTTTTCGATTTTTGAAAAACTTATGTTAACCTATAACAGTGGGTGATGGATTAGTGTCACTAGATTTGTTTAAAATTCAATTGTTATAGAATCATGGCCGACTATTAAAAAGAAAATCCGAAAAAAATAGTGTCAATTCAATAAAATGGGAATAAGTCAGAAACTGTTAAAGATAGTAAGGACATGGTCATTCCATTTAAAAAAACTGAGTTTTTAGTTTTTGAAGTTTCATAAATTTGTTCGTAACTCTTAAGTACAAATTTTCAAAAACCTACCTATTTTACTTTCCCAGAAACTTTTGACTAAAGCTCCCAAAAAAACACCCTGTATATCTTCTTAAAAAACAAAAATGTATTGAATTTTTATTCCAAACTGTGCTGGTTTCCAAGATCCCCATGCTTAACATCTGAACAAACTTACCCCTGAGATCAATGAGTATCTTCCACCCCCTTACAGTCTGCAGACTCTCCTCCCCCCTTTTAGGATAGTGTTTGCGTGTCTGGAAAGCCTTCTTGACCAACTTCAACAGACCCACCATTCAGTGGACGAGATAATATAGGGTCAACGATTATATATTACACTAATAGAAATTTGATCACAAAAATATAAATTTATTCTTTACTTAAAAGCAAATTGGGGTAAAACCGCAATCCTTCAGACGAATCATCCCTGCAAGATTTTCCAAATCGTTCAGTTGTTAACAGACGTTCCTTTGCCAACAAAACTGAAATACCCAAAAGTCTGGCAAGCTCTTCGGATGACAGGGAGCCCTTTTCGTTGAGCTGCAACTTGCGGGGTAACAAAGCTAATTACACGAAATTCCCTTACCATATCTGCGGTACTTTCGGCGATGCTCTCATTGCTCATGGACACCAGCTGCAAAACGATGACACCTGAATCGAACTTATACATCTTAAGCGGAAGATCGAGCGACTCCATCAATCTGCAGGCATTTAATAAATCCTCCGGGGAGAGTAACTCCAAACCACGCGCCCTGTTTACTCTGCAAAACACGTCGGTTAAGGCCATTATACCGCCCGCTTCCGTAATCGGCGTAATTAAAATATCGGCAATCTGTTTCGCTAAACTTCGATAATACTGATTGTCGGACTTGTACGCGTCGCGAGTTACCGGATCGTCAATGCCTAAGCTTAACAAATAGAGCTTAAATCGTACAGTCTCGTCTTCGGTAATGTCGCCTTGTTTCTCCTAAAAAATCTACGTTACTTTTCCAACGAAAACCGACACTCGCGCTCACCCGAATTTTGGTGGAGATATTCTGCGAAAGGCCCACCATGTCTTTAGCCATGCTCATCAGCTTGCTCAGATCTTTAAAGGCCAGGGAAATGTTTTCGTCGGTCTGCTTCTGCTTTTCCTGAATGCCACGTTCGATACCCGCAATACCAGTACGCAGCTTGATGTTGGGAAGAGACGGTTTTGTCGAAACGTTCGGCTGACTTTGACCCCACTCCCATCTCCGCTTTTGCATGCAGTCGTTTAATAAACCGACAATGTCGCTGTTCAGACCTTCGCGAAATGACAGCTTAATGAAATTGTAAATGCTGCTCGGTTGCGGGCCCTCGTTACGGTCTAAAATTACCGATTGCCTGAGTGCGTTTTGTTATTGTGTTCAATACCGGGGGGCGCCTCTTTCAAGTGCAGTATAATTTTCCGCGAACGACTAAAGGAAAAGGCGTTTGGACTGTCCTCCTCGACGAAGACAACCAGATGCAAGTGCATCGTAAGGCAAACCTGTCCTAGTGGTATCGCTCCGGGACGTCCCCACATAAGTCTGTGGGTGGTTAGTATAAGTTCGCCACCTTCGAACGATGTCTGAGGGAATTAACAGAGACTGAAGTGAAGCAGAGGAAAAATGTACCTGTACCTTTTGATCCCCGTCATAGAGACGCACGTTTCGGTCTTTTGCCAGATAACTTTCATTTGGTAGTAATATTGGACTGGCATATTCAATTCGATCCATTTTATACAAATAAAATAATTATAACCTCTTAGAGCTACCGCAAAAAAAGTGACAGCGCGCTGTTGCCAAACGTAACAAAACTAAAATCCCTTATACTTCCACATAACGAGTCAAACGTAAATTATGGTACAAGGTGACCCAAAATTAAACAACCACCTTTGTTTTTGAATCGCTTTTCTTACTAAAAAGTCCCGACTGCCGCTACGTTCGTCCGCTCCCAGGATTTAATTACTATATTCTGTAAATTTATTTAGTTCTTTTCAAATTGAATTGTAATTATTATTCCACTAATATTTATCTAATTTTAGAAGTTCACCGATTGTTTGGCCCAAGATATGCATTAAATATTTTAACTTTATGCTCTTTACAATAAAACTATATAAAGGTTAATTATTTTGCAAGTAGCAAAAGTACAGGTTACAACTGAAATAAATGGGGACATTGTAAAATGGCACAAGTTCTACACATTCTTGCTTATCTAGGCACAAAAGCGGAGATGAGAATCACCTCACCAAAGCAACCCTATACCTGCTCCGCTAAATGTGGAGACCAGGAGCCCATTAGCTTGTTGTGCATAGATACTGTTAAGAATGTTAAACCAGAGATTGAAATAATGGAAGGATATGAGAAGAACCATTTGGTTTTGGAAAAGGAATGGGTTTGTAGCCATGAATAGGAAGGCACAAGATCGAATATGGAGTAAACATGTTTATGGTTTGATAGTAAACAAATGTAGAAGCTTCACTATTATTTATTGAGTCCACTATATGCTGTACAAGTGCAATAATATAATCCACAACTACAATGAAACCATTACTTCTTTTAAAATAAAATAACAATCTGGGATCCCTTTATTTTGACACCTTATATACTGCAATAATCAATAATTATTAAATGACAATGTAATGTAACAACAACGATTTTATTTGTAAATTAAATTACATTAATTTCATATTCAACAAAATAAACAACATACACAAATTGGTGTTGAAAAAATAGTTCCTTATGACCACAGGTTTTGTGGAATGCTTATTTACAATATATTCATTTAGTTTTATTCACATTTGTACACTCCATTTATTTACAAGTCTTTAAGCAAATCACATTATAGAACACAAACCCGTCAACTCTGAACCTTTTTTCACCGTGGGTTGTCTTTTTAATTCCAACCCTTGCAGTGCAGGTTTGATGTTGAGTTGGACGGGTTCCTCGCCGGGCGGTAGAGGTTGACTGGGATCGATACAATCCGCAGTCTGTAATTGTTCCTCTACCGTCTCCTTTGTTTCCTTCGCGACTATCGCTGGAATAGGTTTCGTTATGTTTATCTTAATTTTACCACTAATACCGGTCGACGGATTAACACCCGACTCAAACTCTACATTCCCATCAATTGTACTCACAACCTCTGTATGTGTTGTATCAACAGAGTCTGGTGCTATTTGTACTGCAGGCGCAACAGTTTCCACATCATCTAAACGATAAAGCATTTAATAAAAACGTTAAAACACAACTTTCGATTCTTATGACTAAAGATAATGAAATAAAAAAATAAATACCAGTGGCAGGAACAGCATCTTCAGCCTTAAGTTTCACTTCCTTAGTTCTGACTAGGCCACCTTCCACATCGACGAAACCGTCATCGACAGGTTCCACTTTGACCACCACTCCGGGAATTAGTCCGCCACCACTAACATAGTCGTCCTTATCGTCGTCATCCACGACAATTCTTTCGGGGGCAACCTCATTTAAAATGACATCGTCGTCCACCTCCTCTTCGTCATCGTCAATACTGATATTGGGCACCTTCGGTTCTTCAACAACAGGTGGTGGCGCCTCCTCCTCATCGATGTTGTCAATAACCTCCATGACATCATCGTAAGTTTCATTAGCGGACTGCTCCGCCCCTAAACCGGGAATGCTAGGATCGACATCCTGTTCCTCAACATTCAGTTTGGATTCCTCCAGTGACGGATCAACCAACGACGCCTAGGGTAACAATGCCAACGATACAAGAACACAAATCACAATTCTCACCTGGTAATCTTCGTAGCAAAGGGGATGATAGGTCTTATCCTCCACTCGAATCGCCATCCGTAATTGCCACTCGTCCTTCTCCTCGTTGTAAAATTGCTCGAACTTATCTCGGCAGACCTCGCACGCCGCGTTCGGCACATTTGGATCTGCCGGAACGCAAGGAATCTCGATCTCTTCGTCCGCGTCGTCGTTAGTGCCATCCGGGTTTTGTTGATTTTCGAAGTAATTTTTCTCTAAAATATAAATGGAATAAAATTGAAACAATAATTAGTTTACTATCATTGGATCATTAAGAAATAGCCAATAGAAACAAAGATATGGTTTCGTTGGTTAGCCATGGCACCACCTTTGTTTCTATTGGCCCATTTTCTAGTGACATTAATAGTGTAATAGTAATAAATTAAAGTGAGTGAATTTTGAACAATTCACATACAGGGTGTTTTTAAAGATGGGCCATAGAAAGCACATAATAATAATAATATTTATTTCTGTTAACATGGCAATAAAACATTTACAGAAGTCAAAGGAAACAACACAACATTTATACATTCATGTTAAATTAGACATAAATCACGGTCTTTAAATTCATTAATAGTATAAAATGCGCCTGCAGTAAGGAATTTTTTTAATTTAGTTTTCAGGGTATTGTACGGTAAATCCCTGGTCTGGCCAGGCAGCAGGTTAAAAAGCTCAAACGAAATATTTACAAAACTTCTGTGCGTTTTTTCTAATCTGTAATGCTGGAATCGCTGGAAAATATTATCAAGTTCTAAAAATGACCAACAGAGGGCGTAACTGCCATCTTAAATTTTAAAATTGCATTTTCTTTAAATTTCGCATAATAAACTAAACATTCTTTTTTCACATTTTTAAACAGAACCAGTTTATCTATCATTTTCGTAATAACAAAAACTCAGCTATTTCAAAAACAAAGATGGTGTGGCCTGTGGGGTGTTCAATTGTTTTTGCAATAACCTGCTTTAACTTCTTAAACGTTTGATCGATTGTAACAAATTTGATATCGTTCAAAAGAGCATTCCTTGGGCAACAAGAATCAACAACAAAATATAGTTAATTTAGTTGAATCCTTCTCCGCCAGAGGGCTAGTTTTGTCACTATGATCAAAAATCTTAAATAAATGAAAAAAATCAAATGGAATATGATTTTTTCTTTATGAAAAAGTAGCCAAATAAAACCCAAAGAGGCAAATGAACACCGTTTTTCAAAATATCGTATAATTGAATCTTTTTTGACGTATTTCCGGTATTTGTCGATGGCTTGGAAAAGCACCCTACACTTTTAGGAGAGCCTTGGAAAATTAAACAAATGAAACACGATTCATTATAAAATAATAACAGGCGTAATTTGTAAATTATTCTGCTGTGTTTACATTCAGAAAGTGCAGTTTTTTGAATTTGTTGGTTGTTTGGATGGTTCGTGGTCGATTAGGATAACGCAAATAGAAGATGCGGGCAGCGATGGTCGCATTTTGAAAATACTCAAAATATATCGCCAGCATATTAAATGCTTCTTGGTGAGAAATCGGCATTTTAGAAAAGATTACAAATTCAAAAAACTGCCCTTTCTGAATGTAAACACAGCAGAATAATTTACAAATTACAAATTGTTATTATTTTATAATGCACCGTGTTTCATTTGCTTAATTTTCCAAGGCCTTCCTAAAAGTGTAGGGTGCTTTTCTCTCGCACCATCGACAAATACCGGAAATACGTAAAAAGTAAATTTAAGATACAGGTTAAGGATTTTTATTAATTAATTAATTAATCTCATTTTCCCAATATTTGAGGTTAGGCACGAGATTTTGAAAAACTGGCCTTTTTCAGGGTTCGCAACTGATTTTAGCCAAAAAATAGAGATTTGGTCTCTATTTACATAATAGAGACCATTTAGAGACCTTCGAGAACCAATTTCCATATAAAACTAAACAAAAGAGATACATAAACAGCAATATATCTAAACAAGTATAAATTGTGCACTCTTGTGCGGATAAAGCGCATTTTTTTACCCAAATAGCTTTTTTTTTACATCACCAATGGATATATTTCTCTTAAGACAATCCGTTCTTGAGGTATAAGGGAATAGGTCGAGGAGGAGGGCTATGGTTGGTAGAAATTAATTCCTTTCTTTGAAACCTTTCATTAGAGTACCATGAAGGAGAAAACTAGGTGGACCCCCCCCCTTCCCCGTACTTTGATAAGAGGACAGAAAGAAGGGCAGTAGTTGGTAGAAAGCGGTTCCTTTCGTTGAGACCTTAATTAGAATACAATGAAAGATAAAATAATTAATGTTAACCCCCCCCCCTCCCGTCGCTCACTGAGTCGCACGGGAAAGTTATAGTTTGTATAAACCAATTTATTTCGATGATACCTTTCATTAGAATACCATGAAGGGTAGAACATGTGTTTACCTCCTCCCCCCCATTTTGTAAAGTTTAACTTGGCACCGCTAAAGTCATGCGTATGCAAAATCTGTGACCAATTGGTTGTCGTATGTACATAAAAATTATGCACGTTTTACTTTCAAAAACAGCATCTCGGGAAATAATTCATGGGGGGGGGGGGGGCACCCTTTTAGACAGCGAAATTTGATGCACACCTTCAAGGTATATACCATTCTCCTAGAAGTAGTTCAAAACGGCAGAAGGGCGTTCGAACGGACGGACGGACAAAACGCAAATAGCACATTTTTTTTAATTCCTAAAAAATGCGCTAAAAATGTACAGTAAAATTTCTGCGGTTTATCAATTATGAATTATACTTTTTTAACATGCAAAATTTAGAGACTTTAGAGACCAGCATTGAAAAAAGAGACCAATGTCTAAAAAAGAGACCATTTGCGAACCCTGCCTTTTTGGATGTTATGTGGCTACTTTTTCATAAAGAAAAAGTCATATCATCACATTTGATTTTTTTAGGATTTTGGGTGAGTGCCAAAACCCCCTGGCGGAGAAGGATTCAACTAAAATTAACTATATTGATTCTTATTGCCCAAGGAATGCCCTTTTCAGCGATACCAAATTTGTTTAAATCGGTCAAACGGTTAAGAAGTTAAAGCAGGTTATTGCAAAAACAATTGAACGCCCCACACCATCTTTGTTTTCGAAATAGCTGAGCTTTTGTCTTTAATTTTCTCTTTAAAAATGTGAAAAAAGAATGTTTAGTTTATTATGTGAAATTTATTTAATTTTAAAATTTAAGATGGCAGTTACGCCCTCTGTTGGTCATTTTTAGAACTTGAAAATATTTTCCAGCGATTCTTCATGATCGATTTACCCAATAATTTTTTTACCCCTAAGTCATATGACGAACGGCCCATTTTAAATAACTCAACGCCTTTATTTTTTTTATTTTTATTTATTTGTCGTATATAAAAAAAACACCCTGTATTAACATTTCTAATATGTTGCTCAGCGCCGTCCGGACGCCCCCCCCCCCCCTCCTTGAAAATGGCGCAACGTTCACCATAAAAAAATGTGTATAGACTTACCCCTCTCTTCCAAATCTTCGATTTCCTCGTAATTTCGCCAATCCAACATTGTGTAGTGCCACCGGCGACTCGCCGCCTTCCGTATATTCTTTTTGCCCCTTCGATTCTGACGGAAGTGCCAATCGAGATGCTGACTGTAGTACATGGTCTGATCGGCCGGAAAGCGCATGCCGCAACTGCTGCACTGCATTCCGGTGTACAGCATGTGGATCAAGGGAGGCCTCCGACTGAAAAGCCACAAGTCACAGATTGAACCAGGCTCGGGTCCCACTTACGTTTTCAAAGTTTCGGGTTTACTAAACGTGGGCGGCTTGAAGTGTTTCGAAACGTGGTGGGCGGTAGAACGCGAGGGTTTGGGAGGGGACGGGGGCGGAGGTTCTTCTACGGGCTGTGGGGGTGCGGTCGCCGCTGTCGTGACTATACCGGTCGCGACAAGTCTTTGGAATAGGTCGTTGATATTTAAAGAGGGCGGGTTTTTCACTTGGGGAGTGTCCCTTGGAATCGTGATTGTGCTTTGAACGTCTTGCGAGTTTGTGTCTTCAACTTGGTACCCGCTTTCTGCCGAGCTCGGTAACATTGACGAGGCAATTACGCTGGACAGCATATCGAGATTGTCTGCAACAACTTTGTACTAAAAAGAAAAGGAGAAAAAACTGCTTACTAAAGTTAGGGTGGTGAAAGTTATGCGGGGAGTTGGAGTTATGTTCCGGCGACGTCCCATCGAATTCCTTCGGCTTCTCCGGCAACGAGTCCTGACTGGTGTTTTCGTAAGGTAACGTCGATACCGACTCACTTAGCGCCTCGTTCTCCACAGGCTGAGTCACCTCCATGTCTTTAATGTTGACATTCCCAGGTTTAATTCCTTCCGGCAACACGGAAAATCGGATAAAGTGTTTTTTATCGTGCAACATGATCGGTTTAGGAAGACCGCCGTATTCGATTTCAAAGCGTACGTCGTTAATCAAAGCGGCCCGCAGAGAGTCGACGAATTTCAGAGTGTGCGTAACATTCTCCAATACAAAAGTTTGCAGTTTGGCGTCGAGAAATATCGTGTACATATTTCTAGCATCCACAACCAATTGTACTTTCCCGGCGACTAAGTCCAGCCGTTTTTCCTGCCCGATTTTTACCTGGGGCGGCGGCGCCTCCAGTTTGACGAAGATTTTATTGCCGTCCAAATCGATGACTTTTTCATTTTTGTCGAAGTAGCATTCGTATCCTTTGCCGTCGATGAAAATCTCGCGAGATGGCGCTCCCAGTCTCACCCTATGAACGTTTCCTTTAAGCGAGATTTCTTCGTAGGGAGAATTTAGCTTAAGCAAGAAGGGCTCGCCGTCGAAGAAAATTCTTCTAGTACCATTATGAAAGGAGATCTCTCTAGGATCTGAGGAATTCATAAATACGATAGCCGTTTCGTCGTAGTAACGTATTTCCCTAGGTTCATTGTCTATTGTTATAAATTTGTAGCTATCGGGATGGGCGTATTCTAAAGTTGGCAATTCTTGGCTGTTCGAATTGGGAGATTGCGTCCCGTGCTCCCTCGAGAACGGGCTGACGTGCTCGCCGAAATTATTGGAGTACAACGGTTGTGGACGCCAGGCGTCGTTCATTGGGCGCACCCAGTTGTCGCGGTAGCTTGGTCGCACAGTCGGACGCGGCACCGTAGGCGGATAATCCCAAACTTTCCTATGTCTGCCTCTCCAAGCTCTTGTTCGCCTCGGATCGCGTTGGTCGGCTTGCCGCGAGTACGGAGGATATGTACCTTCCAATTGGCTAACTTGAGAGGGAATGGGAGACGTGCGGTCGTCTCTATCACTCTTGCCTATTCGCTTCTTTACCTCCTCATCCGATTCGCTACCGCTAAAATTGGGCTCCTCATCGCTAATCGGCTGCAGGGACGGGTTGCTAACACTTTCGCATTCCTTCCTTTGGGCCTCTCTCAACTTATGCGTTTCAATTTGCGCCAGAATTTTATGCATCAACGCATTTTTTTGCGCCTTCGTCATATTTCCCGCTTTAATCGACTCCTCGTCGGCCGACGATATTATAATCTTATCCATTTTGTCCGAACCGAAACTCTTGGCGCGCCCCTTTTTCGCGTCCTGCAATTTTTCCTTGGGCAAACTCTCCGATTCCTTCAATTTGGTCTGATTAACCGCGTTCGCCAATTTCGCGCGTAACGCGTCGAGATTGGAGTTTTTCGGCGCGTTACTTTCGCCCTTGTCGTCCTTTCTCGACTCGTCGACGATCTGTTCCAGTTTATCCGATATAATCGGCGCGGGGGGTGTCGGTGGGCGCTCCGACGGCATGGGGGGTGATAATACGGGCGGCAGCTGTCTTAAGTCCGTATCTTCGCTACCAAACAAACTGAAATTCCCTTTAATTACAAATTGAAAATTAACCGACCGTAATACGTACACATCGAACATTTCGGTTCGGCTCTTTTTCGCGTTGGAAGTCTCTTGGTTTTCGGTCGAGGGTCGCTTTTTGCTTATCACGGAAGGCAACTGACGCAAGTCTACATCAACTGGTTGTTTCGGGCTGTCATTTCCGGCTATAAGTAAAGCTAGTAATCTCAGGTCTGTATTAAGAGCCCCAATTCAGTTTACAAATTACTTACGTTGTGGAATTACGCTGCTACGAAAGTGTAAAATTATCATATTGGCACAGATAGACCTGTCAATTAGTTTATTTTGACAAATAGATATGTTAATTAGTGCTAATTGACAATTAAAAATGTCGATTAGTGCCGATCGACACTAATCGACAAAAATGTCAATTTAAAAAAATGTTTCCCAACTCTACACTTTCGTACATTCCATATTGTTACAAAAATAGTTATAATAATGGAGCGAAATTATTTTAATCAAATTGCTTCCATGTGTACAGGGTGACCCAATAAGACTGTTCCTCGGCCATATCTCGGGAACCGTTCGTCGTATGACTTAGGGGTAAAAAAATTATTGGCTAAATCGGTTATGAAGAATCGCTGGAAAATATTTTCAAGTTCTAAAAATGACCACCAGAGGGCGTAACTGCCATCTTAAATTTTAAAATTGCATTTTCTTTAAATTTCGCATAATAAACTAAACATTCTTTTTTCACATTTTTAAAGAGAACCAGTTTATCTATCATTTTCGTAAAAACAAAAACTCAGTTATTTCAAAAACAAATATGGCGTGGGGCGTTCAATTGTTTTTGCAATAACCTGCTTTAACTTAGTAACCGTTTGTCTGATTGTAACAAATATGAAGAGCATTCCTTGGGCAACAAGAATATAGTTAATTTAGTTGAACTCTTCTCCGCCAGGGGGCTAGTTTTGACACTATAATCCAACATCCTAAAAAAATCAAATGGAATGATATGATTTTTTCTTTATGAAAAAGTAGCCAAGTAACACTCAAAGAGGCCACTGAAATGCTTACATTGTATCTTAAATTTACTTTTGACGTATTTTCGGTATTTAATAATATTTATTTGATTTTGCTAAAAAAAAAAGCTTAACACAAGTCAAAGAAATAATACATGTAATAATTGTTAAAATGTGTCTTTAAGAAACTCGTCCGTATTATAGTAGGCAATTTCTAATAGTTTTCTTTTAATAACAGCAGAGAATAGTTTATAATTTAGTTTTTGCACGTCACTGGGAATGTGATTGTAGAGTTTAACACTTATATAGTCCGGTCCTGCATGCAACTTCCGTCTTGGTGAGTCGATGCTTGGGTAATAGTAGATGTTCATTATTTCGAGTGGCATGATGGTGTATGTGCTTGTGAGTTTGGCCTTGGATGCCTTGTCTTTTGACATATACTAATGAATTGACACGGCAACGTTAGGATCCCTAAATTGATAAATGCTTGCCGGCAAACGGCGATATAGTCCACATTCTGCAAAACTCGTATTTGTCGATGGTGCGAAAGAAAAGCACCCTACACTTTTAGGTGGGCCTTGGAAAATTAAACAAATGAAACACAATGCATTATAAAATAATAACAGCCACAATTTCTAAATTATTCTACTGTGTTTACATTCAGAAAGTGCAATTTTTTGAATTTGTAATCTTGAATTTATGGTATTTTCTTACCAGCTTGCAAAAAAATAAAGCATATTATTATTATTATTAAATACCGGAAATACGTAAAAAGTAAATTTAAAGTACAATTTAAGCATTTTTATTAATTTTCCCAATATTGGAGGTTAGAAACGACATTTTGAAAAACGGTTTTCACTGGCCTCTTTGGATGAAAAAGTCCATTCCATTTGATTTTTTTAGGATTTTGGATCATAGTGTCAAAACTAGCCCCCTGGCGGGCAAGGATTCAACTAAATTAACTATATCGATTCTCATAGCCCAAGGAATGCTCTTTTCAACCATACCAAATTTGTTACAGTTGGTCAAACGATTAAGAAGTTAAAGCACGTTATTTCAAAAACAATTGAACGCCCCACACCATCTTTGTTTTTAAAATAACTGAGTTTTTGTTTTTACGGAAATGATAAACCGGTTCTCTTAAAAAATGTGAAAAGAAATTTTTTAGTATATTATGCGAAATTTAAAGAAAATGCAATTTTAAAATTTAAGATGGCAGTTACGCCCTCTGTTGGTCCTTTTTAAAACTTGAAAATATTTTCCAGCGATTCTTCATGACCGATTTACCCAATAATTTTTTTACTCCTAAGTCATATGATGAACGGTTCTCGAGATATAACCGAGGAACAGTCTTATTGGGTCACCCGGTACATAAAAATCCACTCTATCCCATACAATGTTTCAGTATCGTTAAAAAAAAAATTATTTCATAGCATGTATTTTAGGTTTCAGTAATATTAGATGAGTGATACTTTTGCTTTGCTTGATCATTAATCATTGCCTGTACCGCTCTTATGAAACATGATTTTAGTAACCATATTTCCGTAATGGAGGTAAAGATGGAAACGTAGTTTAGACGTATTCGACTCGCCTATGCATGGAGGAATTTTGAGAGGTATATCCTGAACATGGCCTTGATTAGGAGAACTTACGCCGCCACATTCGTCGTGTAGTTATGCGATTTGACAATACAGGAAGTGTTGCTTGTGAAAAATCCCGGCAAATGTCACGCATAAGAGCGATACAAGATTAATGATCGCTCTGTACTTACGAAACAGCACATTGTAGAACCGGAATGGGGATAGGTTAGTGTATTTACAATATATGCTGTAAATACCTCATGTTTGAGAGGGAGGTTGGATTTGTTTAACTTTGTTTAATATAAAAACAAAAGAATGTAAATTGAAATGACATTTGTCAGTAACTCAGTTAGTACAAATTATTATTATTATCTAGGAAAGTTAATTAAATTCTCAACTGTATGGTTTACGTTTATGCTATAAAATAAAAAATAAACCAAGTTTCAATTTGATATGGCATGTATGGAACATCGTGTACCAAAAAACACTTTTTATGAAGGTTTAGTCAACTCAAATGGAAGTTGAGCCAAACAGAGACTTGTTATAACTAGACCGCGCGTAACGTAGATTTTACTATAAACGCCTGTTGTCAAGATAGGATAGGCAACCAACTGTTCATCGCGGGGCAGACGTACGTTCTGCAGCTTGCTTTAGCCATGTTTATTCTAAATTTTAGTAGCAAAAAAAGATAACATATAGCTGTTAACTGTTTTAATGGAATTTATTAGTATTTTATTTGAACTAAATTGGTATATAACTGCCTTACTCTAGTCCTAATTTGATTTATATGTGTATTTTGGTCGTGAACACGTATGGGAAAATATACTCTTAAAACTAAACTTGTAAGTAGTAAGATATGATTATTTAGCGGATTTTGATTCAATATATTCCTACCCAAAAACCCAAATGGGCTGTAACTGTTATTTGTTTTTCTTAGACTGCTGATAACCATTTTGTTTACAACGCGGTGTGGTGTGGTTTGAATGAAAAACCTGAACACATTTTCAGCAATTTGGCAAATTTTTAATGCATCGCTTGATACGTGCAACAATCCTTCACGATTTTTTCTAGTTAAAAGCTTTGACTGACTCTCCGATCCGAATATCGCATCTGCGCTTGCACATATGGAACATAGACTTAGCTATTTTTCTTGTAAGAAAACACCTAATAGGCAAATAGGTACTGCTGTTGTCTTGCTGGTAAAGGATGTCGAATAATAGTTCTACGTTATTTTAACTGAATGGGAAAGTCGAAAACGTTCGGTATTGCATTATTGTTTAACACCTTCGTCGGTACCTTTCTAAAATCGGCTTCATTCCCCGCAAATGCACTATGGTGGGAGTACATTTTTCTCTTCGAATGGCTCTGATCCATTGGCCCTTTAAACTTTTATCCGTTGAAAATCAGCATATTATTTAAAAATTTATCGACAGAGTACATGTTGATAGGCACGAGTTAACCTAAGTTTATTGGTTTATTCTCAACAGAAATTTATCTGTTCACTAATTCGAGCTAATCACAAGAATTATTAATGGACGGAACATCTAAAATAACAGCTTATTTCATTATATTGCACATCATCTTAGCGATTTTTGCCCCGCAGTGCATTGTGTGTTGCATACTGTGTCGACAACACCTTAGAGACGTTAAGCGCAGTCTAGTTATAGCAAGTCTCTGGAGCCAAAGCACACCTGCACAAAAGCAACAAGAACCTCTCAAGCCTCCAGAATTTGACATTGGACAAATAGTTGACCCCTTTACGCCGCCTTTTTGCTCAATGTCAATACATCCCCTATGTTAAAGAGCTCTCGCACTTACTCTATACTAAATTAAATGTTAATTCCACTTAAACACCCCAAAGAAACTTACTGCAGGTTAAAAACTAATTCACACAGAGCACGTCGAAAGCTCCACAAAGAACGAAATGCTATGTGTGCGTGTATGAAATTTTGTTTTTGCCGGTGTAAAGCTTACTTTTATCGTCAATGTTGTTTTCACCTTGCAATCGGGGTTGCTTTTCCGGCGGTGCTCGAATGCGCAGGTCCAGATCTTGTGTGGGTTCCGGGCTAGCCGAAGCGTTACGGTTGCGTCTCATATAGTTACGATTCTTAACTGAACCCTTGGGGTCCTTAAAAGAACCGTCACTTTTGAACTTTTCTTTATCACTTTTACAACTTTTAGGTAATTGTTTATCACTTTTTTTATCTGCACGATTTAAAGCACTACTATCTTTATCGTTGCGAAATGAGCCAGTCGTATTCGATGGAGAGACAGTACCTGCAACCTTATCAGGAGAATCTTTCTCCGCACTTTTCTTTTTTATTTTTAAAAATGATCTACCAAATGTGCGTGGTTTAGATGGTTGACCTCTACCTGCTTTACTAGATGGATCGGCGATTGTAATTTTATCTGATGATGTATCTGAGATGTTTGGTGTTTTGGAATCACGTGAAAACTTACTATTTTTACGTAATGAACTGCCAATTTTCTGGGTGTGTTTAAGGGGAGAGGAATGAGGCGAAGTCTTAGACTTGCCATGAGAATCAATGTTACCTTTATTATTTACTAGACGATGTTCGACGTGATCATTTCGAACACTCGTTTTACTGTTAACAAATTTATTCTCTGAATCAAGTGTGTGTTGTGATCCAAATTTTGACTTAGACTCTAAATGAACATTAGCATTAACATTGGACAATGCTTGCTGCGCTTGCTGCTGTTGCTGCTGCTGGCGCAATAGCCGAGGGTCCCTTATCGGCCGCGCGTTCGCCGGATTGCTATTAGCGGGCGAAATTTTCGAACCACCCGACGAGCTCTTTGCGTTCGATTGCTGCAAAAATAAAATCGTTGTCAATGTGTATGCCGCGAACATTTTCTGCTTACGGGCGGCGAGGTTTTTGTTTTGTTTTTTGAAGAGGACATTTGTTTAGCAACTTCGGGTTTGAGAAGCAAATTCTGAAAATTTAATTCGTATCTGTTAGACTACTGGAACAAATTTCATTATTGCGCAGACGAAAAAAAGCCAAGTATGAGTGCTAAACAAATTAAACAAAAGTGCAAATGGTCGATTTCTGTACAGATAGCGGGATGATATATGCGATACTAAGAACCAGCTCATCATTTCAGTAATAAATTTGGTTTGGAGATTTCATATTTAGCAAACGGGTGATCAAGATTAGCTCACCCCTCCCTAGAACACCGTCTTCCCTCATTTCGATACTATGATTCATTTTTCAGAGCTTTAGTCTATAGAACTGGAAAGGATATAAAAGGCTCTGGTAATATGATCGAGTGCTTTAGAACATAGATTAAAAAAACAATAAATCCGCACTGCAATGAAAAAGTTAACAGCACTTATCTTAGTTACTAAAGTTGCCTATAGCGAATGGTCAATTTTAAGTCAAATTTTCCTTATATACTTTGTCCAAAAGTCAATAGTTAAGAAGTGGGTAAATTTAACAATAAATCAATCTAGTAGGCATGTAACTGTTTAATCTTAAAATTACAACGTCAAAGAATAAACAATGTCACCAATATGACAAAACAGTTACATGGCCTACTAGATTGATTTATTGTTAAATTTAATTATTACCCACTTCTTAACTATTGGCTTTTGGACAAAGTTTATAAGGAAAATTTGACTTAAAATTAACAAAGGAATATGGTGTTAAGCCCTGTCCATTGACTCATGGAACACCCTGTATTCTGAACTATTTTATTCCGACGAAAAAAGAAGCTTTATTGTATTGCAAAACAGTGCCACTACAAAATTAGAAGCAAAAGAAACATCGATATGGATTCTTACCAGTGGCGGTCCCGTGGGGGACCGGCCCCCCTCCCATTGTCCATTTTTTTCATCAATTTTGAGTCCATCTCATTTCCATTATGCGAGATTTCTTTTATTTTTTCCATGTTGGGACAAAGTTTGGGTTTGGGCCCCTCCTTTTACCAAATCCTGGGACCGCCACTGATTCTTACCGCACAGTAAAAGGAAGAGAGGGAGTTCAGTGCCACAGTGAAAAGTGTATTGATAAGAAACGCATTCTATAATATACAGTGCTATTTATTAAGAAGTAGACATAAGGATTTATGGATTGAACATTGTTACTTTGACTTAACAGAAAATAAATCTCTGACGCTCCTTAAACTGTTACCGGCACTACACCAATTCACAATATCTACTTTTTATTCAGTTGAATACATCACACACGAACAAATTTAAAAATACAGAAGCCAAAGCAACAATGTTCAAATTAATTAATGCGACAGCCAGATGTTTATTTGTTTTAAAAAGTGATTTTGGTTGCATAACACTAGGCGCCTTTCAGAAGAGATTTTGTTTTTTGAAAGTAGACATAGAGAAAAGCAATATACATAAATCCCTCGTCTACTTCTTAATAAATAGCACTGTATAACAATATAGTATGATTTTTCTTTGACGTGTGGTATATACAGGGTGGCCATTTGAAAACGAAACAGAGCCTATTTTGGGGACCTCAAAACATCTACGAAAAAATCCTCGGACCCGTCAATTTTTTATTCAAGGGGGAACCTTTTTTTTTTGTAGTTTCGCCACCTTGAGGGCCCTAGCGGGGGTGAGAAGCGCGCGCCGCCAAAATTTTAAATCGAATGGGGGGTCGAGTGATACCTTATTTTGAAGGTATTTGTATGTGAATTATAACCCTTAAGTTTTAAATCGCTACTAATTTGTTTCGCCGATACAGGGGTTAATAAAAGTTACAAAAACGTGTCAACATTTTCTTATGAAAAAAAAATGCTTGTAAATGAATTAGTTAAATAACAAAAATAAATACAACAATAAATACAAAAGATGTTGCTCTCTTACATTCTGAACCGTACCTGTTGATTTTTTTTCTTTTTAATACTCGTAGGTACCTTAGTACCTATTTCAATTCTGCAATGGAAATCTTGGTTATTGTTGAGAGCGTTACATAGCAGCATTTTGAAGTTTAATAGAGATTGCCAATTACTGTTGTCAGATCGTAGTGACAACTAGCGCTTTAAAGTTATTTAGTTGCAAAATCGGTACATTGAACAGTGTTTTTTTTTTAATTTTATTGCTCTAATACAGAGTAATTAGTAAATCGTATACAGGGTGTAGAATATGACTTGAGCCAGGGACCGCCCATCGACGGTTCTCTAGAATTTATAAGGGTGGTTTATTACTGAAAGAGTTGAAATAATTTCTCTTTTTTTTGCGAACATTCCCAAAAATTAAATGTTTGGGCTGGCATTTTTGATAACCATATAACCCCTTCTTTTTACCTGGCACTTTAACAGGAGAGATTTAGGTACCTGGAGTTAATAGAAAATACAATTCATCCAGCATTAGTGGAGATACTAGAAAATAACGAGTACTTGGAAAATCGTCTAGTATTTCAGCAAGATGGTGCGCCACCCCACTATGCTCCAAGGGTTCGTCAATATTTGGACCAAACGTTTCCAGGATTCGAAGAAGAGGAGCTATTGAATGGCCTCCTCGTTAGATTTTTTTATGCGGCCATTTAAAAACTACAATTTATGGTAGTCAGCCAACTTGTGACAAAGAATAATTGATGAATGACGACAAATTTCCCCACAAGTTTTTCAAAATGAACGGGAAAGGTTCGAACAAAACCTCTATTATTGTATGGAAGTCGAAGGCCAACATTTACTTGATTGATTTTAGCTTTAAGCACATAAAATAAAATTGATTTAAAACTGAAAGGTTACAATCTACATAAAAATACCTTAAAAATAAGGTATCACTCGACCCCCCAATCGATTTAAAATTTTGGGGGCGCTTGTCACCCTCGCTATGGTTTTGCCCCGAGGGAGGCGAAACTAGCAAAAAAAATAGTTCCCCCTTAAATAAAAAATTGAGGGGTCCGAGGATTTTTTCGTAAATGTTTTGAGGTTCCCACAATAGGCTCTGTTTCGTTTTCAAATGGCCACTCTGTATGATAAGGCTCAGAATAGCGCAACTTTTTTTCCATTGAATCAAAATTGTATTTCTTAACGTTTCCGAAATCCCCACGCAGTTACTTTTTTTTTGAGAACTGAATGCCTGCTATTTACATATGAAAAAGAAGACGGAATATTTTGAAAATTTGACAGTACATATACTAAGGTTATATTAAAAGTTGATGTTGCTCACTTTAAACGGAATACCGTGTATATTATTTTAATTTTAGTTTCACCAGGGGTCACTACCTATTGTCAACTGTTTTTAATTATCTTGATTTTTTTAAATTGTGAACATTGCAGTGATATATTCAACACTGGGCCTTATACTTATTTTCCACTGGTCCTAACCGCTTCTGGGGTAATGCAAGCATAAAAAGGATACTTTCGAAATCCACATCGACAATTGATTTATCGCATACAGGGTGTCTAAAATTTAATGATCATCATGATTCACGTTTAAGGTTGAAAAAGTTTGTTTTTTCACTTGTGACAGCATGACATTAGGCATTTAAAAAAAAGCACAGCCTCAGGAGGAGTTTTGCATATGCTCTGTTTTATCCTGTGATACATTTTATACATTCTATTTGTTGCGCCACCCTGTATAAAGATTCTATCAATTTCGTCCACGGTCTTATACACAATGGAACCCGTTTCCTATGTGAGAAGTAAACCCGCTACGCGTCAACTGTCGCGTAGTAGTACCAATAATCGTCACAGTCGGCGCATGAGTAGAGGAATTGTTCTCTGGCAACCGTCATGGAAGGAGTACCGCCGCTTTGAACCTCCACGCAAAAGAAAACCATCGCTTTGAAAATAAACGACGACATCATGCATTATGTTAAACAATTAATTTTTAATTAAAATAATTAATACAAAAAGTTGTCGCATAAATTAAATGAACGTATAGTAAAAAAAACGCGCGCGCTCGGATTCGAACCGCGGTCGTTAAGTCGACGGTTATATCCGCTTTGGCGCCTAATCCTGACAGCCTACTTATAGTGACTATAGAGACAGTGGCGACAATACAGTCTCATTTCTGATTGGTCCTTGAGATCGGCGGCCATGTTGCATCGAGTATATGTATATAATATTGTATTGTAGTGCACTATTGTATGTTGGCTACTTCTAATTTAAATTTTTGATGCAACATGGCGGCTGAGCTGCCATCTTGCTTATTAATTTATTGTTTTGATCTATATTTTAATGTCATTAGGAGAAATATGGTATTATCAACGTCATAAACTTCTCCATTAAAGAAATCTCTCAAACATTTTTTGAGCGTAGCCCCCCAAGCAATATATATTTGAACCTTCGCGTGCTTAGATCCCCTTTACCACACGATTTTGTTTACATACCTCAGTTAAACAACACAAAAATGTTATGGGAAGTTTTCACAAAAGTCAATCTACTCACTCTGAATTCACACCAGAGACCTTAAGCATGATCCATCACAAAGTAAGTCAACCGACCACATTTAAAACTGCTGTATTAACGCTAGCAACTGGTGCATAGTATAACATATGATGAACAAAAGCAAAAACAAAAATGGCGCGTTACCTGTGTATGAGGACCGTTAACTTGCGGCGTAGTTTTCACAGTGCTAGTATTTTGAATAAGTTGTTGTTCTTGTAATTTTACTTGCGTTTGTAACAGCTCCAACTGCAACTTACGCTGCTGCAATTCGAGTAACTCCTTCTGCTTATTGATCAGTTTCTGTTGCATACTTAGGGTTTTCGTGTCGAGCGACGACGTATTCGTCATGGAGTTTTTGTTTAACTTAGAACTAATCGGCGCGGTTAGCGTTCCGGAGGCCGTGGTGGTCTGGAATAAGAAATGAGTAAGTCGAAACTGTGCGGTATCGCCACTTACGGTCGTCTTTAAGAACTTGGGATTAAAGTGAATACTCGGAGGCGGCGCTGTTACGGGCCAGGCCGGATCCAATTGGGCAATTTGTACATCTAAAGCGTACAGCTTTTTTGGCGGTATGACATCGTTCCACGTCTGTCGCAGCCTGAACATCTCGGCTCGCGTCTGTTCGTCCACCTGTTACACAAACGAAAGCAGTTGATAATGTCAGATTGGGGTGGTTGTCACGTTACCTGCTTGAAAACATTGCAAAACGTCGACACAATATTCTGGCAAAAAAGTGCAGTGTACGGTCCATCAACGTTCTTGATAATACAGTCAATAAGGTACAGAACAGGTAGTTTGACCTCGACGCGCACCTATAGAATAGAAACTCCTCTATGAAAAAAAAAACTCTCGTCTATTCTTATTATTTATTTTGTACAACTTATTCACAATATTGGTACATAGCGATGCGATATGAGCATATGAAACAACTTGGAACCCTCCGGAATTCTTGTACTATCTTCCAGCTTACTTGATTCTGGTTACAAATTTTGAAAGGAAAATAACAATCGAAGATCCATCTCCTTTACATGGCCGCATTTAAAGTGTGGGGACGATATTAAAATATGCTGAACATTGAGGATCTGGTGCAGTATATAATGGTTGTTAACACATAAAACATGAGTGGCGTGGTTCTTCATAGGATGAGTAGTTAAGCTCAATACCTAATAAAGCAAACATTGTCCCTCGCTTTTGTCTTTTATACAAAATTGAGAGTACTTTCATAAGAAGATGCTGTACAGTATCGTTTTTGAGTCACTTCCCCTCTTTAAATGTAAGTTCTTCAGGGGTATATAGCAACAAATTAAGATAAACAAAATAAAAATAAGAATTATTCGTTTACAAATTCCACCAGAATCGCATTACTACGACTGAAATTAGTTCAAGTTAATTAAATTAGGCACCATTACTCTCAATTAGTCATCAATAATTTTATTAGCGTACTTACTTATTGCCAGCAAGATTTAACATATCTGGCCGTGCATTTTCCCGGGAAACATTGGACAATTTATTAGTTTTGAACCATTTTACATTATGTACAGCGACACTAATTAATCAAAAATTAGTAAACCCTTATCATGAGCATAAATTTTAAAACCAAGCAAAATTAAGGGCCTCCTCGTGTTCTAATTAAATCAAAATTAGGAGCAATTATAAATGTAAGAATTAAACTCATTTGTGTTTTTCACAAAATTGACGGTTTTATGAATACGCATGACCAAAATTAATTAAACAAAAAAGAATCTGAATTGTGCTATCAGAATTTCCATGGACGCCAGGTTGGATTTTATGGAATGAGAACTAAAAAAGAAAAATAATGTGTCACACTACACCTTTTTGAACAAAACCTAGACCTTGCTGAATCAAGATGGCTATGATGTGATGCATTGAAGTGAATTTCTTTTTTTGCCCTCTATTTCATTCCATAAAAATCCAATATGGCGTCCATAAAAAATAAGAAAGTAGTAACCTGTAGCATGTTATGGAAACACATTCAGATTGTGCACATAGAAGGTGCTAACTGGAACCGCCCTTTTAAGCTAGGACAAATAAGAACGAAATTTTGACATTTTCAGTTTTTCGGTACCTGAGATTTTTCAAAAATTTCAAATATAATTATAATAATAACCATTTATTTACATTCTTGTAGTAACAGACACCTAACCTAAATGTAAAAAATGTCCAAAATGAAAATAAATAAAATATCATTTGTAACGTCCTTAGGTGCAACGACTAAGTTAAAAACTTGTTGTCAATACACCCCAAGGTATATGTAGATATGCGTTCTTTTAGACACAAACAAATGGGAGATCTCAAACTGAACCACCCTGTACGCTAATTAAACGGGTATAGATATTTGTAAATGTATAGTGGGCTGGTTTGGTACAGTAGCCTTGAGTGAAACCCCGCCCACTCAAAAATAAAACAAAAAAAACATGAACGCTCGCACACTAGGCGGGCTGGAATAAGCAATAATGTGCCTAGTGCGTTACTGGCTTTAATGTTTCTTCACTCCACAAAATTTTACAACTAAAATAAATGAATAAAATAGGACATTATTTCCCTCGTTAATTATAAATCGATTTTAGAAATAAAGACCAATTTTGAATTACTGATTCCTACATTTTACCTCTAGTTTCACAAGTGTACTGTAAACAAAATTTCAAAAAAAAAAACAAATAGTATAAGCTCCACATAAGGCCACCCTTCCCCCATCTGTATATGTCAACAAAAGAAATTGCAAATGGGTTGCCTAAAAAAATTAAGTTTCATGTTGACCAGCCTAAGGTATATACTCTCCCTTGTCAAAAAGGATGGAATGGTTCTAGACCAATTCCTCAAAAGTGAGGTTCTACCGAACCAACCACTCCACCCAAAGCAGCACGTCTATCAAATCGACATATACACTGTGTCCAAGATAAAATTGTCTACCATGGGGGTCTCCGCCATAGAGCTTAAAAAAAAACAGAAAATTCCACGAAGATATGCCAGAAAACCGAATTTCGTTTTTTTAATTTTTTGAGGTTATGAGATTTTCAATACATCGTTTCGTTTTGGAGAAATTATCAACTTAATTTTTTCATATGGCTCGTAAAAAAAGTACACACTGTATTGAATACTATTTTTTTTTAATTAGGAATAGAACACTGTACGGCACACAAAAAAAAGCAAAAGTTGCAACCTTTGGTGGTTTCAACAGAATGGTGCACCCGCGCACAACGCCCTAATAATGCAAGAATACCTATCAAAACAAATTTCCTGGAAAATTTCTCCAATAGGTATTCTCGCACGAAGTTGTGTGCGGGTGCACCAGCCTGTTGAAACAAACTTTTGCTGTTTTTATGTGCCGTATATCCTTGCATTCGTAATAAAAAGTGCTACTTAATACAGTGTGTACTCTTTTTACGGACCATATAAAAAAATTAAGCTATGAAGATTACTCCAAAACGTTGTATTGAAAATCTCTGAACAGTATCTAGCAAAACTCAAAAAGTGATAGTGTTCTTTATTTTTTGGTACGTAATCGGAATTTTCTGGTTTTTTGAAAGCATGGTAATGATCTTTAATTGTGGATCTTCTCTCTAATCCCCATGATAGACACGTTTATCTGGGGCACACTGTAGTCTTCCGCAGTTTAACGTGTAAACTAGAAACTAATAACTATCAAAAGGACTGATATTCACAGTGCATTTAATAACATTTTTCAAAAAACCATAGAAAATAGGATCTATGTTGAAGAGAAGGAACATTACAACGAATGTAAGACAAGTAACTGCCACCTTAGTGACTAATAGAAGGTGCCCCCAAGGTGAGGTGCTGTCCTCCTGACAGTTAAAAAAGAGATTGATGACATGAAATTTATGATCCAAATATTTTTTTTAAGTATTTCAAAAATTAAAAAAAATATAACACATATCCCAGCATAATTAAAATTTCAGTACGCTGCCTTTCAGATAAATGGGCCATTTATGTTTACTTGTATTTCATTCATAAATGGATGTCAACCAATTTATCTTAGTAACTTTTTACTTTGCAAACTACCTTAACAGTTCTAAGGCGCAATCAATTGTTTCTGTATCTAGCTGCGCCTAAAACAGTCATGGGCGACTGGATTAATAAGCATTGTTGAAATACACCTATGCACCAGGTTATCGCGAAAATTGTTTCGATGCATAGCCCTCGGCATAGCCATTAATATTTTGTCCTGTAATTGGGTGTTTCTGTTGGGCAAATAAAGCATTATTATTATTATTATTTGAAAAATGGAAGAAACAGCTTATCAAAAAAGTTATATTGTCATTTGAAACAAAATTTGTGACGCATTTGGTTTAGAAAAACTGAAAAAATAAAAAATTTCATGTGACAAAAAATTAAACACAAAATAACTTTAAAATTTTTTGATAAAATGGAAATTTATATTCCATACTTCTGGGGCATCCTGTATGTACACAATGTATAAAAATAAATAGCCACAAAAGCAAGTTTCTTACATGCTTACATACCTATATACTCTTTTAACACGGAAAATGGCATATTACCGGATTCACCAGCCAACAAGAATTAAAATCCGTCTGTAAAAGCAAAAATTACTTAAACCGTTTATTTGATAAGTAATGTAAACCTAATTGTCAGTTTGCACAATCTAAAGTAAAGAGAATGCTCTTATCCACAAGTGTAGGTAATTCTGATTGTATTATCGTCACAATGTAAGTGTAATGCACTTACAGCATATTAATGTAAAAGTACTCTCAAGGCCCGGTAACGACAACAAACTGCAAAATAAAATGTTGAAAGAATGGTTAGTTGCACTTCCAGATGGATCCATTGGAAACTTACTCCAAAGCACTTTAAAGCTCGACATACCAATTTTGAATATTTCCTTCGGCCGTACTGTACATTCTTCGCATTAGAAATTGGCCACAGCACATCACATTAAAACTCACGCTGTTTTATCAAAGCTAAAATGTGGCAACAATGCGAAGATGGACAAATGCGTACATTTGTCCATCTTAACATGTCGACAAGAATGCACTCCGACTTCCAAGTTGTCACATAGGATGTTTAAAAGAAAATTTTGCATGTCGTCCATGAGGAAATAAATGATTTGATATTTTTCAAAGATATTTATTAACTTATATAACAACTTAGCGTAAAAGAAACTGAGATCGTTTAAATATACAGGGCCTATGTGCTTTTCTTTTCTATTTCACCACCTACCTGCACATAAGCTAATTTACCTAAACTAAGAGAGAAGGAGAGTAACAAGAAATTTATTCAAAAAATACCCTTGAGAGATGCGATTCGATTGCCTCGACGATTTCTTTGGCGTGCGGGACGTTCTCTTCCGCCAGTATCGTAAGTACGCTGATCAGCGGCTTGCTGTTGAACGTCAAATCTTGCAGGCTCGACGTGTACTCCTCGCGTATTTCGCTTATTCCGGCCATCGGTGGGGCTTCCTAAATCTGCAAGTCGCACGTTGTAGCTTTCCCCCACAGGCAAAATTACTCTAACATATTGACCTATTTTCACTTACGTTTTTAAAGCGTCAAACGGTACGGGTGCATCGTTGCATCGCCTTTTAACGTTCGTAACGGCAACTATTTAATGTCCGTTGCACTTTTAATGTAGAAAATAAGCACCAAATGTATTTTAAGCACAACACGTAACAACTACACACAAAATGGAGGTTCACGGACTTGTTTATTACGTCAATTTCCCCGAAAAGGCCGCGTTTGCGCAGCAACGACTCGGACAAATGACGGAGCGGTTGCATTCAAGTCGGAACAATTTATTAGTCGCATTCAATAATAAACGGTCAGTGTTTAATGGCCGTTTGCACCGACAAATTTAAGGGTAGCTTAGTAGTACGATTGTTTTCCATTGTAAAAATGGCATGTGCATTTCTTGTGATGTTAGTAACGTACAGTAGGTAGGTACTTTGTGTCATCGTTGCGTCACCGGAAGCGGCTTTAGCAGTAGGCCGGTTCGAGCACATCATAACCCCGTGTTGTACAAAGATTCGTTGGAGCGAAAAGGAACCTTGTCGAACCTGCCGAAAGGACGAAACGCTATACAGTGACGTATTCACCAGTACACGTTGAAAGCAGTAGTGGCGCCGGCCAACAAGACCGACAAGGACAACGCTAGTTTTATATTCAAATTTATGAAACGTACTTTTTCCGTAGACCAAATATGACGTACTTGGTATATTATGTTGGGACTTTAGGTACACGTAACCTTCACGTGAACTTGGCGTGCCTCTAGACACCACTTTTTCAAAAAATGTTGATTTTGATTTTTATTTAAACAAGATTTTTATGGATATATAATAAAATAGAATTTTAATAACAATGAGGAAAGAAAGTGCCCCACAACTGCCATTTCACTATGTAATATCAAAGATAATCTTCAACATCATAAATCTAAAATTAATTGTTGTTATAAAATAATTTAGTTTCAAGTGGTAAATGTTTTACAATGGTTTTTATTGGAGAAACTTGATTATTCCCCACTGAATGAGAATCCTAAAGAGGTGGAAGAGAAAGTTTTGATTTGGTGAAAGTATACAAATTCCTCAGTAGGTATTAGAATATCTACATCTCTAGAATGGTGGTCTCTATCTCAATACTAGCGACAGCATGTGCAGTTATACTCCTAGTGTTACTATTAATAATTATAACGGCCTTAATTTCAAGGAAACCTTTGAAGCATCTTCTGACCGAAATAGTATTTGAGGTGCGCTACAATTTTTTAGGCATGCTGTCGGTGTTAGACGATTTGGTGTTACAAGAGAAGGAAAACTCGGAAGGTTTTTTGTTTGCAAAATTAAGGGAAGTAGTTCATTGGTTCGTTTTAGAGTTGCTCATGAGCAATGGAAAGATTGCGCTGATAACCGGCGGTACGAGAGGTATCGGGGCGCAGGTCGTTAGAAAGTTATTGCAACGTGACCTGCACGTCATCATCGGTAAGGCTGTAGTGGTCAACTCGCCCGAAATTGAAGGTTTTCGTTTGCAGGATGCAGAAATGTGGAAGCTGGTCAGAAATTATGCGAGATATATAGAGCGAAAGGGGTTAGAACGGGGAGTTTCGACGTTCAGCACCTCGATTTGAACTCGTTATCGTCTGTGCGTGCCTTCGCAAAGGTGATCAAAGAGAAGTATCCGAGGATAAATATTTTAATCAATAACGGTGAGCAAGTAGGAAATTGGTACGTTAATAATTCGTGCCGTTTTAGCCGGTATTATGTTTGGTCCATATAAAGTGTCCGAGGACGGTTACGAGTCACAGCTCGCCACGAATTACATAGGCCATTTTTTGTTAACCCACTTATTGCTGCCTGAAATGATAAAAGCCGGTAGAGAGGATAAGAGATATTCACGAATCGTGAACGTGTCGTCCTGCGCGCATAAACTGGGAGATATTGATTTCGAAGACTTCAACTTTAAAAAACATTACATTCCGTCACAGGCCTATGCACAATCGAAATTGGCCCAAGTTTTGTTTAGCAACTACTTAAATTCGCTAATGAGAGACGCCAGCAGGTGGGTGGGAGTTTATTCGGTCCATCCCGGAATCGTGAACACAGACTTGTTTAACCAGTGGCATTTCGAAGTACTGCTGAATAAGCATGTGCGGCGCCTGTTTTTTAAGGTATTTCCATTTGATGTTTCATTTTCTTTACAAATCAATTACAGACACCGGAAACCGGATCTATAAGCGTTGTATATGCTTGTCTATCACGAAAATTGGAAATCGCGACAGGGACGTACATCAGCAACAGTCAAATAACATCCATGAGTGCATCGGCTTATTCCACCGACCTACAGAGGAGACTGTTTGAATTTACCATGAATAAATTAAACATTCGAGAATTCGGCGTAGAATAGACACCTGTCGATTGTAACTTTTATTACTATTGTGTTGTTATCTTTGGTCAATAATTGTAAAATATAAAAAATATCACCGTCACCATTAAAATTAAGTACAAGTAATTTACTAATTGCTATAATAAATAAGGAATGTCACAAATTATGTAATAAATACAAGCGTAAACATTTATATAGTTACATTAGATAAATAGCGGGTGAAATTAAATTGTGATGATCTCAATGAAACTTCAAAAGACTAGATTTTAAAATCTGAAATTTGTAAACAATCGCTAACGTACAATTATAATTGTTTAAAACAAAAACGTAACAAGAATCAGGAGGGAGACGTTGTACTTAATGTTATTGCACAATAAAGAGATACAAATTTACAAAAGCGTAGAAGAATCACTTGGACTTCGGACCACTTCTATCATGTAATGGTGAAATAAGTTTAGTTGCATGCAATCGCCACTAGGAGCAACTAGTGCACTTCACAGAAAACGAATTATTATTATCCTAATGTTGTAAAATATGGAAGAAGGATTGGAGTAAGCGTCATATTTTTTTAGTCATACTATGGGTACTACTTTCAAAATATTTGGCAGTAATGTTTCAGGAAGAAATGATTTTTTAAGAAAAACGAAATACTACCGTACAATGAATGTTTTTAGGATACCAACAATAAAAAAAAACGATGGCATCCATTTAAAAAAAAGTTGAAAGTCGCCATTTGGAAATAATTCGACAAATAGCAAATCTGATATCACCATCGTGTGGAGAATGTTCTGAAACATTGCTACTAAATATTTTCAAAGTATTACCCATAGTGTGGCTAAAAAAAATATGAAACAGGCTGTATGTAGCCTCTGAATTATTTTTTATTGTAAATGTTTTAACTTATCTGTGATAGTTCTGATTCTCGCCACCCAAAGAGGAGAGAACTTTATTAATTGGGGCAATATTGAATTTTTAGAATATTTAAAAGCGTTTTTTTTTAATGATGAAACAGGATTTATGATTGGCTACAGGATAAATAATTATTAAATTAGCTAAGCCTACTATGATAATGTTTTATCGACAGCTGACACAAAAGTGAACATATACATTCCACCAAACTTCACAAATGAACCAAATGACAATAGATCGGTAAAAGCAAATCACATAGCAGCAGATGTGAGAAAAAAAGAGTCAAACATACAATGGATGCAGCAAAAGAAAAGCAGGAATATAATAGTAAAGCCAAAAGAAGGAACTATCTACAAGGATATAGTCAAATGGATGAAAACTGAAATCGACATAAAAGAAATAGTTAAATAGAACCAAAACAGGAGCTGTGAAGTTAGTCACGTTAGGTAGTTTAAATTTGGCAAAGTTGCGTATTTTGATGATAAACAAAATGCCGTTTTGAAACTGAAAAAATTTCGACTACTTTCGGAGATATTCTGAAAAAAAACGAAATTTTGCAAAATCATTATTTTTTACCAAGTTATTTAAAAAAATATTTCAAAATAAATGACACATTATGACCACTATTGTCCCTATATAAGATGCTAGTTTTAAAGGCTGACGTTTCGTCTCCGGTTAACAATCATCATTTGTTTTTTCTTACGAAAGTAATTTTTACTTTTTGTGTCATTTGATAGAGCATTTTTTCTGATTTCAAAAATGTAAATATCACTACTTTAATAATTCGTAAAAACGTAAGAAACAATAAACATACACTACCCTCAGAGAAGATATTTTTAAAAAAATAGTGATATTTACAGAGACCAAATGGAAGCTGATTAATAACATGATAACACAAATACTAAAAACAAAAGAAAAAGATTTCAAACAGGAAAGAATACATAGAACATAAAGTAAACAACAGTGGCAAAAGAGGAGGGTTTTAGTGGGTCTGCCTCTCAGAGACTCCCACGCTACCACTCAGGTGCCCATAGAGGATAAGGGATTCAAAACACATAAGGCAATCAAAACTATGTGAAAACTTACCTACAGTGTTATCCGACTGGATTAAAAATAGGGAACTAGTTAATTTATGCTATTAACCCCCCTCCCCCTACAGTACAGAGAAACATATGAACGTCTTAAATTTTGACAATTTCATTGAATGAGTGATAAACCCATTTTGAGTGCTTGTTTCGCCCCCTGCAGTGATTATAGGCAACTAAAAATATGCTCCAGCATTTTCTCTTAGGCACATTAGTACATAATTAAAAAGTTCCCTTAAAAGCTCTATTTGTCGTTATTTGTTTGAATATAGCAGCTCCCGTTCTCCTACCGAAGTGACCCCTTTACGCTTCCGCACAAACTAGATTTAAACGTGCAGATTTCGCATTTATAAATAAATTACGTTAATTTGCTACAACAACTGGAATCGTTAACCGAGGAAGTCCTAGCCGTTATGTTAGTGGTGCTACATTCGTACCGCGATAAATCTTTATTTCTCGCCTGCTGCATTAAATCTTCCGCTATCTTCATAAACAGCTTCTCCACGTTTTCCGCCTCCTTCGCCGACGTTTCTAAAAAGTACATGTTATGCCTAGCCGCGAAGTCTTCGCCGACGAACGTCGGTATCTCTCGATCCTCTCGGTCGATCTTATTGCCTAAAACAACCGTTGAAGCTTCAATTGGTCGCACTTTCAACAGGGTTGGCGCAAAAATACAAATTCTCCATTTGCCAATCCAGACAAGAAGAACAAAGAACTTGTGTTCTAAAACTACATCTACTTACTAGAGCTGTGACCAAATGGTCAAAAAATCCAAATATTAAAACAATAGAGGATCTTACTTTGAATTTTGCACCGTAAGTAGAACACCGCACATGCGCAATAGCGTCCGAATGTAAATTACTCGTATTTTCTACTGTAATAACAAAATTGCGAATTACAACACCGTAAACGCCTGCGGAAATAACACGTCACTGAAATGCCGGGAATGTCAATTGTACTGTCAACTCAGTGCGCATGATCGGTATTCTACTGTTGGCTATCTCTCTCACATATGTTGGCTATATCTATGGAATAGACAGGGTGCTACATGACCACATGTAAAAGAATTGGGTGATAGAGGGGATCAAGACAAGCACTTTTTCCAAATAAACAGAGGGTCCAACGTGTAAATTATTTGAAAAAAAAAATAAAAAAATTCATTTTTAATCTACAATTTGGATTTCTTCTTTAATTTTTTTCTCAGCAACCATAAGAGTTACAAAAATGGGTAGCACGTCTTTGAATAGGTTTTCGGGTATGCCCTGATTTTGAAAAAAAAATTTCAAAATTCCTACCACGGAAGGGCGCGAAGAAAAATTCTGATTTCGACAAAATTTGGTATCTGGGGGTTTTTGGGTCTTCAGGTTACAAAGTGTCACCCGCCTACTACTGAGTGATCTAATTTCGCATGGAGTTAATTGAAAATGTGGCAAATAGCCAAAAAAAAACGATTTAAGTCGATAATATTCAAAAATAATAAGTTTCAATGGTAACCAAATAAAAATAATGCTAAAACAATAGACATTTGTTTGCCAAATACCTAGATACCTGATAATAAATAAAAAGATCCAACAGTAAACAGTAAAAAAAAAAGGTACTGCTTATTAACTTAAAAAACATATGATGATACAAGTCGTTTTCTGAAAAATCAAAGTAATTGTTTTATGGCAATATTATAAAATTGCTTCAATTAACATTTTATTATTTAAATCATTTCAAATTGCATATGGAAGAAAAAATGCAAATGAATCAATAGATAAATTATTCATTGGTTCATATTGAGCTTGTTTCTAGTATGATCCTTGGTTTTCAGTCTGACTTTTTTTTATAAAAAACATTTCACTTGAATCAACTGAATTAAATCATCATAACGCTCTTCAAAATGAGACCTGCCTGCATTCTCTATACGACACTGTTGCTGTGAGGCTACGCTGTACTAAATAAAAGGTGCCTTTTTCACAGTAGAAGCTTCCTTAAACTGAGGAAAACTTTTTTGTTTTTTTTTCAAAACAAATGAACATATAAACAAGAAAATCATGTTTGAATGTCTAAAAAAAAACCACCCTTGATTTCTAAGGCACGTACTCACCGACTAATATCCGTAAAACCTTGCTACTCGCATACTCCTCGATTTCGCGCAACCAGTCCGGCAAGCAATCGAAGGTAGGTTGGCAAGATATGTCATATACTAAGATCAGCGCGTGGGCCGATCGATAATAGCTTTGAGTAATTGACCTAAATCGTTCTTGTCCCGCCGTATCCCAAATCTGCAACTAATCGCTCCGTTTACAAATCCGCTCGACACCTCGTCGGACAGCACTTACTTTAACTTTTTCATTGTCCACCTCGACGGTTTTTATCATAAAGTCGACTCCTATCGTCGCCCCCTGTCCCGGGGGAAACAGACCCTGCGTGAATCTCCTGACCAGGCACGTCTTACCGACACCTGCGTTTCCGACGAGAACAACTTTAAAAAGAAACTTAAAATCTTCCATGGTACACATGCGGCTCAATTAAGCATACTATGCCCTGAAACTGCAACATGACAGATTGTTTAAAGTTTGTAAATATGGATATTACGTCATGCAGCGGTGCTGCCAAAGAACATATGATGAGATCAAAAATTCTCCCCTATTTTCGGAGGGGAAGTGCAATTATTTAAAATGGAAATATAGGTCGTTTTCCATGTTCTTGGCAACGGAGCAACAGTCTTTTGTTTTTAAATTAAATTCTCGTTTTTTGAGTTTTGATTTGACATTTGAGAGTCAGACCTGGAGTTTGACATCTAAAACCAGAGGCGTCCATGGTAGCCCCTAGCAGCGGGGTCGTTAGCATTTACAAGGTAACGTAGCGTATTTCGAAGTTTTACTAATTTTTTAAAATGTAAACATCCTTTTATCGCCACTTCAATGGCATGGTTTGAAATGGCCTATAAAGTTTCGGTATGTTGCTGCAATGATCATAAATGCTTCTAAAAGGGGCCCCAGAAGCCTCTGGAAAGTTAGAGTCTAGAGTACTTTGCAGTCTTCTGAATTTTCGGGAATTCAGTCCCTTGTTAAAGCTTACCAAAACTAGGCGACTTTAGAAGAGCCTAAAAACTACAGATGTTTCCCTCCGATGTTCCCAAATGCTCTAAAGGACACATTCTTTATATGGCATGGAGGGTTTTTAAAAAAATGTGAAATGCGTTTATAAGAGCATACTACGTTTTTCATATCAAGGGAACATTTGAAATTTCTAGATCCTTTATCCAGGGCCTTGTAGGTTCTCTCAGACAAACGCGAGCCAAGAGCACATAAAGATATAAAAAATTTAAAGCTTCAAAACCTTTGTATGACGTTCCCAAAGCTAGGCAAGCATTAAAAAGCTCTAGAAAACAATTTCAGAGACTTCAGCCTTTGGGACCTTTAATATAAATAATAAAGATAATAGGAACTATGTAGGAAAAGTCAACATTGAAGGCAGGTTAATACAATAAGTCGGCGTATAGACAAAGTACTTTATAGGATTACCATCATTTAAAACCAGATACTATTGGAGTGTGCATTCACAGATCTGGGCGAATTAAAAAAAAATAGATTTGAAAGGAACAAGAGAAATTAAAATTAATAAATTCACCAAACTAACGTCATGGAAAGGGCGCAAGAAATAAAGAAAATAAGCTAAACCAAGTGTACAATAAATAGGAACGTTCAAATAACATAGGAGAAAAAATTAACAAAACATCACAGACCACCACCAAATTAATGATCCACAGTCTCAGCAATACATTACACAGGCAGGAAAGCAATAAGCATAAAACCAAAAGCGTGGTGTAATATCAAATGCAACACAGAATGTCTTTTTGACCAACTTTGGTAACCCAGCAGATTAGGAACTCATCCTGTAGCTTTATTTTGTTAAAATACGCAAAGTAGTATGTTACAGGGAAATATAAAATAGATTACAAAATTTCTTATAGCGAAGACTTCAGTGAAATTGACACCTAAATGGCAGTATAATTTGTTAATAGTAAACCACATTGCTAATGTCTGTGCACCAATTGTACGCATTTTGAAACAAACGTTCCCAAGGACTCTTCTGATACATTTCCCAGCCGACCGGCACATAAGGCCATAAAAACATTTGATCACATCGCTCCGGATGTGGCATCATTGCCAAGTGCCTGCCGTCCCTTGAACACACCGCCGCCAGTCCTTCGACGCTACCATTAGGATTCATGGGATAATTTTCGGTTGGATTTCCTCTGTCATCGACATATCTCATACCGACACAATTACTTTTTACCAAGGCTTTGTAGATCGCGTCGTTTTTAAACGTAAATCGTCCCTCGCCGTGAGCAATCCACACGCCCATAATTGAGCCCTCCATCCCTTGCAACATAATCGAATTGCATTTTTCAATTTTAACCGTACTCCAACGACATTCGAAGCGTTCAGAGAGATTATGCTCCAATAAAATATCCGGATTGGATTGGGCGGTCACCGGCGATCCGATCCAACCGATCAGCGCCATCAGCTGACATCCGTTACACACGCCCAAACTAAAGGTATCGGGGCGCGCAATGAAATCTCTAAATTGTGTCTGGATTTTTTCGTTAAATAGTATACTGGCCGCCCAACCCTTGGCCGAACCCAAAACATCTGCAAGATGATTAATTAAAACCTGCGCGCACAGGCCCGAGACCCCTTACCCGCATAACTGAAACCGCCCGGAAAAACAATACCACGGAACTGATTTAAACTCACAGATCCACTGATCAAATCTTCCATTGTGATGTCATAGACTGTAAAACCTACTCGAACAAGAGCGGCGGCCATCTCACGATCTCCATTGACGCCCTCTTCTCGTATGACGGCCACACTACACTTGATTTTATTGTCTTTTGACATTTCCTCGTCAGGATGGAATGTGAGCTTGTAAGGCGGTGCCGTTCTCGTGCTTAGAGAGTGAAATTCTGAATCCGCACAATACTTGATCGTCTGCTGCAGTTCCAGGTGATAACTGGTTTCCTCCCACATCTTCATCAGTGGCAGAACCGTACTTTCGATGCAGCCATTATTTACGGCGATCGCCACTTTTGAATTCATACCAAAACCGGTACTTCTTCCAATGTTGTATACGGGAACCTCGTTTTTCTACAATTAAATGAGTTAAAGAAACTTATCTGAAGTGAAGTTCTGAACGTAATTGTATTATTCGACTATAGTTCTAATTATGTAATGACACCAAAATAAAAGCAGCTAGAATTCAGGCTGCTAGCCTGAACCCACTACACACGATGTGATAATATCAACATCTTCATATAAAGTAAAACTCTTGAGTAAAAAGCAAAGAATTAATTCATTGGCCATAATGACAATTTTTTTCACTTTTGGTTTCCCGGAAATAGTTTTTTTAAACACCCCGTATATATATTTTATTTTTTAATAATAAAAAACCACTACTGGTAACAATGTACTCAAAAAAAATATATACAGGCTGTTCTGTTTTGTTCAAAAACTTTAAGGTTTCTCTCTGGTCAAATCAGAAGTGATATAATTTTTTTTTAATTAAACACCCCGCATATTTTTTTAATTTTTGATTAAAAAACCAATACTAGCAACAATGTATTAAAAATAGAAAATATACAGGCTGTTCTATTTTGTTGAAACACTTTGGGGTTCTTTCTGGCCAAATCGGAAGTGATATAATTTTTTTTTAAATAAAACATTGTACATATTATTTTATTTTTGAATAAGAAACCGCTATTAGCAACACTGCACTCAAAAATAAAAAATATACAGGCTGTTCTTTTCTGTTCAAAAACTTTAGGTTTCTCTCTGGTCAAATCAGAAGTGATATAATTTTTTTTTAATTAAACACCCTGCATATTTTTTTTATTTTTGATTAAAAAACCAATACTAGCAACAATGTATTAAAAATAGAAAATATACAGGCTGTTCTATTTTGTTAAAACACTTTGGGGTTCTTTCTGGCCAAATCGGAAGTGATATAATTTTTTTTAAATAAAACATTGTACATATTTTTTATTTTTGAATAAGAAACCGCTATTAGCAACAATGCACTCAAAAATAAAAAATATACAGGCTGTTCTTTTTGTTCAAAAACTTTAAGGTTTCTCTCTGGTCAAATCAGAAGTGATATAATTTTTTTTTAATTAAACACCCCGCATATTTTTTTAATTTTTGATTAAAAAACCAATACTAGCAACAATGTATTAAAAATAGAAAATATACAGGCTGTTCTATTTTGTTAAAACACTTTGGGGTTCTTTCTGGCCAAATCGGAAGTGATATAATTTTTTTTAAATAAAGCATTCTGCATATTTTTTTATTTTTGAATAAGAAACTGCTATTTGCAACAATGCACTCAAAAATAAAAAATATAGACTGTTCTTTTTTGTTCAAAAAGCTTTTAGGTTTCTCTCTGGTCAAATCAGAAGTGATATAATTTTTTTTTAAATAAAACATTCTACATATTTTTTTATTTTTGAATAAAAAGCCACTATTCGCAACAATTCACTCAAAAATAAAAAAATATACAGGCTGTTCTATCTTATTTAAAACCGTTGGGGTACTACAAAGAGTCAAAATCATACAGTTCAATAATCAAAACTCACTCTTGTAAATCGTCAAACTTACCTTAAATACGGTTAAGCAATGTTCAACATCGCTGTCTAACACTTCTAAAACCCAGCCAGGTTCCTCCGCGAACAGAATTGGTAAAATTTGTCCATTTTTGTGCGTAATATTGACATCAATTCCGCTCATTCCTCCAAAGCACATCTCCAACAAGCAGGTAATCAATCCCCCATCACTCACATCATGACCGGAGCATATTGCCGACTCCTGAATGAGCTGTTGCGTGGCAACAAAGGCGCTCTTGAAGGTTTCCGGTTTATCGACGTCCGGAACATCGTCCCCCAACTGGCCGAAGCACTGCGCGAGCGCGGAACCTCCCAACCTGTTCTTACCGTGCGATAAGTCGACAAACAGCAAAGTTCCCTTTTTCCCGAGAGATGGCGCTTTGAGATCGGGCGTTACGACTTTGCGTACATCCGGGCATGGAGCGTAGGTAGAGACGACTAAGGTGCCGGGAGCTTTGACGGTTTTGTCGCCGACGCGCGCCGCCATGCTTAGTGAATCTTTTCCTCCGTCGATTGCGATTCCAAGTTGCGACATAAATTCGCACATCGCCTTGCACGTGTCGAATAAGGCGGCACCCTCGCCGGCCATTTTCGCCGCCCACATCCAATTGCCGCTGCATTTTACGTCGCGAATGTCGCTAATGACCGCAAAGACAAGGTTGCTGAGCGCTTCGGCGACGGTCATACGTGCACCGGCGCCATTGTCGAGCAGGCCTTTGATTGGCTGCTCTCCAATTGACGTAGCGATGCCTTCCTACGAAAGCGAGATCAGTTTAAAACGTTTCAAACTCAGACGTACATATCCGAAGTGCGAAATTGCAGTAACCGCAACATCCGCCAGAGGAGTGTGTAACGGTCCCACGCACTGCTGCTGCGCAATTAGGCCGGTGACGCAACGGTCCACTTTATTTGTGAGATATCGTTTGCTGGCAACAGAAGGTAATCTTAACACGTGATCCAATGCTTGATAAATAGAGAGAGGTTGGGGCAAACTCAATGGCTCCAAGATTTTTGGTACCCTACGTAAATTAAACACCTTTTGTGGCATCTTTCCTGAAATTGCAAGTGTGAATGGAATTGAAATCCGAAGTTTAATGTCATACCTAAGACATGCTCTAAATCTAAATTAAACGGTTGTACTTTGGCATCTTCATCTAATATCAGCGCAACTTTTCCAGTGCCGGTAACCTCCCCCACGAAATTGACAGGACACCTTTCGCGCTCGCAGATCTTCTTCAACAAATCCACATCTTCCTTATTACAAAGTAACGCGTTACTTTCTTGGTACTCCGCCCCCCAAAGCTCAAGCGCATTAATTGTCGGATCTCCCAAGTCAAATTTGGACGCGTAAATTACACCACCTGCCGGCTCCACCAACTCCTTCAGCACGTTGCCATTGCCTCCAGCACCCTGATCGTGTATACTGGTGATCGGATTTCTCCCCCCAAGCTCTAAGCAAGCTCGCACTACCCGATTTAGCTTATTCTCCATTTCCGCATCGCCTTTAAAAAAAAAACATTACTCGCGCCCTACGCGAATGTCCAGTTACCTCTTTGCACCGCATTAAAATCAAGCTCAGCCTTATTGTCGCCCTGCACCTCGATGGAACTGGCCGATCCGCCACCGACGCCTATCCTATACACCGGACCGCCGATCTTCACGATCTGCTGTCCCTTCTTCGGTGGAAGCTTATCTACCATGTCGGCCTCCATGCTGCCGAGACCGCCGCTAAACATGATCGGTTTGATCCACTCGCGTCTCACCCGGTTCGCGACGATCATGCCGAACGTTCGCGCGAAACCGCAAATGACCGGTTCGCCGAATTTGTTTCCGTAATCGGATGCGCCGTTGCTGGCCTCTATTAAAATGTTGAGTGGGGGCGCGAAGTTCGGAGGATAGGTAAATGTGCGGTCCTCCCATGGCAGTGGGTAGTCTTTAATGAAAAATAACCGTTGTAATTATTATTATAATTTTTTTTAATAAACAATGACCTATAACGCGCTCTAACACTCTGAAAAATATTTCTGTCCCCCCACCCTCGTCACTTTTTGAAAATTTGTTATGGATTAACCCGTGATGGTGTTAGGTTTAATTCAAGTGGCGAGCGGACATAACCAGATGGCAAAGATACCGGCGGTGATAAAATACGTAGTTTGGAGGCGGGGTGGGATGATTATTTATCAAATCTCGGGGGGGGGGGGGCAAGTGAACGGATCTTGACAATGCGTAACATTTCCATATAATGGCCATTACAGTGTGCACATTTTTAATTCTGTTAGGTGATGTTTTGTGGTGATGTGTTGCAAATTCACACTGTGCACATTTTAAAATATTTGAAAGTATTGTGAGTTACTTAACTTTGCTTTGTATTGGTACCAACACATAACAAGCCTACAGCGGGATGCGCAGATGGCTAATTTAGAGTCTGGAAGAGGAACCAAGTAGGAACCAGTGGAATAATTACTAGGAAAAATTGACCCCACACTATCAGGGTGTGGCGCTAGCTCTAACATCAGTAGTGTTAAGTCTGATGAACATACCGCTTGCTCTTTCAGAAGTCTGCAGCAAACTTTGTAACAGCGCTAGCTGAACTCAAAGTGGGCCAGTTGGCGCTAAGTAATCAAAACATAAAACGCCAATATTTAACTTAAAAAACAAAATGGTGGTGCTAGGAAAAATTGTCTGCCTAGCTGTGCTAATATTATATAGACAGCTTTGATTAATTAATGTCACATTTTTTATTTGATTAAAGCCTAAAGTTTGATGGTAAATTTATTACAATTTAATCAAATAAAAAAATGATAATGGAAAAGCTCTTTAAACCAGACAAGTTTTCTTCAAACCCTGATAGTCCTACGGCTCAACAAGAATGGCTTCATTGGATTCGACTATTCGAAAACTTCACTGAAAGATCCGAATATGTAGTGAAAGACGAAGATCAGTTGCAGGTACTGTCAAATTTTTTATCTTCTAACGTATTTGAATACATTAACGATTGTACAACATACCAAGCCGCTATAGATATTCTTAAAGCCCTTTATGTGAAACCGAAAAACTTGATTTATGCTAGACATCAACTTGCAACTCGAAAACAACCCTCAACAGAATCAATTGATCAGTATTTGACTGCTCTCAAGTCGTTAGCCAAGGAATGCCATTTTAAGGCGGTGTCTGCTGAACAAAACAAACAAGATTACATTCGAGACGCCTTTATTGCAGGTTTATTTTCATCTAACATACGACAGAGACTTTTAGAGAACAAGTCCCTTGAACTAGATGAAGCAGAAGAAAAGGCTCGATCAATTGAAAGAGCAATTAAAAAGAAGTAACCAAGCTCCTTCAAGCTGGAATAATTGAGGAGAGTTCCTCTCCATGGAGGGCCCAAGTAATAGTTACTAAAAATGCTAATCATAAAAAAACGCATGGTCATAGATTATTCAAATACTATAAACAAATTCACCGAATTAGATGCTTACCCAGCACCATGTGTGGAGGAGGTGATCTCGGAAGTAGCCAAATATAGTCATTTTAGCACAATAGACCTTGAGTCGGCCTACCATCAAGTTCCCATTTGTGCTGATGAACGACCGTTTACGGCATTCGAAGCTTGCGGGAGACTGTATCAATTTACAAGACTTCCATTTGGTGTCACTAACGGGGTACCGGCTTTCCAAAAATTTATTGATAAAATAGTCGACACTGAAAAACTTTGCGGCGTTCATTGTTACATTGACGACATTACAATTGGCGGACGTAATAAAGTTGAACATGACGAAAATCTTAATAAATTCCTTGAAGTAGCAAAGAAATACCATATCAAATTAAACGAGAAGAAGAGTAAATTTTCTACTACTTCCATTAAACTGTTAGGACATCTTATAAGTGAAGGTTCGATCAAACCGGATCCCGATCGTTTGAAGCCTTTGTTGGAAATTTCTCCGCCTAGTGATAAAGGATCTTTACAGAGAATAGTCGGTATGTTTGCTTATTACTCGAAATGGATTCCACGATTCTCTGAAAAGATTCGTCCTCTGATGAATAGCAAATCGTTTCCTTTATCAAAAGAAGCCACATCAGCTTTTTCAAAACTTAAGAGAGACATTGCCAACTCTTTACTCGTATGTGTGGACCCGAAATTTCCTCTAGTTGTCGAAACAGATGCTTCAGATGTTGCTATCTCTGCAGCTCTCACACAAAACGGACGTCCTGTTGCTTTCTTTACTAGAACTCTTACCGAAAGTGAAAAGAAGTACCCTGCAATAGAAAAAGAAGCTACTGCTATTATTGAGAGTATTAGAAAGTGGAGACATTTTTTGTGCAATCGACATTTCAAACTTATTACTGATCAGGAAGCATTGTCGTTTATGTTCAATTTGCAACATACAAGTAAAATCAAAAACGATAAAATTCAGCGATGGAGACTAGAGATGTCTTGTTATAGCTTTGATATCTCATATCGTCCTGGTTCTCTCAACAAAGTAGCTGACGCGTTATCGAGGATTTGTGGAGCCACAAATCACGATGAATTGTATAATTTACACAAATCTCTGTGTCATCCAGGAGTTACCAGAATGTATCACTGGATCAAATCAAAGAATCTACCTTTTTCTTTAGAAGAAATTAAACAAATCACTTCTGCATGTCCCGTTTGCGCAGAATTGAAACCTCGATTCTATAAATCTCAAGAAAATCATCTGATTAAAGCTACAAGACCATTCGAAAGGCTCAATGTAGATTTTAAAGGACCAGTCCCTTCTAACACTAAGAATACGTATATTTTGACTATTGTTGACGAATATACAAGATTTCCTTTTGCCTACCCCTGTCGGGATATGACCTCTGCTACGATTAAAACAAACCTTTACAATCTTTTCTCAATATTCGGGACTCCTGCATATATTCATTCTGACAGAGGAACAACATTTCTCTCGAAAGATCTCATTAACTATCTTCATACACAAGGCATCGCTACGAGTTCATCTACTCCATATAAGCCTCAGGGCAACGGACTTGTCGAACGGTATAATGGAATTTTATGGAAAACCATGTCTTTGGCTATGAAGAATAAGGCATTAGAGACTTCGCGATGGGAAGAAGTTTTGCCAGAATCATTACATGCCATACGTTCCCTTTTATGTACATCTATAAATTGCACTCCTCACGAAAGGATGTTCTCCCATGCACGTCGTTCGACAAATGGAATAGCTATACCTTCTTGGTTAGCAAATCCAGGAAAGGTACTAATGAAGAGTCATGTACGAACTTCCAAGTACAGTCCATTGGTCGAAGAAGTGGATCTGATTGAGGCAAATCCAGAATATGCTTTAATCCGACGGGCAAATGGGAAGGAAGTTACGGTTTCTTTAAATCATTTGGCACCAACAGGGGACAGTTCAATATTTGGTCGTGAAGAATCTACAGGTCAAGATCACAGTTTTGAATCTGATCGAGCTGTTCCTCATGTATCAGAAGTTCCTGTCATTGAATCCAATTCCTTCCCCAACCCAGTATTAACAGAAGAACAAAGAAGATCGCAACGAGAAAGAAAATTACCGTTGTATCTACAAGACTACATTTCAAAATAACTAGGGGAGAATGTGCTAATATTATATAGACAGCTTTGATTAATTAATGTCACATTTTTTATTTGATTAAAGCCTAAAGTTTGATGGTAAATTTATTACACTAGCATTAGCTATAGAGATTCAAGCGCAATCTTTCTCTAATCGGAAATTTAAAATGGTCAAAAATTTACTTTGACACACTTGCGCATGCGCGATTCTGCCCAAATTTGGTTCCAATTAGAGTACAGACAGACAGACCGGCATCATCTAGATTTTGTTTCATTCGGATTCCTGGTGCCCCCACCCCCACCGCCTTTACCATGTCCAGCCACTCCAGCTACGAAAAAACCGCCACTGAAAACTAGATACCACGGTGAATATGAGTCGCCGTGCTAGATAACCACCCGCTTGCTCAAATTCCTTAAAATGATACACCACACAGCTTTCCTATTGTCTTGATTAAGTTACATGAGTTCTTTAATTAAAAATTGGGATTTTTTAGATCGAATGTTTCATAATATTCCATGTGGTTAGGCAACACATTTAACAAATAGCTATTTCAACGAAACCTATACCGTTATTATTATTATAAGCATTTTTTTGATGAAAGTAAAATTTTTAAAATGGTCCAGTAGGCCATGGCTTTATTTAGATAATCTCTTGTTTTTATTAGTTTTGACAATTAGCATTTGAAATTGTATCCTGTGTTTGCATATGTTTATACCACAGCTAACTTACTATCCAGCTCCACAACTCTCGAGCGGCGCCTTTGATCTGGCGGTCTACAACCAAGCGAGATGGAATGGTGCGCACTTTCTCGCGCTTGGGGTAAAAGTCGGGGCCGGATTAAACGAATTTTCATCGCACAGTAGCTTCACAGTGCCGTAGTAAGTGATTTTTGTGCTATATTGTAACAAAGACTATCCTCATAGTCATTGATTGTAATGTGAACGTTTAGAATTTGCTGTACAATATTACGTAATATTGCAATGAAAGTAGGGTAAGGTGTTTAATAAATTTTATTGCCTAATTGAATTGAATTCGGGAAAATGGTCAACGTGGCAACACTGGGCTTGATTGCACGCCAAACAGGCAATGCAGTCTTTTACCCCAAGAGGCGGGGCATAATCGGCGCAAACCGCTCCCGCCAAGAGAGTTGTGCAGCTGGATGGTAAGTAAGCTGTGTTTATACATTAAAGGTTGTCAAGTATACGATGAAATTATAACACCCTGTAGATCGGTAACGAACCTATGTTTATATGAAGTTTTAGCCATAGAATTAGCCCCCTTCATATGTACATCATTTTTAGAAATACCCTGTATAAATTTGTCATTATATAGGTATGCTGACATTTCACTAACCTCACCCTCCATTTCATGGGGAAGGAGAGTATACCACATTGACAATCAACCCTTATTTTAAGGGGTTCTTTTATTTCGAGAGACGTGATAGAGATATGGCAAAAAGGTGTACATTTTTCATTTGGTTTACCCACTAACACTTGTAGGGAGTGTCACACTCCGACTCAGCCGTAGCGCTTGAATGCAAACAAACTCTAAAAAGGCCATTGGGCCTATAATTAGGTGAACTCTTCATTAACGTAATTAGATTTGATTATTTCTGGTGTGAATTCACATTTACGTACCTGGAATGTTCAAATTTCCGACAGAATAACCGGCCGTCCCCGCGATACAATAGCCACCACGACCAACAGCCTCGACATCACGAATCCGCCCACCAGTTCCGGTCGTGGCACCGCTAAAGGGGGCAACACCGGTTGGAAAATTGTGCGTCTCCGCCGTAAATATCAGATGGGAGTTGGCACGTTTCGTTCTCAGTTCGGACACACTTCCCGGAAAGACGGGTCGCAGGCTGGTATGCGAGTAACCTTTAATAGCACTAGACAAAAAATGTAAGTTAGATATTTTAACGGACAAACTGACCTGCTGTTATCGCCGAATTTAATCACATTGTTCGGATTGGTGTGCTTTTGGGTGTTGATGATCATATCAATTAGCGACTCCTCGTGTTCGACACCGTCTATAACCATTTTACCCTTGAAAAACCAGTGGCGGCTGTGTTCACTGTTCGACTGTGCCAAGTCGAAACATTCGACATTGGTCGGGTTCCGTTTTAAACGCCTAAATAAGTTCGTGTAGTAATCCAAATCGGTGTCGTCAAACGCGAGACCGAGCTCCGCATTAATTTCCCCCAAAGCTTCCTTTCCGCGGCTTAAAATGTCAATTTTGCGCAAGTCCTCCTTCTTGACCAATTTCTCGTTGAAGCTCTTTTTCGGAATATTCTCGTTGGTGTATCGACATTCGGTCATCCTATCAAAGAGAACGGATGCGAGTTCGTTCTCTACGGCACTGGGCACGGTAACAATTAATTTAAAGCTGATTAAGTATCTTCTCGAAACCTCCACTCGGGTTATGTTTTTCAAACCGAGGGAATGGCATATTGAAACTGCATTCGTCGAACTCGAGGTCGAAAAATTAAATCTTGGCCCGACTTCTATTATTATCGATCCGGATATCAGGCTCAGCTGAGACCTCTCCGTTAAATTTCTAGGTTTGAATGGATCTTGCAGCACCCATTTCAGTATTTTCTTATCGCTATCCGTGAGACCGGTTGTTTCAATGTTGTAACACAGCTCTGTATCCAAAGCGTGAACGTGAGCATTCTTTTGTTTTAATTTGAGCAGGATCTCTTCGCTTTTCGCATTCGTATAGCCAGGTGTACGATATAATCGTACAATCGAATGATCCTTATTTACCATAGTAGAGCAACTTGTAAATCACCGACTGGGTTTATTAATAAACTTACTAGAAAGATAATTGATATAAAAGTAACATTTTTCTATTCTCAATATTATATCCGAATCAGAGGTTATCTCTGGTTATCCGTCCATGTGTTTTGTAACAGTTCAATTTGAGATCACGAATTTGTACGTAATTGATGCACTTGTTTTTAAAGGAACATTACCCATTGAGACGTCTTGCTAGCGAAGTCTCCAGAATTCTGAAATTTAGCAATTTTCTTTATCTGTTGAACCACGTGATGCTCAAATGACGTCAATAATTGTCAATTTAAATGGACCAATCAGAGCGGCGCGGTTTTTTTCATTTTACAGATTCTTAATTTGAAATGTAAAAGTCAGGGACGTCCTTAATTATTATTTATTAACACTCACTTGTGCTCATAAACAATTGGGCACGAATTAATATATTCTTTTGTGGAGTTGCGTGATTATTTGCCTTCCACTTACATAAGGATCAGCTGCAGAGATACAGCATAATCAAGTTGGCGGGCGTATTATTGAATCAAATTTTGCACAAAGTTGACAAAACAATTAACAACCAAGCATCTCTGATTTAAATCACATTTAAATGATATTAGATTTGGTCAGAGCCGGACTATGGGCGAAAATGGTATGATGAGGGGACTAGCACAAATTATATATAACATTTCAATATTTTAGCAAAGATTATTCCCCCAAGCTTTTGCAATCCTTTTTTTGTAGGTAGTATATATACTACATTTTCCCAGACGCGCGGCAACTCGCCTTCATTACATATTTTATTAAAAATGTTTAACAGTAAGTGTACCACCTTTTCTTCCATTGTTTTTACCCAGGAAGTATAGCAAAGACTATAGTTTTGTCTCCAAAATTCACAGAAACTTGGCTTGTCTTAGATATTGACTGAAAAATGAATATTTGTGAAAGACTATAGCCTGAAGAATTTTCAAGAATCGCTAAGAACGTATTAATAAAGGATTTTAGAAGTTCTGCGCGTTTATCATAGCTTTTAATAGGGTTCACAGTACGAGTTTTCAAGAGCCTTTCATAGTTTTGAAAATGCTTTAATTAACAGTGTCCTAGGGTCTTACAGACTTTTGGCAGCATTTAAAAACACATAATAATTTTAAAGAGCATTGTTCACTGCGCAACAGTAGGTAAGGAAAATCTCTCGCCAGTACGGGGCAAATCTTACAAGAGATAAAATTCGGCCGGGGATTATAATATCTAACTAACTAGGTCGCCGATTGATATCCGGCTTGAAGGACCAAATGTGGCGTTAGGGTTGTACATCCTAATGATTACCCAAGCAAAGTTACACAAGGTAAATTTGGTCTTATCTTATATCTTATAACTCAAACCTGGTACCATAATATAACACAGGTTTGATTTATATCTTTTTTTTTAATGCCCCATATCCTTTACAAGTAGTTTAAAAGTGTTTAAACTACTTCGGTTTTTGACAATATTTATTTTTCTTACGGCCGGTTGCAGGAAAGCGAATTATAATCAAAATCCTACATTATTTGCCAAATCTGAGTTTAAACAAGAATTTTGACATTTGATTGGCTGCCTACTGCAATATAAAGACAATCAAATGTCTTAATACCGGATTAAACAATAATCCTGGATTATTTTTTTTGTGCAACTAGCCGTTAATTTCCTTATGTACTTACTTATTTTTTGTATTCAGCTATATAGTAGAAAAATAAATATATTATTATTAAAATCCGTAGAGCGCGTGTACGTGGCTTGTAGAATCCATAATTTCAAACAGTTCCAAGATTGGGCTACTAGTTCAAGAGTTACGGCCCTTTGAATTTTCTTTCGTAATTGGTTTCTAGCCTATAACTTTTGATTGAGAGGTCTGATCGAAAAAGTACGAATTGTTTTGGATTCTAAGCACCAAAATTAATAAGAAAAAGTGTTTTCGCGAGAAATTTTGGTGTAGTCGATTTTTGGTAAAAAAGGAAGGTTATACTATGCCTTTTTTTGTCGCGAAAAAAAAATTGTCTCAGATCGACCCGGAAAAAAAATTTTCTTATAGAATGTGGCCTAGAATCTATAATTTCAAACAGTTCCAAGATTGGGCTACTAGTTCAAAAGGTACAGCCCTTTGAATTTCCTCGTTCTTATTATTCCTTAAATGGCAGTTCAAAATGTACGGAGTCTTGTGTCTTGCAAGATCTGTAGAGCAATTGTAGTTTAAAGGTCCGGTTTTTGAATAGATAGATTAAATACAATAAGTACTAGTGCGCCATCTCCATGGCAATCGATACACTTTCTATCAATTATAGTTTAAGAAGTCTAGTTGAGATGTCGCCACGTACGCACCTTCTTATAAAATTTTATTTGAATTTATGCGATTAATAGCAACGTCGCACTTATTATTCCTTCAATGCAGTGCCGTTTTTAAGTTTTTCGGGGCCCTGGGCCATTCGTTCGAGGAGGCCCTCCTTACCCTCAATAAAAACGGCAGATTGGGGAGATTCAAGCAAATCCCTAATTTGAATATGGGTACTCGATATTTGTAGCCTGGTTTGTAGGCAACACATCATGCTCAATGAACAGAAAACATTTATTTTTGCAATTCGTAACTTCTTATGCATAGGAGTTTATTTAAAGCCCTTGGAAGAACAATTTCAATAACAGGTACATTAAACTGAACCGTTTTACAACAACTTTCACACGAATTTTCTTTCGAAATTGGTTTCTCGTCTATAACTTTTGATTGAGAAGTTTAAAAGATCACACACCACACATTTATCCTTGGCTTTCTTATCTATATAAATATTTCCATTGAACCTTGTTCAAAAGTGTATCTGATATATAACTTAAAATTCAATGGATGGTTTCCATTCAACTACAAAACACCATGAAATATAAAAAACCTGGCTACAGATCGACACAAGTATCGATTACAAACTCTCCAATACATCTACAGGAAGTTTTCGCGCAAGTATTCACGAAGAGTGCGTTGGATTTTGTGGCAGAGCTAGTAATTCGATTTGAAGATGGAATCGAGCAGGTGGGCCAACTCCCAAATTTCGTCTTTAAACAAATTCGTTTCAGTTGCACTGGAATCGTCTGAAGACGACATCAGAACTGCACTTAGGTGCGACATCGCTAAACTTCAACAATACTTGTCGAGAGGATTGGAAGATCGGGGAACTTCCCAGTCGGCTGCATAACAGGCGAGTGGATTTAGGCGATGTCTCACCGGCGAACACGTCTCACTTTATTAAAGCACTCAATGCTCCCGTACAGGGAGTTCAAGTATGTATGTCTGCATAAGATCGTGGCGATACAAAATGCTCCCGCAGGTCGATTTCGACGATGGCCATTGCCCCACGTGGCACAACCAGATCGTGGGCTTACACAATGTGTACCAAGCTGTTCACGGTGGACTTTACAATGTTCCCAAAATTGAGAATTTACCAATTTTGATGTTACGACCCCGTGCGTGGAATATGATCGAGCACAACATTATGGTAATTCGCCACCCTTAATTTAGAAACGTTGCAGTTTAGTGTTTTAGATAAACGGCAAGAAAGCTCCGGGCCCCCTGGTTGATTTCGGTTTATTAATGTACCACAACGCACAAATTTTATACGAACACAACTGCGGCCCATATTTTTATTTATCGAAGGTGGAAAGTGCAAAGGAGGCGAAATTGTGGAACGACATATTTTTGTGGACACAACGAAGGCTCAACTTGCCGCACGGTACGATAAAAGCGTGCGTCTTGATTGAGAACATCTTGTCCGCATTTGCAATGGACGAAATTTTATATCAGCTGAAGGATCATTCGTTAGGGCTCAACTGTGGCATATGGGACTATGCGGCATCAATAATATGCAAATTGGGTAAGTGGTTACTTTCATCGAGTGTCATTCGCAATTTTATTTCAAGGACACAACAGGAAGTTTCTGCTCCCCGACCGTAACAAGTATGTGAATGTCGACAAGCACTTTTTAAAGCAGTACGTTTTGCTTGTGATTAAAACCTGTCACGCACGTGGGGCTCCCGCCACGTGTGGAATGAGCGCATTACTCAACCAAAGGTATTTCTCACTGCACTCAAATGGAACGTGCTAAACTGTCATTTTAGCCCCGACATTGTGGAACAAGTGAAAGTTGCGAAAAAAAAAGAAATACTAATGGGTGCCGATGGATTCTTGGTTTACGACGAAACACTAGTACCTTCACTTAGCGAGGTTGGTTTCACAACTCAAAAAACACGACTACTGTTAAACACCGTAGTTATGGAACGAATGCAGCCAGAAACCCAATCAAATCGATAAACAAATTGACGTTAACATTACGGCCTCCGACCTACTGGAAGTTCCCGTTGGAGATGTTACTTTGACGGTCTCAAACACAACGTCGAAATTGCAATTTTGTTCATTTACAACTGGCTAATCGGTAACGGTCACTTTGTTTACAAGGGATGTGTGGAGGATTCTGCTACGGCCGAAATCTCCCGCTGGCAAGTGTGGCAGTGGATCACACATCAGGTATTACCCGCTTTACAAAGATAATACTACACTAGATAGACACCGTCTGTATAAATTTAAACCCTCAATTTTGTCCCTAGGATAAGTCGACTCTGTCCACAGTCGATGTTTTTACCACAGTAGTATCGACTACTCACTGCATTTACAGGCGCAATATTAGAACAATGGCTCTTAATACAGGGTGTTTTTTTGGGAGCTTTAGTTAAACGTTTCTGGGAAAGTAAAATAGGTAGGTTTTTGAAAGTTTGTACTTAGGAGTTACTCTGAAGGCCGAATCGATGTAAAATATTTTCAAAATGGCTGCACTGCACTTCCGGAAGTACCTAGATAGTAGCTTCGTTATTTTAAATTGGATTTTTGGATTCTACGTGAAATTTCAGTTCTTTTGAGACCCACATGTGGATATCTGCCATTTATGGTTTTTAAGTTATTTTGCCTTTAAGAAAAAAAATGGCGGATGCAGATAACCCATTTTTATCAGTGTATAGAGAATGAATAGGGCTTTCTTTTAGTGTACTTAAAAAAAAGTTAAGTTGCGGACGACCGCACCTATGGAGATCCAAATTTAAGAAACTTCAAAGGCTAAAAACTCAATTTTTTTAAATGGAATGACCATTTTCTGTCTATTGCATGAGATTAAGAATCGAAATGGGCATATTTTGAAAATACATGTTCCTATAGCTATCTTTAACAGTTTCCGAATTATTCCCATTTAATTAAATTTACATTATTTTTTTCGGATTTTCTTTTTAGTAGTCGGCCATGATTTTATAACAATCGAATTTTAAACAAATCTAGTGACACTAATCCGTCACCTGTTATAGGTTAACATAAGTTTTTCAAAAATCGAAAATGGGCTCGCAGTGGTTTCACCTATTTTGGAATTTCATTGTTATTTATGGTGAAATGGACAGAATCGCCGTACGTTTATTCGGACACTGGAACGAAATTTTATGAATTTTGGAAATTTTGTACCCCCAAATGCACTACAAACCGTTGAATCACAAGTGATACCAAGCTCTACAAGAGTAGGGTTGCCATCTCAAAACTCTGCCAACTAGGACAGGAAGCGTGAAAACCCCGGATTTAGGGATTATAAACCCGGACATATCAACTGAATTTGATAAAAAAATAGTGTCTAAAGAAATAGTCTTTGAAATTGTACTTTATTTTTACCACTGACTAGAATGTTTCAATATTCAATAAATTCCTTTCTTTGGTCCACTGTTATGTCACTAGTGAACATTTTCTTTCAACGTTGGCATTATGAGACCCCGCTGGACCTAGCCCCTCCCACCATTGTGAATCAATTTAAGAATGGTATCCAATTTATGAGCTATTTAGGAGCTTTTCATATCGCAAGCTTAAAATTTTAGAGCTCGCTTTAATCACTAGGAATCGAACATTTCTTATGGGGTGGCCGAGTCTACTTGGATTCAGCCCCCCCACTGATCAGAATTACTTTTTTCAAATTAAATTTGTACTGGAATTACGAGCTATTTAAGAGCTTTAATTTACAAGTAATTTCGATTTTTGAGCGCCACTCCTAAAAGAGCAAATAGATATAATCGATGGGGCGGCCAGTTCCACTTGGACGTAGCCCCTCCTCTGTTATCGTTTACTTATTTCAAATTAATTTTTATGCATAGTGGGGTGGACGCCAACACCAATATTTTTGTCATTAAAGCACCAGATTTGGTACACTTTCTACTTAGGTGGACCCGAATGGAAATCGCCCGGGAGGCAGCGAGAGACACGCTGCTGTGAGGGAGGGGTAAACTTTTCTTACGCTGCGCGCGCTGTTGGTCGTCATAACTGCTAAATTATAACTACTAGGGCAAGTCTGGTATCATTTTCGCATAAATAAAAGATGGCCATTCATTTTCTGAAACAAAAAATGCATCCTTACGGACAAAAAATCGAATTACTGTAAAAATCTAGAATTTTATTTACAAAAAAATTGTTCAAATGACCATAAACTTTGAACTAGCGCCGATATCGCCTACAAAAAAATATAATTAAAAAGCCATTACGTATTCTAAAAATATAAGCCTCCTGGGAACAGTTTAATAAATAATGCGTTTAAAAAAATATTATACACAGCGCGGCAGAAAAATAAAATGCCGTGATTAGGTACCAGCCCGAAGATCTACTGAATTATTAATTATAGTAGTTGAGATTTATTTGGGGGGGGGCTAGGTCCAGCGGGGTCATTATGAGCAGGAATGCAAAAAAAGCACTAGGCAATTTTCAATAACTCCAAGTATAAATGAGGATTCAGTGTTTTAAAAAATTGTAACCAAAGCTGATTGGTTTTGTCGGCTTACATTTTGACAGAAAGTCATAGATGCCTCAGTAGCTTAAAACCCGGATTACCAATGAAACCCCGCCCGGACGCTCCCCGGACGCCCCCTAAACTAGGACAAATCCGGGGAAACCCGGACGGATGGCAACCCTATACAAGAGAATATTTAAGAAAATGAATTGAATTCTGTTTGCAACACGAAGGCTTTCATTTTGAGCGTGTGTTGAAGAAGGAAGGTTTTTTTAAATAATTTGATCCTATTTTCATATAAATTTGTGTTTTAAATTATAGCTGATCACATTGTTGTCTTTTTTATTAATGAATTATTTAGACTAGAATCAATGATATTAAAGAATCCTTTCCTTGATTAGTTTAAAATTCGATTGTTATAAAATCATGGCCCACTACTAAAAAGAAAATCCAAAAAAAATGGTATCAATTTAATGAAATGGGAATAAATCAGAACATGTAATAAGCCAATTTCGATTCTCTACCTACTGCAATAGTAATAAAATGGTCATTTCATTAAAAAAACTGAGTTTTTAGTCTTTGAAGTTTCTCAAATTTGGATCTCTATAGGTGCGGTTGTACGCAACTTAACTTTTTTTTAAGTACACTAAAAGAAAGCCCTATTCATTCTCTATGCACAGATAAAAATGGGTTGCCATGACTACAACCGTTTAAAAGTAATCAATTATCAAGGTACCATCTGCATCCGCCATTTTTTTTCTTAAAGTCAAAATAACTTAAAAACCATAAATGGCAGATATCAACATGTGGATATTAAAAAAACTGAAATTTCACGTAAAATCCAAAAATGCAATAAAATATAGGGGTTGCCATTTAAAATATTGAAGTTACTATCTACTTCCGCAATGCAGCCATTTAAAAAATATTTTACATCGATTCGGCGTTCAGAGTAACTCCTAAGTACAAATGTTTAAAAACCTTCTTATTTTACTTTCCCAGAAACGTTTAACTAAAGCTCCCAAAAAAACACCCTATATAATGCATCTCATGTGTCAAATAAAGCCTCCCATATCTTCTTTACGGAACTAAACAAACAGTTAACAACTTGGCCATTTACGGTGTCTATCTAGTATAGTGTTACCTTTGCGCTTTACTTGATTATTAATACAAAATGCCTGTAGATTAACATTGGAGAAACTCTTCAAACTGTCGATAAGGAATTAATTGAACAATTAGCGACCGATTTTGTCCATAATAAAAATAGCGTTATGGAGCAAGCCGCAGAGATCTTTGTCGAGATTGTAACAATGAGATATGCACCAGAATATATTACAACATATTTAAACGATCACATTATCTTTAAACAAAGGCAAGCTGCATTAAATGCCAAGCTATAATATAATGTTAATGAGCTTTTTAATGGTTTACATTAGTTGTTAAATAAAATACTAGATTGTGACTTCTCTTTCTACCACCTTAACACGATGGGAGCAATAAAAGAAGAATGTAACTAAATTTTAATGGTGACCTGTTTTTGACTTCTGAAAATACCACTTTTCTATCAAATTGTCAATTAAAAATTGGTGTTAAAGTAAGGCGTGTGTTACGAAACATTACACCTATCACGATTTTGTCTTGAGCCGCCTACTACCGTTTGTGAATCAGTCGCTTGCAGTTGTCTGGCTAATGCTAAATCTAACTCCTCCTGCTTTACTTTGCTATTTAAGCTGGTTTCTTGCATTGACAGCGCCAGAGCTCTTGCTAGCGCTTCGTCGTCACTCTAAAACTGTACTTAACTAACCGCAGTCACTAGAGCCATTTTTACGTACCATATTCCCTTGCACATTTGTAAACGTTGTAGGTGTTGCGGAATTTTGTTTTTGTCGTGCAAGAGATGCCTCCCTAAAACAACACTTGAGTATTCTAACAAGTATAAATTACGACAACTTACAGATTTCTCTTTCGCATCGCCGCCAATTTGCCTTGGCAATTATGATCGGCCATATGTCGATGTTTTAAACAATAATTATAGGTGCACTCATCACAAACGATCGGTACAACCTCCTTAGTCTTACAAGATTTAAAAGAGCACTTGTTTGTGAACACTTTCCTCTTTTGTTTGGCCGGATCCGACTGACAATCGCTATCTACAATGAACGGCGTAAGTTAAGGCACTCCTCCAAAAACGGAACCGACCTATATGGTTGCTTACGGCTAAATCTGGCAGTTGCCCTCGCTGTATCGGAATTGGAATGTTACACAGCGGGCAAACGGGAACCTGATTATTCTTCTTATAGGCGTTTGTGCAATTATGGATGGAATATTGATAGTGCTCGTCGCTTAAAACGAGAAACTAGTAAACAGCGAACGAGCCGGAAGTAAAACTTACCAAAAAATTTTGTTGCAAGCGTCGCACCGAATAGGCAGAAAGTCTGAAATGTTCCAATATTAAAAATGAAAGTTGAAACGATGAAAAGTGGTGTACCTAATTTATTGCAGGTCGATACTGAGCAATGTTTACCAAGATCGGGGAACTCCATCTTCGCTCACGGCTGCAATTGGACTGTTGTGGTTAAGGCAAGTTGGAAATTTAAGTATATAAGTACTTGCTATGACTAATAAATGCGAAATTTCTGGAAATTAGAAAGTATGGAATGACGAAATGTGCATGAATTGGTGTTTTTCATTTTGGCCAGCTGATTTTGACGTCACACAATGCGCATGCTTGCAGTCACGTGTTGATCAGTGGCGTGGTATGCATCGGGTAAACAGTGGATATATTTTCTAAACATTGGAAAGTACAAATGTCACTCGTCTTTGTAATTTTCTGGGTTGATATGAGGCGAGGGTAACTGATCAAGGGTTAATTTTTATACATAAACATGTGTCCTGAAAATAGCTGTCAGTATAGGGATTTTTGTCCTACAAAAGGTGGTGTAGTCGTTTTTTTAACGTTTGCTGAAATCAGGACCTTGAAACAAAAACCATGTTTTCGATCTTGGGGACGCCGCGCCGCCATTTTAGATGAAAGGCGCAAAAATGGCGTTTTCAAAATAACTCCGCAACGGCTGATCTTACAACAAAAAAGGGTTCAAATAAAAGATAAAGAAGACAAAACTCCTCACATTTTTGTAATAAACTTTTTTCTGACCTAATATGTCTCGAGTTTAGCGACGAAAATATGCATTTTCCCCAATTTTAGTGATTTTTCCTCGGATTTTTCTAATGTTTTTGTAAATTGAAAGTGTACTCATTTCTACACCGCCTTGAGGTATGTAAGGTGGCTCGTTACGTCTTGATTGTCATGATAAGTGATTCTCAGGTTTCCTGCAACCACATGTTATCCCTTAAATTTTTTTATCGCCGACATGGTGCAGCCAATCACACCGCGGCACGTGCCACGTCAAAAAAGTGGAGGGGGTGAGATTCCTTTCTACTACTACCATGAAGAATAACCCCCACCCCTTTTTTTTGATAAAGGATTAGAAAGTAAGGGCGGTTGCAGAGACCTTTTAGAAAGCCATGAAACCAAAATCTCCCCACTCGAAAAGTTATAGTTTGTACAAACTTATTCATTTCCACGAGACGTGTTATTAGAATGCAATGAAGGATAAAACGTGTGATTACCCCCCCCCCCTCCCATTTTCAAAAGTGGTACTTTAGCACCGTTAAAAGCATGCGTCTGCACATGTAAAAGTTATGCACGTTTTACTTTCAAAAATAGCCCCTAAGACGGCAAAATGTTATGGCTGCCTGCCACGCACCTTCCAGGTATATGCTACCTATTGCAAAAAAAGCCCAACATAGCAGAAATGGGTCCAGACGAATGGACAAAACGCAAACAATAGCACATGCGCTAAAAATACCCAACAAATGTTCATAAGAGGAATCGTCCCGAGTGTTTATTTTCAATAAAAGGTTTCCATCATTGATTATCTTAATTACTTTAAATTAGGGTTTTCTACTATGTAAATCATACAACCTACGATTTAAAACAAATACCAGTAGAAGAATGGAAAAGTTACCGGATTTATGGTTCAGCAGTAGAGCATTGGGTTATAAATCCGGAGGTCGGGTGTTCGAACCCGGGTTGAGGTGAATTTTTCATCTGTGGCGGAGATGGAAATTACCTTAAGACCAGTTCCGAGCATTCTACCGGCTACTCCGAATTAGGTTTTCCTAATTCGTAAGGTAAATACCGGAGCAGTATAGACCAACTTAAGAGCTTCTGCAGAGGCACCTCTAAATAGCATTATGCGGGTCACTCTGTAATTGGGCGCATGCCTGTTGAGGGCCCAAAACAAAGAGAGGGATAATAATAATAATAAAAGTTGCAGGAAGAACACAACAAAAGCATGTGGGGAAGTCTTCCCATTCAATTGTTGATGTAGGTTAGATAGGGGAGTCAAGTGCCTTCGACTTCTCATAAATTACCATTACTTTCTATGCAGTATGTACCTACTAATGACGGCATGGTTGGGAGTATATGGATCGAATAAGACTGAATATAAACTATAACAGGATTTATATGTTCAATTTATTTAGCTTCAGTGTTAAATGTAGACATTATTCTTTACCACGCGCTAAAGGGTAATCAATCCCGTTACACTCATTGGTGTCTATGGGAAGAAACCATAGGCAACAGGAGTTGCCCATAACTTCTCTGATATTACCACAAGTTCCCAAATCAAAAGTTAAATCTTCATTAGCGTCGCTAAAGATGGGCCTCTGTATTAATTCAATAGTCGTTCTATTGGAACAGATTTGCGTCAGGTGGTATATAAAGAAAACTGTTAAAAGTATACTCATAATTGTTACGTACATAAATCTGAAAATGTATATGAATTATACCGATTTTCAATCCCCGATCTTACCCTACGGTCATATGAAATAAGTCATAGTTGACAGGTGACTTGGCCCAAAACTGCAAAAAGTATTTGACGGAAGTTGCAAGGAAGAAAATACAATTCAACGAGGTGTAGAACAGTAGCAAAACAAAGAATTTGTAATTCCACAAGTGAATGCAGCTATTCAGCCAGGGGCAATGGTGGTCCATCTTAAGCACGCATTGGCCACAAGCGGAACAATGGTGCGTTCTATCGGGCTTGACATGTTTGCACTTTTTACAGAACCTGAAACACAAAAATTACAACCGGATAGCACGTTATTATCAAGCACCTGATATGTCCATCGGCATTACGTGTTACGACAGTTAACTCGTTTGCGTTACAAAATTGTAGAAGCATGGCGTTAATTTGAGGACCCGATTCGAGGTCCTTAAGTCGGTGAAATAGCTCGTCGGAAATACGAAATGATCTCGGTACTGTGGGCGTTGGTCCAAATATTGTTTTATATAAACAGCAATGCATCATTATATAAAGGATGTGAAAAATTGTAAGGTACCAAGTTAGAGTTTGCACATCTGCGATTAACTTGATGCACACTTCGACAACGTACACGTAATATATCCAAATATTCAGAATTAGAATCGAAATTGGTAGTATTAATCTATCCAATGACATTGCATGTCAATGTAAAAATAATGTCACAGCCGAATGTAAAGTTACTCAGAAGGTTATCCATTTCTTATTAGACAATATCGAGTCAAGTATGAGACAAGCTCCTGTGCGCCCCCTACTGAGCGAATCCCCAGATGGCGAATGGACACGGACGATAATAATTACATTGAGCAAATTCTGGGAGTATCTAGGCATTGGGAATCTTAAGAAACCTGATGGGAAATTAGAGCTCCTCATTTCCGGGCACACAATAATACCTCGCATGAAGCGACCACTGGAAACAAAGGGCTCAACTTCACAACAATAGGCTGGATAAAGTCAATGTTGAGGAGCAGGAAAATAACGGCAAGGCTAGGCCTCAATCACAGTGATGACCGAAAAACTCAAGGGGGATGTGGCCTGTAGAATCCATAATTTCAAACAGTTCCAAGATTGGGCTACTAGTTCAAAAGTTACAGCCCTTTAAATTGTCTTTCGAAATTGGTTTCTAGTTTATAACTTTTGATTGAGAGGTCTGATCGAAAAAGTATGAATTGTTTTGGATTCTACGCACCAAAATTAATAAGAAAAAGAGTTTTCCCGAGAAATTTTGGTGCAGTCGATTTTTGCTAAAAAAGGAAGGTTATACACTGCCTTTTTTAGAGCCCCGAAAAAAAATTCTGATCGACCCGGAAAAAAAAATTTCTTATAGAATGTGGCCTGTAGAATCCATAATTTCAAACAGTTCCAAGATTGGGCTACTAGTTCAAAAGTTACGGCCCTTTGAATTTTCTTTCGAAATTGGTTTCTAGTCTATAACTTTTGATTGAGAAAGAAAAAAAAAAGTGTTTTCCAGAGAAATTTTGGTGCAGTCGATTTTTGGTAGGGTGTGCAATAATCCAAGTTACTTATTAATACAAAGCGGTTAATTCAACTACTCTCGTATTACAAAAGCATGCGTATGAGATGGTTGCCGTTACATACAGTTTTTTTATATGAGTTAAAACAATATAATTATAGTAAAACTAGCTATACGCTTTCAACAATATGTTTATGATAAATTTTATAATTTTTCATAGCTATCCCTATACGTATTATATTTTTTGATAGCTATTATTATATTTTTAATTACCTTTAACATACATTTTTCTCCGTGTATGTATTCAGTTGTAGTGTAGCTAATAAAAGACATTATTATTGTTATAAAATAGTGATGGAAACATGGAAATTTTCCCTCATACAAGTGGGAAAGTTCCCACGCATTTCAAGTACTTTCCAGCTTTTTGGAGTAAGGTAACATTTACCATTAACAAGGTTGGACTTGAAGATAATTTTTCTACATTAAAAGTTAAAGTGCAATCAAAATAAAATGTGTAGTTGTGGGTGAAGTATACAAAAATATAAAAATGCCTAAAAAAACATTCCGATTCGTGGTTGTATTTCAAAAAGAGCAATTGTTTTCGAGTTTTATATTATATATATACTATTAATATCATAGTTTATTATATTTTATATTATTGAGTTTTCTTTGTAATAAAAAAAATTACCATTTGCGCATTTATTTATTCACTTTTTCTACTGAAAATTAACTAAATAACATAAAAAAATCCGTTATTGTATCACTGTATTTCACGAATTCATATTTTAACTCTTAATTTTTTTTTGTTAATTAAATTACTAGTAGAAAAAATGTTTCTTTATACCACGTGTGTGTGGTGTCGTTGGAAAGGTAATGAAGTAACAAATCTAAGAACATTATTTTTTTAAAAATCGAAACGTTTCCAAAATTTCTGAAAGATTTTCAGTTTTATTTTTCCGGAAATTCACCACATTCACCCCATACTCAGAGTGCGATCGAAAAATTTCCTAGGCTCTTGCCAATCTGCACCAAAATGTAAAAACTATGACAGTGGAGGGTCAAAATGAACCTCGTATTTGCCAGAAGGAAAAAATCTTTACTCAAGAATGGTTTCATTGGGCCTTAATAGCCTTTAAACCATATAAGGCTCCTAGTGGAGACGGCATTGCACAACCAACCGAATACATTCTTTAAAGAAACAATTTTTAATAACCGTATTAATTCCTTTTTTTGTAATTTCGCAGCATTTGATTTAAACTGTAGAAATGTAGTTTGTGACAAATGAAATCAGTCTGATCTTTGTTGTTTGTACTAGGATGGTTAAATGTTGGAATTTTACAAACATAATAAAATTACAATTGTAGCAAAGGGTTTGGTTATATTTAAAAATGCATACGCAAATACATCATTGGCTTATTTTCATCAAACTGTGCATCTATTGTGAACAAAAATATAATTAGGCCTTTGACAATAAAATTAAATTACATATTGTACATATTTGATTTTGATGGTGATAAAAATACATAAAAGTGTCAACAAGAGTACCCCTCACATTTTTTTATTATTTTTTTTTCAAAGAAAATATTGCATGTTGCTGTATAAAAAAGACCAAATTTTATACGAAAACAAAAATCCAAAACCGTAAAAAAAAGGCATGTAAGCAACATACAATTTTGTAAGAATTTTTAACACGTTGTCTGTGATCGATGCAATACACACAAGGAGCACAGGCGATTTTATGCGAATGACACCCAGTTTCCCCTACAAGACATATGTTAACGTGTTAAAAATACCCGCCCCACCCATTTCTCGTTAAACAACAATCCGAAAGGAGGTTGTGTAAATTTTGATTTGAAGTTAAAATCAACGCAAACTTTTTCGCAAAAAAAAAAAAAAATTTTTGATAAAATCCCCGAAAGTTTGTGAAACGTTTGCGTTGCCCAAAATGTAGACATCGATTGGTCAACTATTGTATAATAAAAAAATACTCTAACTGGATGAAATGTAAACACAATAATTCACCAATCAATGTTAACTTTTAACACAGCCTTTACAAAATAATCGGTCCGTGGCCGTTGATACGAGACCGTAGAAATGTAGTTTGTAGACACTGAAATCAGTCTGATCTTTGTTGTTTGTACTAGGATGGTTAAATGTTGGAAGGAGTCCCTTACAATTGTAGCAATCACCATATTTAAAAATGCATACGCAAATACATCTTGGCTTATTTTCATCAAACTGTGCATCTATTGTGAACAAAAATATAATTAGGCCTTTGACAATAAAATTAAATTACATATTGTACATATTTGATTTTGATGGTGATAAAAATACATAAAAGTGTCAACAAGAGTACCCCTCACATTTTTTTATTATTTTTTTTTCAAAGAAAATATTGCATGTTGCTGTATAAAAAAGACCAAATTTTATACGAAAACAAAAATCCAAAACCGTAAAAAAAAGGCATGTAAGCAACATACAATTTTGTAAGAATTTTTAACACGTTGTCTGTGATCGATGCAATACACACAAGGAGCACAGGCGATTTTATGCGAATGACACCCAGTTTCCCCTACAAGACATATGTTAACGTGTTAAAAATACCCGCCCCACCCATTTCTCGTTAAACAACAATCCGAAAGGAGGTTGTGTAAATTTTGATTTGAAGTTAAAATCAACGCAAACTTTTTCGCAAAAAAAAAAAAAAATTTTTGATAAAATCCCCGCGTTTGCGTTGCCCAAAATGTAGACATCGATTGGTCAACTATTGTATAATAAAAAAATACTCTAACTGGATGAAATGTAAACAGTTAACTTTTAACACAGCCTTTACAAAATAATCGGTCCGATACGAGACCGATTAGCGAATCTCCTAATCTTAGGTACTAATAGTACATAGCTTCAATCCATCATTCGTGTCCACTCGTGCCTTCATAGTCAGTCGTTGAACTTAATTTTAAGGAGTCCCTTTCTCCACTGCACATCACCGGTAAAGTTTTAAACTAAAGTATATCACTCTCATTTATATTCATTTATAAGTTCAAGTAGCTTCTTTTACCAAAATAAATTAAATAATATTAGCAAATGTAGACGTCTCGTTCGATGAGGCAAATAATCATCAATCGCAAGAGACTGCAGGAGATTCAGATGCAACTCGAGGATGAGCTCAGTCTCTTGCGACTTGAGATCTCGTGACGATTTTGTGAAATATGAAACGATTCCCGTAATTTTGTTTTGTTTGCTAGGTATAAATCTCTTGTATAAAAAATTTAACAAAAACTGTATCCTTTTCCTGTTTTAGATATAAAGAGAGAAAAATCAAAAGTTCAATTGAGCGCTACTATTTACAAGTTTTCGTTTTTAGTAATCGTCTGTTTTAGTTTAAATTAAATCACATCAAAGTAATCCGTAAGATCACAACATTACTTGTTACCGTCTTCCAAAAGTTCATCTTCCGAGTTGGCGACGTACAAAGACGGATCGATCATTTTCGGTATGGGTTTGATTTCGGTGCCCAACTCCTGCTCGATACGGTGCAGGGCGAACCTATCGTCGTACGTTATGAGGTTGATCGCGATACCTAAATGACCAAATCTGCCCGATCTGCCGATGCGATGTAGATATGTTTCCGCCATTTTTGGAAAGTCGAAGTTGATGACAACGTTTACAGCTTGAACATCAATACCTACAAACATTATTATTATTATTATTTTAATATCACCAAGCATGTGTAAAGAGGAAAATAATCATAAAAAGATCATCTGGCCATTTTGATTGCTAGTTGTACAGGGTGGCCAATTAAGAATGCGAGGTACTGTATCTGGGAAACCTGTCCATCCTAGAGGCTTACGGTAAAAAAATAATTTATTACTAAAACGGCCATGAGAAAAACCTGGAAAATATTTTTAAGTTTCTGAAATGACCGCTAGGGGGCGTAACTGCAATCTGGAATTTACCAGGTTTTTCTCATGGCCGTTTTAGTAATAAATTTTTTTACCGCAAGCCTCTACAATGGATAGATTCTCAGATACAGTACCTCGCATTCTTATTTGGCCACCCTGTACAATTTTTCAAAAGTAGAACCAATACTAATAATCAGTAAACCAGTATAACGATGACTATAACTACATGAAACATACAAAGAGCAGGCTTATAACCAAAATCAAGAAAAAGCGACAAGAAAACATAAACATACCATAGCATAAATCAAGAACATGTAAAAACCGATAGGATAGGAAAAGAAACAGCGAAGTGTAGAAGGAGTCCAAACACAAAGAGGCAAAGGAAAGGAGGACCACAACAGAAGTGTAAATATATGTAGGGGTTCGAGAGTTATCAATAGCATTCTCTAATTTTTTTGTGATGTGCGTGTTCTATTGAATAACTAAAGAGTATCTGAGTTAGTTACGTTGAAGAACACGAGTTAATATAGCGTACAGGTACATCAACATTTGCATGATACCCAAATCTGACGTCAATGTACGCCTCGATTAGTTACACCCTGTCCGTGCCTACCTCTTGTGAAAAGATCGGAGCAGACTAGATTTCTACAGAGACCGGCTCTAAAATCGTGGAACACTCGATTTCTGTGTGCTTGTGCCATTTTCGCGTGTATATAGTAACAACAGTAACCAAGTTCTGTTATTTTCTTCGCCAACAATTCGACTCGTTGCGTTGAATTACAAAATATAATACTTTGGTTAATCTGCAACTGTAACAACGAAAAATTTAAAAAAATGGCTCTCAAATCTCTCGAAATGTTACCTTGGAAAAAAGAGTATTAAGGCAATGCACCTTCTGACGTTCCTGGACAAACGCGTAATATTGTGTTACACCTTTTAACGTTAATTCCTCCATTAAATTTATTTCGTACGGATCGCGTAGATGCTTTTCCATGAACAGTTTCACTGTTAACGGAAAGGTTGCGGAGAACAATAATATTTGTCTCTCCTCAGGCAGTCTTCCAATTAAATGATGAAGCATATCTGAAAAAATAAAACTGTTTATAACTTGTGGACATTACAAGCATAACAAAATAAAAAAATTTCTTTAATTAAAAAAAAATCAATAACAATATTTTGATACCTAGACATCATTATTGTAGTGCTTCACTCGAAAGTGAGAAACAAATAGAAAGCAATAGTCGAGCCATAATATAGAAAAACATAAAATGAAATTTAAATGACAAATCTCTTATGAAAAGTGCCAAATTTAATGCAACCAAAATATCTTCTTAAAACAAGTGAAGATCTGGCTCTCATATTAATTAATTTGAATATTGTTGCTTTGGCTTCCTTATTTTTATTTTCCTTCGTGTGCCATGTATCCAACAATAAAAAGTTGATATTGTCAACTGTTATAGTGCCGGTAACAATTTAAGGAGCGTAAGAGATTTATTTTCTGATAACCCAGTAACATTATTCAAACTCATTATTCTGACAGACAGTTTATTTGATTTAAAAAGTTATTTTCGATGCATGAAATGAGGCGCCCTTCAGAAGAGATTTTGTCTTTTAAAACTAGACATAGGGAAAAACAATACACATAAATCCCTATGTCTCTTCTTAATAAATATCACTGTATATTAAGAACCATAAAAGTCATTAATTAAACAAATAGAAATTTGTGAATGTGTTCTAGTAAAACAACGCAATACATTCAAGAATTAAACAATATTATTATTAAACAATAAGTACTTGAGAGAGTATAAAAAAATGTAAAAAATAACTAGACAACAATATCTTTATTCAAAAAAAAAGCGTCAATAAGAATTAAAACAATGAAAATTCGAATGTAACAAAAGAAAGGATTCATTTACACCATCCTAAACCGATCAATTGTTTATAAAAAGAACAACATGAAAACACAAACTCCCCATTAAGGGAGCAAGATCAAAGCAAATTGGTGCATAAATCAAGATCAAATTTGGAGAAATTTTCCTTTCCCAGGAAATTTGCGGTATTCTCTCACGATTACGGCGATATGCGCGGGTGCACCATCCTGTTGAAACCAACAGAATTTCCATTTGTTTTCTTTTTGTGACAAATTTTCACAATGAGCTCCCTCCAATGTGATACAAGATTCAATCACATTTGCGCAAATATTCCTGGTGTATTTCTTATCGTCTTACAGCCGGCTATAATTCGATTCCTCTGGTCTTCCAAGATTTTCGCTGAGAGTGGAATAAACAAATGACTTAAGAAAACCCCAAAGAGGATTTAAATCTTGTGATTGAGCAGATCAATGTTTCTTTCGTACTTATCAAACCATTTGGATGTACTGTATCTGAATGACAACAAACATTAATTCTAAAATGGGCTGGTGCTCCATCATGCATGAACCAAAAGTGTTCTCAGGCCTAGAGGAATTTCTTCAAGAACAGGTAATTGTATGTCTTTTTTTATTATATGGTTAATATCCGAAAAGCTAGTAGTTTTAAAGACAATTCGATTTTTAAGAAAAATTGGGTATTTGTCAAAATTATTAATTAAATTTTGATTCCATTGATATCTTTTATCCTGGGTCAAGTAAAAGTCCAAAGTTACAGAACTTTATATTAAAAGATCTCACTTTTTTTTAATGGAACACCCTATATATATTTCTGTCATCACTTAGCTCCTCCAAAAACCTTCAACTTTTGATAATAATGTCCTATACCTATCTCTGATAGTTTTCGAAATATCTTGGTTTTCCTGGGTTTTATATTCTAATCTTACATAAGTTATATGTAATTTACACAATAGTGAGGTGGCCATGCAAAAAAAGGCAATTTTTATCTGCCTCGTTCAAAGCTAAAATCATATTTATTAATTCATTTTTCTAATAATTCATTTAAGTCTATAAAAACTGGAGAATAAATTTGATAGTAAAAACATAAACAAATATCTTGGTTTTTCTACTTTTTATATTTTAATCTGAAATAAGTTCTAATTTACATAATAACGAGGTGAATTATGAAAAAAAATGAAACTAATATCATTGACTGGATGACATTAGGAGTTAAATTAAATTTGCTTTGTAGTCAAATGTTTTTACATATTCTACAGTTTTTGGACTTAAAATAAATTGTTTGAAAAATAAATTAACCAATATTTTCGTTTTGGACAAGACAGATAAAAATTGCCTTTTTTTTCATGGCCACCTCACTATTATGTAAATTACATATAACTTATTTAAGATTAAAATATAAAACCCAGGAAAACCAAGATATTTCAAAAACTATCAGAGATAGGTATAGGACAGGGGTCGGCAACCTGAGCCGCATGTGGCTCTTTTGATATAAAGTTGCGGCTCTCCGTATTTATCTAAAGAAATTAGTTCATTTGTTCGAAATTCGCCTTTTTAATTCATCTTATTTGTTTACTAAATAAAAGTACACTTGCAGCAAATAATTATCTAATTTGAGACACTTGTTTACTTTCTGGTATTCTTTTGTTTTTTTTATTATAGCAGCCTACTCCAATGTATAAACACTTAATTAATTAATGAGTACTTTTGTGAAAAATATTGAATAACAAAAACTACAGGGTTTAAACACAGGGCACCCCTTAGAAACATTGAAGAAAACACAAAAGACAATCGAATAGCGAAATAAAATAGTGGTAGTTCCATTTGGAAAAGAATAGTTATAGCACTTTGAACAAATGGCATTGAAACAAGTAAAAATATGCAGGAGGTTCTATTTAAAAAGATCAGTTATTTCTTGACACCGTAAAAATGGGACACCCTGTACATTCAAAAATAATTTCTGTAGATCCGCAACCACCAATATTTTTTACCAGGTGTCAGCTATGTAGGTAAAACCGACGCACTGCTGCAGGACCCTGTAAATAGCCAAATAATATTGAATCAAAATTTTTTTGTGGCTCTAAAAACTGGGAAATTTTGTAAATTGTAATTTTTGGCTCTTCCGTTTCGGTAGGTTGCCAACCCCTGGTATAGGACATTATTATCAAAAGTTGAAGGTTTTTGGAGGAGTTAAATGATCACAGAAAAACATATAGGGTGTTCCATTTAAAAAAAGTGAGATTTTTTAATATGAAGTTTTGCAACTTTGGACCTACCAAAAAAAAACACCCTGTAAGCTATATTTTTAATGTTTCATAATAGATGAATTTATTTGACTTTTATTTAACCCAGGATAAAAGACATAAAACCTGGAATCAAAATTTAAGTAATATTTTTGACAATATATACAGACACTTTCAAATGCCCAATTTTTCTAAAAATCGAATTATCTTTAAAACTACTAGCTTTTCGGATATTCACCATCTAATAAAAACGACGTACAATTACACGTAGAATTCAAAAATGCATTCAAATACAGGTCGTTCTATTTAAAAAAAATGGCGCCCTACCTTGTGGGCGCAACCTGTATAATTCCCAATATTTTTTAAATGTAGAGAATATTCAACCATATCATAATACAAAAGCACTCTATCGAAAAATCTTATCTTCAGGGCATTAAGTTACTCCGCGCAATCGTTGACTCACCCTGTACAAAGTACCTTTCAGTACACCATTTTCGTCATGCAAGTGAAAATGGTACACATTGATTTAATAATGTGTTGTGCAAAGAAGAAAAAATGAATATCTTTGCAATACTGCCTTTCTTTTGTTATTTCATTGTTTTTCTTTTGTCATCATATGATTTTCCTCTTTCACAGGAAAACAGCTTATTGAAAATTGCAAGTTGCACCCAAAACAAAAGACTGTAAATGTTATAATTGATTTGCATGATTTTCGCGATTATAATGATTTAAAGAATATGTAGAAAAATTCTGAGAAAACATTCCTGATTACAGCGAAAAGAAAATCAGAATGTAATCAGTCTGTTCAAGTACACAGATTGATAACACATAATTCTATTTATAACAAAAACTGACATTGATAACAGCACATTGCATTTAAAACATACCTTTAAAATCCTGAGACAGAAGTTTATCCGCTTCATCGAGTACCAAAATCCGACACTGTTCCATTTTGGCAACTTGTTTATCCATGAGATCAAGTATTCGGCCAGGAGTCGCGATAATTACTTGTACTTTTTGATATATACGCATTATATCGTCTCGTAAATTTGTCCCGCCCGTCGTGACCATGACGCGAACGCGAAGGTGCTTCGCCAACTCTATGCAGATTTGCGAAGTTTGAAGCGCCAGTTCCCGCGTTGGCACCAATATTAAAGCCTGTATGTAGTCTTTGTCGGGATCGACTTGTTCCAGCACCGGAATACAGTACGCTCCGGTCTTGCCCGTGCCGTTTTTCGCTCTCGCCAACACGTCCTTGCCCGAAAGCGCGATCGGAATGGACGCCTCTTGTATAGGTGACGGTTTCTCCCATCCTTTCTCGAATATTCCCATGAGCAATTCGCGTTTCAAGCAGAACTCTTCGAACTCGTTGCCACGTGTGTCCGTCACGTCCTATTTGTTACGATTAGAAATCAACGTACAACCGTCAGAAAGTTACCTACACTAGTTTTTATCCGTTTATCCTTCGGGGGTACTTTTAACTTCGATTTCCATCCAATATCGTCCAGCTTGTCGTCACTACAACAGGCGAAATCAGTACGGGTTACACACAAATACCTGCACGTTACAGTTTAGTTTGTAGTGGAACGACGTGATTGTTGGTGGTAAGCGTATCGGTCATCATGATTGCAGGATCGGCGATAATATTCGAATGAGCGTAATAAAAAAATTGGGTTTATAAAACCCACACCACTTTGGCCGTCTACAATATGCAGTTATAGACCAAATTAATAGAAAAAGTAACCTGTAAAAAAATCACTGATAAAAAACAGAACAGGGGGGGGCTAAAATTGGGTCAAAAATTTCACCGTTAGCCGAAACTGTGAAATATCGAAATTTCGAAATGAACGAAGCTCTCCGTTGAGTGAACCGTAAAAAATAAAGCAACGCAATCTAATCTCAAAGCGGATGTTTGAAGATAAAAAATTTATAATTTTTAGAAACGTAAAATGGCTTCGCCATTGTCAAATGGAGGATGAGAAAAGCAAACAAAACTACGGACGAGTTTTTACCTGTTTCTTCGCCCTCGATCTAGAAATTTACGATGCTCGTTTTGTTCAGACCCTTACGCATTTCACTTTTATTCATTTATTCGCGAAAATTACGATTTGACATCTATTTTTACCTTGATATGAAGAACGCCTTACACGCACTTTAATAAAGAAAGCAAAGTTGATTGAAGTCCCCTCCCGCTCGCTAACCCGACACGAAGATTTGCGCCATCTACCGGGTGTAATCTGGAATACCAACACTATCGATACATCTGCCATTGAATTTGATACTTACAAATTCAAGGCATTTGTTTAGTTTATGAACAACAAAATTGGGGGGGAAAAAAACAACCGGGACGTTTTCTAATCTTTTTCTTCTTCCTTCCAAAATTTACAACTTGAGTTGTATTTATAGTCAATCTTCCCTTCTCCGTTCAAGAACCCTTTATGTAGTAGGCAACACACAATACATCGATCCCGTATTTCATATTTTCGGCCTGTTTTCAGGTCCGTAGCCAGGCGTAGACCGCGTTTTGCCCTCTCTAAAAATTATTATTTTGATAGCTCCTTTACAAAATACGAAACATAAATGTACCCAACCATGATTATACAGTGTGGCTGATTATACGGCGGGACATAGGGAAATAACATGGAAAAATACATTTTCATCAATTCCTGCTGCCCATTTGAACCTAAAAAAAAATAAAAAAAGCCTGGGATAGATAATTAAAATCGGCATTAGGTGTCACCAAAAAAGCGTGCCAGTTTGCACCGACAAATTTAAGCGGAGCTTAGCTTAAAATCCATGAGAATAATGGCAATAATCGTTGCCATGGATTTTAAGCTACGATTAAGTTAAGCTCCACTTAAATTTGTCGGTGCAAACGGCCATAAGCCCTTTTTAAAAGTATAAAAATTAGTAAAAGAATTGGTTGGCCATGATTTACCTACCGCATTTGTTGCCTACACGTCAAAATGAATTATTACACTACAGAAGAAAAGGTCTTTATTGTAATAGTACATTATATATCAAGGTAGAGAAGTACAGTATTATTGCCTGAGCACCAAGATTACATCTCGAGGCGCTTGCGCCGAGGGGTGTAAGGTGCAAAGGCAATAATAGACTTCTCTACCGTGGTATATATACTATTTTTTTCACTACTAGCACTTGAAGTCCTCTAAATTAACATATTATATTGATAAGAAAGTGAACGGTTGGACAGAATTTTTTGTTTCTTAATTTAACATGTCAATCAAGTGTGTAGAAGTTCAAGTCAAACAGGCCGTATTTTGTTCTGTCATCGAGATATTTTCAAAGAGTAATTTCGTTCGAATTTTTTCAAAATGTGATAATTTTAGGTATGGAATTCCTCTGGAAATGGCGGATGGTGGCAATTATTCATTTTAGAGAACTTGTCTAAATGTTTATTGAGCCAAATTTGGGGTTGTGTTTTCTAAAAGTGACAGCGTGACAGTTCTCATTATTGACTACTAGTTAATAATGTTCACATTATTAACCGCTTTGAACAACTGCCGAGAAAGCCTACTTTACAAGTGGAAAAAAGGTTAATAATCATGTCATCAGACGCTAGTAGTGAAAGAACATCATTATTATGCCCTTAATACATAAATAACTATTAAATATGTACCGGTGTCCAAAGAAGATTCATGATATTAACCAGTTACGTCACACACTATATATGCGAATGACTTCAAGGCAAAGCTTAAATTCAGAATTGTGTTTAGCCTCACTACCACCAACCGAAGAAGCTGCCAAACAGCACATTAATATCATGAATCTTTTTTTTTTTTATTGATGTATTGCCCCATGTGAATTATTTGGATATATTTAATGTAGCAGGTAAGTAGAGGGAGGCAAATAATTGAATGTTTTTATTTTCTTTAGGTTATCGATTTCGAAGCTCACTTCATCATCAGACCTGGCTAAAATATATAAACGACTCTAGTGAGCCGATAACCTAAAGAAAATAAAAACATTCAATTATTTGCCTCCCTCTACTTACCTGCTACATTAAATCATGAATCTTCTTTGGACACCGGTACAGATTTAAAATAATTTTAAGTCCTGATTTAATTAAAACTGCTATATCCGCATTACGTTTTTGAAATACATCTAAGTCTCGACACAGATGTGAATAATCACCCAATTATTGCGTATTTTACTTTAAAATCCTTATTTTCAAAATTGGGCATACAAAACAGTTTTAACTAATTCAGATATTTACCAAATTTTAAAAAAATCCATATTGCTAAATCATACAAATTTCAATAACTTTTTTGTTTTTTGATCAATAGACTGAAACTTTTTTTTATTACAGGTAATTTTTGATTCTCCATAAAAAAAGTCTCTTGAGTTTTTTTGATATAATGTATACTTTACGAAATATTTAATAAATTCGAAAAAATCGAGATGGCGGCCATTTTTTTCCAAGTTCCACCAATGCGACAAAGTGCGATTTTTGAGGAGTTAATAAGGACCCTATTGGGTACTCATTTCCGCAGAGATCACTTTGTTACTAATTTTTTCTACCTTAACCACCTATTTTGACTAGCCTATGTCCCATAGGAACCCGTTTCTTTCGCCTCGACGATCATGGACAAAATTGCACTCAGATAAATATGTATTTTTATATCAAATGACAATTGTGTCATAAATAAATGAAACTCCTTCATAAAAAAAATACAAATGAAAATCTCAACAGAATTAAACAAACACTATTATTACATATGGAAAATCACTGTACTTTTACTTTAAATAACTGCACCAATTTGAGACACTCATTTTTTGACATCGGATACGACCTCCGCCGCCAAATCGGCAAACTTTGCGACGTAGTCCACACTACTCTCAGTAAGTAAACATTGCAGTTGCGCGTCCATCTAAAATTAAGAAGCGTGTATCGTTTTAGTCTCATCTCTCACCCTACATCTTGCGACGAGAGCGGATTGTCATCCGTCTGCACTCCGCACTGTGTCGTTTTCATCGGAGATTCCAGATGGCCCAGAAAGCTGCTCAGCGAAAAGTCCGCGACCTCCGAGTTTAACCAGTGATGTTCGTTCTCCTTTAAAATTCGCGACGGACTCGTCGGAGGCGTGCCGTTCGACGAGAGCAAACCTTGAACAGATTTCGTCATTTCGACGCGGCCGTAATTAACGAGGTGCGCACCTGAAAAACTCGGCAGCTCTTTGTTCTCTAATACTGATTGGTTTAAGATCTCCCCGGTCTGTTGAGCCATCGCCAGGTCCAGGAGGTTCGAGATGCTCGTGGGGGAACCGACGCGACTAAGCGTGACGGCGTTATCCGAGACGTCCAGCGCGGGGGGATCGACCGTGGTGTTGTCGGTCGACTCGGACGATATGTTGACGACGTTTGAGATGTTATGCTCGCTTCGGTCGATGTTTACGATCTTAGGCGCTATCGAACGAGGAGTGTTGTCCTGCGCGATGATGTTCATTTGCACTATCTGCCGCCCGGTGCCCGTTTTGTTGGGCAAGAGGGGTAGTCGTCTCTCAACGACCACCTGTTTCGATCTCGGCCGTCGGCCGCGTCTGTTGCAGTAGCGCGGCTGCAATCGTTGGATTGACTAGTGGAACGAGGCGTAATTGTCGCCATTTTCAACTTGCCAATACTTACCGCTAGTTGTGCACGTAGTACGTCGATGTTTGGAGATACCGGTCGGCGAAAAAGCGTCGATGATTGTACCACTACTGGCGTGGCAGAACTATTCTGAACAGTAGGCGCTTTCTATAAGAAAAATTTAACAATCGAGTCTAGTTCTTATGAGTCAACAATAGAAGATACAGTTACGTTCTTTGGAAGACGTTCCCCCTTCCATCTAAAGTGTTTTCTAGAAACTAGTTAGCGCATTACAGAGTCGCCTAGCTCTAGAAAGCTTTTGAATACTCCTGGAAAGCGTATAAAAGACTCTGTAGCATCTTTAAAGTGCTTTATTTTCATTAATAATAATTTATTGAACCTTTGTTACTATTCATACAATGGAAATGTATGGTAACATTTATGCCAATAAGCGTTATGACAGAGTTATAATAATAATAATATAATAATAATTGTATTTATTGTTCAACAGAAAATAACAATAATAACAGAAAAATAAAGCAGAAATAGCACACAATAAAAACAAGTATAAATTGTGCACAACTCTTGTGCAGATAAAACGCATTTTTTTAAACCGAAATAGCTTAGTAAATGGTTGAGTTATAAGGAAGTAACATGCTATCAATGTTTACTTTCTTGGTAGATAATTACGTAATGGGAAAGGCCGCCTGGCATACATTAAAAATCCTCAAACACTCCATTCTGCAGATATTTGCACTGAAATCACCAGTTCTTCCTGACGTTTCACTTGCCCTTTGTGAGTACCCTCTTCCGACAATCTGTTCTAGAGATATAAGGAAATATATTCGATCACGATAAGAGGTCGAGGAGGAAGGCTATGGATGGTAGAAATTAGTTCCTTTCGTTGATACCTTCATTAGAGTACCGTGAAGGATAAAACCAGTTCCACCCCCCGCCCCCCAAACCTCCTCTTTTGATAAGGAGTCAGAAAGAAAGACGGTAGTTAGTATAAACCGATTCCTTTCGGTGAATCCTTTAATAGAACCCCCCCCCCTCACCCTCTGATCACGAAAAAAATTCGCGCAGGGAATTCAGCCCCCCCCCCCCTAACACAGCGAAATGTGAGGGCCGTCTGGCACACCTTCAAGTTATAGGCGACCTATTGCAAAAAATTCCAGGACTCTTAGGACAGGGGTCGGCAACCTATTGAAACAGAAGAGCCAAAAATTACAATTTACAAAATTTCCTAGTTTTTAAAGAGCCACAAAAAATTTTTGATTCAATATTATAATAGGAGTATTTGGCTATATACAGGGTCCTGCAACAGTGCGTCGCTTTTTCCTACATACCTGATACCTGGTAACAAATATTGGTGGTTGCGGATCTACAGAAATTATTTTTGAATGTACAGGGTGTCCCATTTTTACGATGTCAATAAATAACTGATCTTTTTAAATAGAACATCCTGCATATTTTTACTTGTTTCAATGCCATTTGTTCCAAGTGCTATAACTATTCTTTTTCAAAGGGAACTACCACTATTTTATTTCGCTATTTGATTGTCTTTTGTGTTCTCTTCAATGTTTATAAGGGGTGCTCTGTGCTAAACCCCGCACTTTTTATGTTATTCAATATTTTTCACAAAAGTACCTACTCATTAATTAATTACGTGTTTATACATCGGAGTAGGCTGCTATAATCAAAGAACAAAAGAATACCAGAAAGTAAACAAGTGTCACAAATTACATAATTATTTGCTGCAAGTGTACTTTTGATTTCGTAAACAAATAAGATTAATTAAAAAGGCGAATTTCGAACAAATGAACTGATTTCTTTAGATAAATATGGAGAGCCGCAACTTTATATCAAAAGAGCCGCAGGTTGCCGACCCCTGCTCTAGGACCATTCCCTACAAGTAGTTCAAAATGGCAGAAGTGGGTCCGGACGGACGGACGAACAAACGCAAACAATAGCACATTTTTTTTAATTCTTGAAAAAATGCCAAAAAAAAAGATAAAAATAATAATTAATTATCCAAATCCTTCTAAATGAAGTAAATAGGCACATAGAACTACAAGAAAATCTTCCACCCCCAATAAATCTTTGTGCCCATTAAATCATCTGGTCCAGGAAAGAACTTTCCACCACGCTGAATCTCAGAACTTGCTAACTAACCCAGAACAACCTTTTTTGATGCTGGAAATCATGAAAGTGAAGTGCTAAGGCTTCGTTCAGACACGGCCGTAATCGCGCCGCCGCAATGTAACTAAACTAAAACGAACAAAGGTCGCTATACACCGATTTTACACAACCGTTACAAATCCCTCCCCTCCCCTCTCTTCCGAGAAAAAAAAGTTTCACTGCAATCCGGCAAAAACCTCTTGTGCAGATAAAGCGCATTTTTTTTACCGAAATAGCTTTTGTTTTGACATCACCAATAGACAATCCGTTCTTGAGGTATAATTGTTGGGGGGGGGGGGGGGCTTTTGGACAGCGAAATTTGATGGCCGTTTGGCACACCTTCAAGGTATAGGCTACCAACTGCAAAAAAAATGTATAAAAAAGTTATAACCAAATAACCAAAGAAACCAAATTAGAAAAACCCCGAAGTACACCTCATCCGTCCGACTTCTCCATCGAAAGTGTTTCAGTCATACCGCATGATGCCCTACATTTGGTAGGTAACAGCCAAACTCTCCACTCCTTCCAAGAGTTCTTCGGAGTTTATCGTGAAGCGATACAACTCCGCAAGCAAAAAATAGAAAAAAGGTAATATTAAGATAAAGATAATAGGGGGAAGAAATAAACCCCGAAAATTCCATCCCAGATTACATAGAGAGTAGTTGTACCGGGTGACCCAATAAGACTGTTCCTCGGCCACATCTCGGGAAGCGTTCTTAGGGGTAAAAAAAATTATTGGGTAAATCGGTTATGAAGAATCGCTGGAAAATATTGTCAAGTTCTAAAAATTGACCACCAGAGGGTGTAACTGCCATCTTAAATTTTAAAATTGCATTTTCTTTAAATTTCGCATAATAAACTAAACATTCTTTTTTCACTAATTTTAAAAATCAGTTATTTCAAAAACAAAGATGGCGTGGAGCGTTCAATTGTTTTTGCACTGCTTTAATCGTTTGACCGATTGTAACAAATTTGGTATCGTTAAAAAAAAACATTCCTTGGAAAACAAGAATAAACCAAAATATAGTTAATTTAGTTGAATCCTTTTCCGCCAGGGGGCTAGTTTTGACACTATGATCCAAAATTCTAAAAAAATCAAATGGAATGTTATGACTTTTTCTTTATGAAAAAGTAGCCAGTGAAAACCGTTTTTCAAAATCTCGTTCCTAACCTCAAATATTGGGAAAATGATATTAATTAATTACTTAATTAATAAAAATGCTTAAATTGTCATCTTATTTGACGTATTTCCGGTATTTGTCGATGGCGCGAAAGATTGTTTGTTACACTTTTAGGTAGGCATTGGAAAATTAAACAAATGAAACACGATGCATTAAAAAATAATAACAGCCGTAATTTGTAAATTATTCTCCTGTATTTACATTCAGAAAGTGCAGTTTTTTGAATTTGTAATCTTTATAAATCTTTTCTAAAATTGGCCCCACATAATTATGTAGTAACTGATACGACTCGTCCATTAATCACGTGACACTCGAGGAGGGGGGGGGTAAAAAATCATGAAACATCACAAGGAGGAGAGGGGGTTTAGCGATATAATCACCTGTATATTTTTTCGCTAAAATGCTTTTTTTTTTAGTAATGTAAAGTAGTCCATGGAAATAAAGAGTATTTATTATTATTATTATTATTTAAAGATAGCATTTTGAACATTTTTAAGATAGTACTCCATACTAAAAAAATACGTGATTTTGAGTAGGGGGAAGGGGGGGTTAAAAGTTGCTAATTAATGGACGACCCCTAATAATATACTTTTGTATTTTATATTTTACACTTAGACAAATAAATGCATAATGCAATTGTTTAGGCTCTTTCTATGCCTAGGCAATAAATAAAAAAACAATTGCCACTTACCTCTTGAGATTCTCCTTTGTCCACATTAGCGAGTCGGTTTGTCTTAGGAGTGAGAGGTTTCGATTTAGCAGTGTTCGGTTTACTTCCATTGCAAATGTGCCCGCAAGGGCAGTGTATTATATTTTTCCGGTACTGCATTTTCGCTATGGACAGTAACCTCGAAAGCGTTCCATGAAGAACATTTGGAGAATCTTCCGATACCCCATCCTCGTTATCACAGGTTTTGACTTCTGCGTCGTTATCCCAACTATACTCTAGGATTAGTTTCGAATTAGATCCGAACTACAAGTTTACTAATTACAAACAGAACAAAACAGAAAATTACCACCATAAGGTAAAGCTCGCCTATAGATAAAGTGCCACAATTCTGCGAAGACCATCCCTTTCGTACATTACTAATAAACTCTTCTTTAACGGCGCCTTTGTCCTTAACTTCTTCGACGCACTCGACCTTCACGACTTCCTTGTGCTCGGGAATCACATTCTCCTGATTTTGCAGCGACAGTATCGTGTTCACAGCTTCATCTATAACTTGGTCGAAATTGCTCGTGACCTCCGACTTGATACAGTTCTCGTTACTGTCCGTCTGAGACGACGTGGCTCCGCCCTTACTACTTGTAACTATCGCCTTATCACCCGTACTTTCATTTCGAGATCGTTTGGAACCGCCCTTCTTTGCCGCACCTGCGAATTATTCGCAATTGTGTATCGCACGCCAGATCTACCCCTCCTACCTTTAACAACCCACAACTGTTCGCCCGGAACTTTTACGCCGATCCTCTCCTCGAAAGCGTTCAGGCAAATGCTATGACTGGTAAGGTACTCGCTTAAATTAATGCTAGGCAATTCGATTGGAGTTTTCGGTTGCGGACTTAGTCTTAGAAGAGGATCTAATGCGGTCTTGTGAACGTCTATAATTTTTTTATCCGGCACACAATCGCGAGTATATTCGTTCGCTGAATTTAACATATTTTCGTACTAAAGCAATGTTAAGGATATACGCTGCGTTGAATTATTACAAATAAGTTCGTTGTTTTTGTATACAGAAACGGAAGTTTAAGGAGCTTTCATTTTGTAAATAAAATTTTTAATTTAACCTGAATTGACTCTGGTTGTAACGGCCTTTTGAGCTCAGAAGGGCGCTTTCTGCCTTATCTGTAGCAGATAACAACACAAACAAACAAACAAGAGGGATAGTGAATAGCGCGGCACAAAAACATTGCGGGATAGCAATGTCTAACGTCTGACACTGGGGTAAATGGTATACCAAAACCGTAATAATACTCATAATTCAATTTACGTTAACTAAACAAAAGCAAAACTTTCACTCGACCACGGATTTTCCGTACAAATCGGAATATAAAAGCATGAACGTGACGTTAACTCAACAGAACTACTACAGAAGTGTGGAGGAACCTCTTGTGTTATTTGTATTTTTTTATATATACATTGTTCCTTTTTCTGTTTTTTTTTTGTGGAAATAAACATTATTATTATTAAACACCGAAGATAATGACGGGACACCCTGTATATAAGAATTTTCAACTTATTAAGTATAAATCTGCGGCATTATTTGAAATAAGCACAGAATTGGTTCGTTTTATTTGAATTTGTATCTGTTTGTTACTTTTAGAAATCTTAGAATCGCGTAGTTTTCGTTTATCACTTTGCGTATTTGATTGTAAAACGTGAAATTGCGTAAAATACATCTGTTCGTTTGCGATAGGTAGTTTTCCTGGGCGAAAATTAATTAACGCACGTGTTTTCTCGCTGCTAAGAGATGAGGTATTTCAAAGAATGCGCGTTATTTTCGGCGTAAGTTGGGACGTGCCCCTCAAAACTACCGAATACCTGAACTTAGATGTCTGTAATAAAAATATTTTAATGTATAAAATACAACATTGCAAATAGTATTAAATATAACAAATGATTCATCAAAAGTTAGGAAATTTTACTCCAAAAACTCCAAACTATATAGAGTGGTCCATACGAAAAAATATACTTTAGGGTCGTATAAGAAAAACCAAACACCCTGTATAAAAACTGTGTATCATAATAATAATAATAAATGTTTTTATTGATTAGCAGTTCTACATTTGCAATAAGTACTGCATATATCAATTAGGTGAAAGTTCAGATTTTTTAGGTAAAACCTAATCTGATATTCTACTTTAACCTTAATAACTTTATGAAAGCATCCAGTTAGGTACAGACAGAAAGAACAACAAAAACAAAAAAAAAAGATGAACGATTGAAAAGAGAAAAAAAGAAAAAGAAAGGGAACAAGCTAAATTATTGTACGTTTTGTATAATAAACAAGTATTGTTTATATTTGCACTTAATCGTGATGGATTTTACATAAACATGCTCTAGGAAAGGTTTTGCCAAAATCAATTGTCTTTAATAAAAAGAAATTTATGAGGCATTAATGAAATCGGCTGAATTCTAGAAACGCCTCCTAGCGGCCAAACGATTTGACATCATCAAGCCAGTCACCTCATTTCTTTCGATCTCATAAAATAAAGTATGTTTACATAGGAAAGTGTCCAACTTGGACCACACTGTACACACAGAAAAATTCTTATTCCTTACAAAGTTTGTAAAATGATCTAAAACATTTGATGAAATGATTGCCTCGAGCTTAGGAAGCTAAAAATCAAAAAAAGGATACAGCTACTGAATCCGCAGTCTGCCACTTGCACGTCAAGAACTTCATTAACGTACTCAGTCTTTTCTGTAAAGGAAGTGATGCTTTAATTCGCGGATTCTGCGATATGCCCTGAATCCGTAACCACGTGCTCATGTCTTTGGCGACCAGCTCGACGTTGACGCGCGTCGGCAATTTCAAATCGTCGTGTTTCTCTAAAACGAAACGAGTGAGTGCGACACACGCGAGTCATTGGGAAAACTTACCGTCCAACTGATTCAGCTTACGGAGCGCTCTACACATCGGCGTTTTAACGCGTATGGTTTTCCCTTTAAATCGTACGCAAACCGTGCCACGATATATGAGCTCGTTTAGCTTCATGCAGGTCTTCTCGCTGACCGAGCCGAGCTTCTTTCTCAGCTCTCCGTAGTTGATTAGTGCGTAAAGTTCTTGTGCCAATTTTTTTATGTCTATAAAATTGTGAATAAAGCATAGAGAATGGATCAACCGGGAAGTAGCAATAACAAATGTGCGCCTATTTCTACAAAGGTAATTGTTTTATTTAATGTTTAGATTATGTAGATTAGAAACGTAGCACTCTACCAATCAGTTCGTGTTGCTCTTATCAATATCAATATCGGAATTCAAAATAGCAAGGTTAAGTGGAAGACCAGATGGCAATATTTTATTGTCAATCTGAACTTCTTCCTCTTGTTCACTTTTTATTATTAATTTTAGCGCATTTTCCAACAAAGTTGGGTGCGCTTTCTCAGCCACTTTCTCTGTCCGTCTGTCTGTCCGAGGCCTTAACTACTCCTACAGTTTTCAAGATATTCAGTCCGTTCGTTGCATTCGGTAGCGTATAGCTCTAGAACCTGAGCCAATGAAAATCTTGACAATTAAACTGCGCATGCGCAATGTCAACTTTCTTATTTATGGAGGTATTTCTTGGAATTTTAACCAATGTTGCTTTTGGTGCAAGCAAACATATCGCATATTGTAAACATCAGATTAATGCGCAGGATGCGCAATATCAACTGTTATTTATCGAGATATCTTTTTGAAATTTTAATCACAGATGCTTCTGTTAAAATTAAAGTTAAAACAACTGATATTGCAAAAATTAGATGTGCGCATGCGCAGTCAGTGCCAACTTCTTTATTTATCAAGATATTTCTTTGAAATTTTAACCAAAGATGCACATAGTAAAAATCAAATCCACGCATGCGCCGACTGCAAAATGCCAACTTTTTTACTTATGAAAATCTCTCAGCCACTGCCACGTGGTCGGCAACCCCACCACACTAATAGTCTTCACGGTTGGCAAGTTATCAAGAAAAAAATTCGCGATTGGCTTTCAAGCTCGGGCAAGTTCTGTTTACCCGCAGACAGAGAAAGGGCAGCCAAATACCAATCAGACCAAACCCACTAAGGAGGCTGGGCCGTCAAACCAAAGAAGCCTCTGGTGGAACACAACCCACCAAGGTGACCCCAACCAGACGAGTACGCCCTGCTTCACACAAGAGGGAGGAAAAATAGCTCAATGTTCCATAATGGCACATGAAATTTATACAGGGCGAAAGCGGCACCACGAGCGCATTATGTACAGGGTGGCCAACTAAGAATGCGAGGTACTGTATCTGAGAATCTATCCATCGCAGAAGCTTGCGGTAAAAAAATTTATTACTAAAACGGCCACCAGTAAAGCCTGGAAAATATTTTTAAGTTTCTGAAATTACCGCTAGGGGGCGTAACTGCAATCTGGAATCTAAAAAAGTGATGTTTCTGTGAATTCCGATATATTAACCTAACAAAAAAATGTCCGGTCTTTGAAGTTGACGATAATCTGAACAATTTTTGTTTGACAATTTTTCCTGTATCTCTAAAAATGAAGTGGTGGGGGGTATTCAAAGGTTTCCGTAAAGAACACCCTGTATCTTCGAAACGGCTGAGCCGATTTAAACAAACTCGGGTTAGTTCAAAAGAGCTATTCTTCAGGTACAAATATTATACTATTTGAAGTTTTGTTAGTTTCACATATCACCACTTGAGGGCTTTTTTCGACACTCCAACAGAAATGGTTAATTTTCACAAAAAATTAAACGCATTGGTTCAATTTTTTTTTCAAGCAAAAGTACCTAAATGATGCCTAAACAAACTCGCCAAAACGGTGTCTCGATATCTTGAGATATATATATATTTTTATATCGTGATGGCCAGCATTTCGGGCATTTACGGCGGCATTAAAAACTTCCTTTTTTAAATCGATACACCTTAGGGCCACAAATGATATAATAAAAATAATTCGGGAAAAATTAGCTTAAAAAAATAAAATTTTGAGGGTACAAAATCCTCTTTGGTCTAAAGTTAGGAACAAGCTTTCGAGATGCGGTATTCGCGAGCTTGTTTAGGCATCATTTAGCTACTTTTTCATGAAAAAAAAAAATCAAACCAACGCATTTAATTTTTTTGAGAACATTAACCATTTCTGTCAGAATGTCGAAAAAATCCCTCAAGCGGCGATATCTGAAACTAACAAAACTTCAAATATTATAATATATGTAGCCGAAGAATAACTCTTTTCAATTAACCCGAGTTTGTTAAAATCGGCTCAGTCGATTCGAAGATACAGGGTGTTCTTTACGGAAACCTTTGAATACCCCCCGCCACTTCATTTTTACAGATACAGGAAAAATTGTCAAACAAAAATTGTTCAGATTATCGTCAACTTCAAAGACAGGACATTTTTTTGTTAGGTTAATATAGCGGAATTCACAGAAAAATCACTTTTTAGATTCCAGATTGCAGTTACGCCCCCTAGCGACCATTGCAAAAACGTAAAAATATTTTCCAAGTTTTTCTCGTGGCCGTTTTAGTAATAAATTTTTTTACCGCAAGCCTCTACGATGGACAGGTTCCCAGATACACTATCTCGCATTCTTATTTGGCCACCCTGTACAATGTTTAAAGAACATCTAGACATGGCCCTTATCCAAGAACCCTGTTATTGAAGGTTATCCACATTCTACAGAGCCTCTGATCTATGAAAGGGGCAATACCTCCCTCAGGGCAGCGGGTGCATAACAAAAGACCTGGTAGCTGTGGTGGTCAAAGCACCAATAAGCACCAGTGTTGCCAAAATAGCGTCGTGCTTCAGCATACCTCCCAGAAGAGAACGTGGCAGCAGTGCCTCCGCCGCCGGAAGTACGGAGGAGGCTATCTTCTTATAGGATGTGACGCCAACTCCCATCACTTCCACTGGGGCAGCACAGACACAAACCGTACCTTTTGGATTTTCTTTTGTCAGAGGAATTAAAGATACCCAATCAAAGCAAAGAACCAACATTTGTAACCAGAAATAGGAAAGAAGTCCTGAATATTATCTTTGCCCTCCTCCTTTCTAGCAGCAGGCAGAATAGTGGGTGGGGAGGGGGGTCTCTAATGCGCCCTCTCAGACCACAGGCAAATCTGCTATATAGCATAAAAGCAGAGAAACATACCGAACATTCATACTGAAATTCTGTGACTGTACAGGGTGACCCAATAAGACTGTTCCTCAGCCATATCTCATGAACCGTTCGTCGTATGACTTAGGGGTAAAAAAAATTATTGGGTAAATCGGTTATGAAGAATCGCTGGAAAATATTTTCTAAGTTCTAAAAATGACCACCACCAGACGCCATCATTTTAAAAGTGCATTTTTTTAAAATTTCGCATAAAAAAACTATAAAAAATTTTTCACATTTTTAAAGAGAATCAGTTTATCTATCATTGTCGTAAAAACAAAACTCAGTTATTTCAAAAATAAAGATGGCGTGAGGCGTTCAATTGTTTTTGGAATAACTTGCTTTAACTTCTTGACCGATTGTAACAAATTTGGTATCGTTGAAAAGAGCAGCAAGAATCAACCAAAATATAGTTAATTCAGTTGAATCCTTCTCCGCCAGGGGGCTAGTTTTGACACTATGACCTAAAATCCTAAAAAAATCAAATGGGACCAATTGAGGAACCAACACTAAAACCGTCGGCAGCTCAAGCTTCCAGATTCTGACAGTACATTAATCGAAAAGGAAACAAGAGAAGCCGTACATCGCTTGCTCCGACCAGGCCACTGTGAACTGGTAGAGATAGGTTTCTGCAATTACAGCCTATGAAACCTATTTAGACTTACTTAATAACTAGCAATATTGATAAATCAACAGTAGATTTTAATAATCAAACTAATAACTAAATGTTAGTGGAGTTCCCCAAGGAAGTATCTTGGGGCCAATTCTGTTTTCATTATTGATCTTTAAACAAGCGACTGAAGTTTTTGGTTAATTTGTTGTGCATTGGTAATCCCTAAATGGAAGACAGCTACATTTCCAATTTAGAACACAAGTAAAATCGATTCGCTTTGTATAAATAGAGCACACACCCCGAGCAAAAGTGTGTTTACCATCTGAAAACTTTAAATGCTTGGAGATCTTGTGAAATGTGCGGTAATAAAAGTGTCTAACTTGGTCTTTTGTTTTCAATACCGAATCCGGAAGTCCTTTTCGTTTCAATTTCGCCGCAATAGATAAATAGATCGATTCAAAATCCTTGCCGAACTCGTTCAATGCTTCGAAGAACAAATTCTTATCCTCTTGTGACCATGTGGGACGCAACTGACGTTTATTCGCCTCGGGTTTTACCTCCTCCTTTGTAGTTTCTGAAGGGCGAACGTTGTAAAAGAGAAACGGCGTATGTTTTTTTACCTTTTTTCGGTTCCGCTGTTGAGGACGTCGGTACGGAGTTCGCAGAGTCCAATTTCATCTTCTTGAACACACGAGCACTCGTCCGTAGTTGCTGGCTTTTGCAGTCGGAACCGTCAACATTGTTGTAAGTCGTGACAGATCCCAGTAACTCTTCTATCGGTATGTTATTCTGATCGAGAACTGGTTTGGAAATATTCACCGTTTCACTCATGTTGCTTGTGCACTATTCCATTGTTCTCAATGAAAAAAACCTCGGCGAATACTTGGGAAGCAACCTAACCTGTCTTTCTTCTGGTTGCTAGTGAGAAAACCCACTTAGGATTCAGGTAAATTCGCTGTTATTAAAATAATGGAATCATAATTGCTTTTCCCACAAGCAATACACAGTGCACTTTTCCATGTCTTTATTGGCCAAAAGGAGGAATTTCCGTACAGTAAACCATGCCCAATCGATTTTTACAACTTCTTTGAATATAACTTCGAAGATCTCCTCGGGAAAACCTGCAAAATAAGACGGTTAAAGAAATTTACAGTTAACAAGTTGGAAAATTAATGCAAATGGCGCTATTGAAGTGTGGCATAATTTTCCGAAAATGTAATATAAATCTTCGATAACGGTCCCGAAAATGTACGCGAGCCAGTTAAGAAAGACTTAAAATGTTTACCTACGAGAATTTTTAAGTGATTTGTAGAAAACTAAGGGCGAAATGTCCCATTAAAGTTGAAGAACACAAATTTCATAGCTGTTGATCGGTGTTATTTTCGCGACTTGAGATGATTTCTATTGCCAACCTAAAATTTTTTAAAAAGTTTTTCTGGGAAAAATTCAAATTGGGGTAGCGATTGGGGAGTGTGGGGGCTTCAAATACCTACCTGCATTAAAAATCTCCAGCAAACTTAAGTAGAAATTCGATAGGGATGGAATGAAAATGAACTGGGATAATGGATGGTACAAACACCCATACGCCATCATAAGTGAAGTTTATCCATTGAAGGCTTTTCTAAACGATCATTTACTAGAAAATCAATCCACCAATAATCCTTGAGAATTTTGGGGTGTGATCCTAAGGCTTCTTAGGAGTCCTTACACCGTTTAGCCCGTAGAATCCAAAAAATGGATGATCATCAAGATCTGACCACCAGAAACAGGAGGCTAAAATCAGCTTTCAAGAATTCTAAATAACAATAGATAGATATCTTTAAAACAATCGATTACACCAGTGTTTCTCAACGGGGGCCATATGGCCCCCTAGGGGGCCACGATGTATTTCTTGGGGGCCACAAACGAAAGACAGAATCTTGGTGGGCCACGGAAACTTTTCAGTGGGCCACGAAAATTCACTTCTACAATATCTTGCTGAAATACTAAAATTAAATAAATGTACCAAAAATGGTACAAAAATTATACAATTTAATTTAATTATAACTTATATTTGGGGTACATATAGGGTGGTATAGGGAATCGAAAACATCCTATTTTGGTTTTGATCCGTAACCATCTGCAAAGTTGTTGAAGGTGTCAAAATTTTAAGAGTAATAACGGCTTGAAAAAGATTTTTAAATTTTTTCGCATACACTGGCCAAAATTGCTTAAAAAACTGTTTTTGTGAGTTCCTTTGTTTTTGAGAAGTTTGAATTGAAAAGTTTATCAGTAAATCAGAGTGAAAAATGTTAATTACAAAAAAGATGTGTCTTGATGAGGTCCACAAAAAAGGCTTCTTTTTGCGTCGGATTCAAAATAAAGGCGCTATAGGGCATTTTCTAAATGTTATACTATGACCAAAAGTAATAAATTGCAATGACTATTAAAAGTAGTCGGAAAGTCAACTCAGGAGTTTATCTATACCTAGACATGTGTTTAGACATTTTTTTTGTAAAGACTTCTCATCCTTCATCTCTTTACTAACTGTAAAAAAGCAAAAAAAAAATAATAGGTAGGTACTAGGGGTGTCGCGAATTTTGTTAATATTTTTAGTGTGCCGCCAGACAAAAAAAGTTTGAGAAACACTCGGAATAACCCCTTATTCTTGTTTGTGTTATCTCAGTGTACCTTTCCTAGAAAGGTACCGGAAAATGTTTGTTATTTTTTTCTAACACGACTAATACCCCTCTACCGCCTGCCAGGATTATTTTTAGATTTTTCTACAACTTTCAAAGACGCAATTTAAAAAAAAAAATTTCAGCGTCAAAATACATTGAGCTTGAAAATGGTTTCATGATAACTAAAAAATAACTCAAATTAATTTTGATCTAATCTAAAGCGTTAAAATATTGAAAAGTCTAAAAATACGTATAAAAAGCTACTAAGATTTCAAAAATCTCTCTGGATATTACCCCCCACCCCCTCCAGGGGGGATACCATACCACGGGTCTATCGCGGAGGGGGGCCACAGAGATAAATAACATTCACAAGTAGGCCACCAGTAAAAAATGGTTGAGAAACACTGGATTACACCCCCACCTCTTTTTAAAGGGGTAATGAAAGTTCACCTTGACCTCTCTATCTTAGTAGCGCTAGCGCCTAATGTAATCTTTGATTTTGATTATTTATACAGCTTTGATTAAATAAATTTTATCCTTTTTTCTTTCCTCTCTATCATCTTTCCCGTTCTCTGGAAAGGACATAAGGTTGTAGGTACATGCCTCGAAAGCTTTAGGACGTATATCGGAAATTCCCTGGAAAAACTCATAAGTGTTTAGGTCCAGAGTCGCTTTCTAAGGTTGCGCAAGACATTCCCAGCCCAGAAAATAGGTTCCCTACAAAAGTTCTGGAAAGGAATATCACATAACCCTGGAAAACCTTTGAATCATACATTGCGATCAAAAATGAGTGACCGTCGAGTCACCTTTGGAATTTTTGTTTACATGGGAAATCGTACTTAACTTCAACTTTCAAAGGCGACTCGACAGTCACTCATTTTTGATCGCCCGATATAATAAAACATTAAAAAACGGAAAGTGCGTATTTCTTGTCAGAGCCGTGGAGACTTTCCTGCTGTTTAAGAGCCTTGCCAGAGCTTTGTTTCAAACCCTTTTAGCTCTGAAGGATTCCACAGAAAGCCCTCAACAACACAATTGTGTCCCTGGCCACGCATGTCAAACACCTATTCGCTTAAAAGCTTTTTAAATGCTATCCAACAATCGAGAAAGTTTTTCTCTCTCTTTTTCTCTCACCTCACCCGCTTCTAGACACTTTCCTAAGCCTTTATGATTTCTATTTGCTTCAAAGAACCTTAAAAAAGATCTGAAAATGAACCATGAAAACCTTCTATCCACCTAAACTATAGTTTTGGAGTGCATTTCATCATCGATCATCAACCCCAAAGCTTTAGGTATGCACTTTTCAGAGCTTTCAAGACTTTTCCAGACCTATCTGTGTCATTTCAAGAGTCACCTCAACGTCAGAACTTTCCCGAAGTGTTCTAGGCTGATGTGGACCCAACAGCTGCGTTAAAATTCCCTTCTCTACTTAACTATGCCTTCAAAGCCTTCGAATTCCTAGAGCTGCTGGTTAGACCCATTCGAGAACTTCTCCCTTTCTAATACTATAAAAGGTACCTATAGGCAGGGCCGGATTTAGCATGGGGCCATGTGCGCCCGAGCCCATAACGGCAAATTTTTAGGGGCGGAAAAAAATTTTGGAAATAGTTCTACAGTACACTATCGTGAAAAACATAACATAACCTCTAAAGAAAAATTGAAGTTGGAATGTTTTACGCACCCTTTTATTACCAACTTAAAAGTACCTAATCGTGAAACATGAAGTAACATATAATCACACATTTCGACGAAATTTTGTGAACTGTGTATTAAGATTGTGGAAAATTTAGGGGTTCTCCCGCAAATTTTATTTATTGAAAACGTCCCATAGCCATCTTTACCAATTTCATAATCGTACCTGGGGGCTTAACCTCCTGTTGATGTAATGATGCGGAAATATTAATAAAAGAAAGTAAGATTGCGTTTACAGAGGGGGAGGGGGTTCCATCGCATCGGGGTAAAATACTGAAAGCAGTTTTGCAACAACGTTGTGACACGTATAGGCGCTGTGGTGAGTTAAACTGTGAATTTTGCGTATTAGTTAAATCTCGTAACGATGGAATGATTGAGAGAGGGGGGGGGGGGATCTCATTTCAAACACTTCCCTTCTTTACTTAACTGCAACAAAGCCTTCGAATCCAGTTGCTATGTACCTTGCCCCTCCGAACCTTTCTCCCGTTCTAACACTTTAAAAGATACCTAAATAAGGCCGGATTTAGCATGGGGCCTGTGGGACCGAGCCCATTGCGGCAAAAACTTAGGGAGGAAAAAGAATTTAGGAAATGGTCTAGTAATTGACCTACACTCGCAAACCAAAAGGTAATTTTACTACCCTCTTTGCTTCTCGAAAATGCAGTTTTTTTTCATCAATTTTAGCATTATAGTGAACCTTTCAAAGTCATTTGGTTTTGGCTAAAAACTGCCAAACCTTACCTGTCTAAAAATTTATCCATTTTAAGGAATTGTAGCCTTATGGTCTTAGTAATTGACCTACACTCGCAAACCAAAAGGTAATTTTACTACCCTCTTTGGAGAAATATTAATTTTCTTCTCGAAAATGCAGTTTTTTTTCATCAATTTTACCCTTTCCAACTTTGTTTAAATACATTATAGTTCTGTTGGTAGGCAATAGCATTAAAAATGTGTTATCATTGAAATCTATCTTTAATATGCATATGTTCAAAAATTTATAATTTACTAAGTTCTTCCAAAAATTTACTAATCAAGGGCGCAACGGATTCTGGTTCGTTCAGATGGGCGTCGTGATTCTCCGAGATTTCTTCAATTCGACATTTTGGCATGGTCCTGATTGCATCGATCATTGCGTGGCAATAATCACTGTACTTCTCTTTCGTTTCCGTCGTATAGATGAACAAGAATGGACACGTTATCTTATAATGGTGAAGCATTTGTATGATTACTTTCAAATCAAAAAATGGGTTTATTCTGGAACTTATTCTAGCATCCGTCGAGAATATATACATCTCTTTACCATGCTCTGCTAAACACCTATCGGCCAAACACATTGCTGCTTCTTCGTCCAGTTCGTTTTCGTACATTCTGGTCTCCTTTATTTTGTCGACGCCGTCCAGATAAAATATACCTCTTTGCTTTGTGTTGTTTAGCGCAATAACTTTGTTAATATTACGCACGAGGTCACTCATCATGGATTTCGTGGGCATCGGCAGCAAGTAGAAGGAATCCAACGTGATCAGTTTGGAAACGTAATGCGGATATATTTGGGCGAACATCATGAGCAGCTGCCCTCCATAACTGTGCCCGAAAAAAATGTACTTCTCCTTTTTAAAGTGATCCAAAATCAGCTTTAACGTTAAAATATAATCCATGCTCGTTATCATTGTGTGTGGAGGAAACTTGCTCGATAGCCCGTGGCTTGGTAGATCAGGGCAGATGTAGTAAAACCGCGGGGGCAACATGGGAATTAACCGATCAAAGGAACCGGCATTGTCACGAACTCCGTGAACCATAAGAATAGGAGGGTCCGTTGCTTCTCCCCATGTTTTCACTGCAAGAACACATTATTTTACCATCTTTTCAATAATTGACATTACCTGCAATGTGTCCCCAGAATACCGGCACCTTCACTTCGTGTGTTGCCATTGTGCTCGACTGGTGCGGCCTCGGTGTCACTTCACTAATATTTATACCTTTCCCACTATTAAAATCTTAATAAAACTTTATGATGATTATGAAAGTTTTATTTGCAATAAAACTTGAATGTGATTTGGGAGTCAAAAGGCTATCGAACATTCATCACTTTTGGGTCATTAGAGCACTAGATGAGTATGAACGTGCAATATTGTTACTGCAAATGCTGGTCGTAAATCAGAAGGTTCCTAATGCGTTAACCATCTCTAGGTACTCCAGAGCTGAGAAACATTGTTGTAAAGGTGTTTTGGGAAACATTTAGAAAGTGCCTTCTAAAGCTTTCCAGAGTTTCATAAGTGCTTTCCAGAGAAGATTATTAGGGTCTTAGCAGAGAGCTGGAAGGCAATACCAGCCTGAATTTTAATTGCTCTATCAAGCGTTTAGGGTATCTAGAGCCATTTAAGTGTCCAAAACATTTCAAGTGTTTTTAAAGATACCGTTTTTCTCTCGAAATTATAAAAGATTGTACCACATGGGTCTGAAGAACTCTGGAAAAGACCCAACAACGCTCTAATAAGGTGGTAATAGAATGCTCGTTGTAGAAAGATCCTATAATGCTCTGAAAAGCGCGACGAAGGTGTCCTGAAAAACTCTGGTGGGCTCTTGAGCGAGCTTTTCTTTAAGAAATCTCAGGAAAGCACATAATGGAAGGTCTGAAGCGATTTTTCCATACAATTTGAGTGTTTCCCAGATTTCTGCACTTTGTTCCACACCTACAGGGTTGGGTAAGCTTTATTCAAATCAACGGTTGCATTCAAGTATTTTTTCATAAATTTGGTGTGAAAGTGAATGCGCCCACAAGTAGTAGCATTTAGGTATTTTTGATCGTATTGTTGGCGAACCTGCCCATCTGTCAAGTTAAATTTGACAGTTATCATTAAATTGAAAGTTGGAATGAAAATTGCAATAAATACCTATTGTTAATTAAATAAGTAGGTGCTTGATTTCGAAAAGAATGTTACCTTATAATAATAGATAGTATTTAACATCTCGTGTTGGAATGGAATTTATAAAAACACCAAAAGTGAGTATTACATGCAAAAAGCTATTTGAAATATGTTAACAAATTGATAATTGATGTTTTTAAGGCGTATCTCTTTCCATTGTTTATATTTTATCATTTTATCGTAGATTAGTGGTTCGATGATATTTGGTGATTGATAGTAGTATTATTTCAAGGCGCTTAAGACCATGTGTCTGTTACACACTTTTTTTAAAATCCGGATGGCCTTGTGTAAAAAGATGTTTGTCTTGGGGGTTTTCCATGGAAAACTTGGGGTGGGTCAACAGACACAGACCGATTTACATGTTTGTAAATAATCGCTCTTATCGATGTAAGGATTAGAACCTACTTTTAGTAGTCGAAGATGGAGGAAATTTGAGTTTCGTAATTCCTAATTTGATGTACCACAGCCTTCTATTGTCATAGAAATTATATCCAATTAAGGGCAAGTCTCTCATGTTTTTCTGAGAGAAATTCCTATATCTGATTGCATTTGTTTCCATAGAACTTAATAGTAATATGTAAGTCCTGCTCTTGGTGTCTTTTTCTTCTTTTCCGTGCACCAAAAGTACTTATCCATTTATGGTAACTACTGAACTAATCCTCTTATACAGAGTGTAACAACTTAAAAAAATTGGGTTGCCAAGAGGACCAAAATAAACATTTTTTTCCCAAATAAATCCACTTGTTTCATGTGGGAGTCCAAATGGTTTCCTGCTATGGCTCTCTTGTTTTGTAAAAATTGCGTGTTTTGGAATTGTGAATTTTCTGAATTGTTTTATACTAGTTTGGAAAAAACTCTTTTTTTGTTGCATCAATAGAAGACCTATCAAACCCAGATTGTCCCGAGTTGCTAGTTATTGTCACAAGTGCGGGTTAAGGGCTTTTTAATTTGACTCTTTCCAGTTTTACTTCTCAGTATTAGCCTTGGGTAGTATCTCGCTTCGAATAGAAGTGAGGGTAAAGTTCATTGTCGCCATCATCTTCCACTTGACACACCAGACTTGCATCCAGCCAAGAGACGAAGAAGGCCCTTAAACAAGTATCAGTTAGAAAGAAGAATAATTTATACGAGAAAAGCATGCCACTAAAATTAAGAGTTCGCTGAACTACATCAAGAGCCCCAAGACTTGGAGTTCTATTTCGCCTTCACTTTCCGGAATCATGAGCAGATTTCTTCTATTTTTTTATTTGTTTGTTTACTTCCTTTTATTTACTTTATATTAATCTTCACCGCTCAATAAAATACATTACTGTTCTTATGATTATTCTATGCAGGTAATAGCTGGTATTATTATTATTTACATACAGACATTCGGAAAAATTTCTGAAAATTTGTTCCTCTGTAACTTCCCGCCATCCAGTAGCATATGAAAACCATTCAACTTAGGGAATGAAATTCTGTCTCTGAGAACGATCAGTGTGGATCCGTGCGAAGTTAGCAACAAACGGCCAGCCTTAGATTTTGCATATTTCTTATGAAGTTAGTAATGGCGATATATCAATAAATATGCCAAAATATGCACAAATCCTATTTAGGCGTGTTTGTCCCCCTCCCCCCGTTCTACCGCTAATGTACTCGTGGGCGGATTTAGATTAGTTTGAAAAATTATTTAAAAAAATAAAGCTTACTTATGTGTATAAATATTATTGGCGTCATTTAGAAAGTTAATATCAAAACAGACTTTCACAGAAAACAACTGAGCTGTAATTGTTAAGTGAATATCAAAAAAATGTAGTATTTACAATTCGTTTGTATCGAAAACCAGTAGGTAATGAAACGTTATATCAAGGAGTCGCTGAAAATAACAAAATTACCTTTTGAACTCGAGGTCGCAGCGACCTCTTCGAGCTCAGGAAGGGCACTTTCTGCCAATCTGTTACAGATAACAACAGAAACAAATGAATAAGAGGGGCAGTGAATAGCTCACTCATGAAGTATTGCGAAAGTAATTTTAACGTCTGACACTTGGGCAATCGGGTACCAAACCGTAATCGAGAATCAGTAATTCAATTAATAATAATCGGTTATTGGATTATATCTCCCCATGCATATATTTTTATGAAAATTAAAGGCGAATATCACGACGTATGTTTCGGAACTGAACTGGTTCCATTTCCAAGTATAAAAGGGACGACTATTTCAATAAATTGATGCTGAAAAGTTATAAATAGAAATTATGGCTAAAAGATTACACTTACCCAGAGGAAAGTCTTTTTTATTTAGCACATATTTAAATTTACAAAGGATCTAATTGAACTTTTTGTAAAACCAAAAACAGCGTGGCAAATGACAAAGTAGGTTATATTGAATTTTGAAAAATTGTGACAGATATGTCAGGAATACCAACAAAAGTACCAACCGTAAAAAACAAAATTACTTGAAACTAGAATTTAGTGCTAAGATCATCTAATGGAAAGTCAATGATTTCATTAACTAAATCAGGATCAGTTGTATATTTATTAATAGATTGTATTTCCAACATATTGAGCAAGTGACATGTCTGTCACATAACCTATTTTGTCATTTGGCACGCTGTTTTTGGTTTTACAAAAAGTTCAATTATAGTCTTCATATGGGCCCCATTCAAAAGTTTCGTTAATACTTGCGGTTGCAACAGGAACAAACGAGGGAACAAATATCAAAGTGTTGGTAAACAGGGGCCGACTGGGTACTTACGGGCCAGGTGGAATTGTATGGGTTACGGGCCATTAAAGTATTAGTGTAGTAATGAAGGTGGCGGGGGGGGGGGTACCTCTGCGGTGCACCACAAAAATTTTAGTACTCCTTTTTCGGAAATCAATTACAATACAGTTTTTTTTTTAATTGCAACTGATAATTAAAACTTTTGATTGTTTTGGATTCTACCGCACCAAAATTAATAAGAAAAAGCGTGTTCCCGAGAAATTTTGGTGCAGTCGATTTTTGGTAAAAAAGGAAGGTTATACACTGCCTTTTTTTGAGCTCCGAAAAAAAAATTGTCTCAGATCGACCCGGAAAAAAATTTTCTTATAGAATGTGGCCTGTAGAATCCATAATTTCAAACAGTTCCAAGATTGGGCTACTAGTTCAAAAGTTACAGCCCTTTGAATTTTCTTTCGAAATTGGTTTCTAGTCTCATAACTTTTGATTGAGAAGTCTGATCGAAAAAGTACGAATTGTTTTGGATTCTACGCACCAAAATTAATAAGAAAAAGTGTTTTCCCGAGAAATTTTGGTGCAGTCGTTTTTTGGTAAAAAAGGAAGGTTATATACACTGCCTTTTTTTGAGCCCCGAAAAAAAAATTGTCTCAGATCGACCCGGAAAAAAATGTTCTTATTAAATGTGGCCTGTCATAATTTCAAACAGTTCCAAGATTGGGCTACTAGTTCAAAAGTTACAGCTCTTTGAATTTTCTTTCGAAATTGGTTTCTAGTCAGGGGCAGGCCAGGTGGCATTGCATAGGTTACGGGCCATTAAAGTATTAGTGTAATAATGAAGGTGGTGGGGGGGTAGCTCTGCAGTGCACCACAAAAACATTTTTTGCTTCATTTTAAAGTATGTACTCCTTTTTCGGAAATCAATTACAATACAGGTTTTTTTTTAAATTGCAGCTGATAATTAAAAGTAACAAAATATACAATCCAAACGAGGCGCGTCGCCTATCATTGTATTTCATCACTTTCATGCTACGACAAAAAATGATAAATTCATTGTAAATCACTTCAATTAAAACAGAATTTTTTAATTTTTTAACAACCCAACATCAACCCCAATTAGAGAAACGTGTTAATAACTTATAAATTTCTAACGGGCCATTATGACGTACAGGCCAGGTGGCAATCGCCCCCCCCCCCCCCCCGGGCCAGTCCGCCCCTGTAGGTAAACAAATTGTAAGTAGGTTTTTTCGCCTTCGTGGATTTTCAAAAACCTTGGTATGGTTTACAATTCGATACATTAGAGATCACAATTGCGCACCTATAGTATTAATTGAGTATCCGCCAGATGGCGCTTTACGATGACGTTATACTTTTTGACTCTCTTCTCCAAAAATTTAACAGTATACTTGCTGTTCAAATAGAACCTTGAAATTTAGTTTACAGCCATAATCGACCATTGCTCATTTCAAGATGGCGCCGCTTCCGTAAATACCGGAAGTGGCGCCATCTTGGTTTATTAATTTACCATTTTCTATTTTTTCTAAATGCTCTATTTTATTCTGAATTCAATGCAATTAAGGTACTTATCTGTCATAGTGTTTGACACATGCCAATTTTTCTCTAAAAATTTGCAAAGTTCCATTCATAACTTAATATCTCTTAAAAAATACTAGATAAGTAAGTGATCTTTTTTATAGTCGAATCCTTAAAGTTTACGGAATTTTTTGAGTGACCGCCGAAAGTCTTGAGAAAGTTTTTAAGCTGCTGCGATTGTCAAAGTTAGAAATCAAAAAATGTCAAAAACTTGTTGCTTACTTTCCAACATTTGTTTCGGTTTGTGTGCCTTACAAAAATGGGTGCTTTACTTTACTGCCGTTCTTAAAAGGGAGAGAAGGCCTGATCGGCCCTTCGTTTCCCCTTGCACGTAGCAGAAACACGTGCGGATCGCAAACATTGAATGATATCATCCGTGTGTGTATTTTGGGATGGATCGAAACGCTCCATTGGGTAACCCAGAATCACTTATCTGCGCTATAATTGATGTACGCAAGGGCGCAACTACGCCTCCAAAAGATCTGAATGTGCAGAAGAGGCTCCCGAGTGCAGTGCACGCGGGAACATCATCGCGTGGCGCACGTAACTAGCGCGTTTTATGATGCAAGATTATGTCGATCCGGTTTTGTATAATCGCAAGTTAACGTCTTCGCCGTCGATGTACGTTCGAATAAAAGCTTGGCTACTCCTGGGAAAAGACGACGAATCGCCGGAATTAATCAGAGGTTCCCTTATAAACCAAAAGGTTAGAGGTAATCGTTTTCTCGTTAACTCGTGCGCTGACCCATAAAAAAGTCTCCCTCATTGACCTTATTTAACGATAAAACAATCGATAAGTTACGCCTGGGGGACTTTATTTACGAACACGTTGGCGCTATTGATTTCCAGCGCTGGGATTAATGAGTGACCTTGATATTTCAAGGTCGCCATACCTCATTACTGCACCATACAAATTAGTAACGTCACGTTTACTTACAGGTTGAAAATGTACGCATGCTAGATAGATATTCCAAAACTCCATCGCAGGGAACCTTGTACCTCACAGCAACCCATCTCATCTTCGTTGATCCCGACGCTAAAAAGGAAACATGGGTATTACTCGATTTTGTTTAAACCTCGACTTATTGACAGATTTCAGATTTTACACATGCACATCGCGAGCTTAGAGAAGCTTCCGTTGACGACAACCGGCTCTCCCTTGCTAATTCGATGCAAAACATTTCTATCGGTAACATTTGTTATACCAAAAGAAAGAGACTGCCACGACATTTACACCACCTTACAACAATTATCACAACCTAGTAACGTCGAGGACCTCTACTGTTTCCAGTACACCGCTAGCTTCGAGGACATACCGAAAACTTCCGGATGGAATATGTTCGACTTGAGATCGGAGTATAAAAGAATGGGCGTTCCTAACGATCACTGGTGCTTAACTATGCTAAATAAGGACTACGAGGTAATTCGCGAACTAGCAAAAAAACTTGTTAACGTTGTCCTTACAGCTCTGTGATACGTACCCGAAATTCCTATACGTGCCGTCGACTGCCAGCACAACAGTATTGATGGGTAGCTCTCGCTTTCGTTCCAAGGGACGGCTACCGGTATTATCATATTTGCATCATAACAAGGCCAGTATCAGTCGTTGCAGCCAACCTCTTTCCGGCTTTAGCGCTAGGTGCTTAGAAGACGAACAGATGTTGAATCACGTGCTTAGGACTAATCCGAACTCTAGCTTTATGTATGTGGTGGACACAAGGCCAAAGGTAAGTTGGTATTACTGCTGTGCTTCATCTCAAGCAGCCTTTTGTTTTGGACACTTCCACCATTTTTAACAACTTTAAGTGCAGATTGTCAGAAACTTTAAATGCAAGTTATACCATTTTGGAGCACGCTCTTTCCCATGCTGTGACTGGGTCATCAGGCACCTTATTTCGGTCAAAAGTTAACAGTGTCTGGATTATATGGTAATCTGCAACCCTATAGCCATATAATAGTCTACCCTTCACTTGTACTGTGTGTCCTATTTTGGTTGACACTGCAGTGTATTTCGGTTGTTTTTACTCACTTGAGGTTTTCGCGATTCTGGGCCAGTTTTTTGTGGAACTTTTAATATCACCAACAGAACCAATCTAACTACGTTTGCTTCTGAGACAGGGTGAAAACAAAAAGTTTGACTTTTTGAGATGTTATCATATCTTACCATCCTTGAAAGATAGAAAAAACCGTATATTTTAGATATTTTTACATAGAATCCAGTGGCGTAGTCAAAAAAATTTTGGTATCACCGTTTCTGAGATTGGACCCAAAGTTGGTATTTCTTAAATGCAACACCTTGTATATCTGAACATCAATTTTTGTATTCTTTTTCGTGGTTGCATTGGTGTATCCCAACCTACATTTTTTATATAATTATTATATCAAATTTTTGAAATTACGTGTTTCTACCGTCAGCCATTTTTATTAATTGGTATCGGCTGCCTTAGTTACCATCTATACAATAAACAAAATAAAATCTTCATGAATCCATGGCCTACTTTTTAAAAACCAATAAAAAATAAGGTACTTAAAATTTAAAAAATATAGGTTGTGATATCTCAATGCAATTAGGAAAAAGAATTCAAAAAATGGACGTTATGATATACAGGGTGATGCATTTAAAAAATACCAACTTTCAAATGTCAAATTAAGTGAATTGTCGGTTGCATGGTATGTTCACAATTAAACTTCCATTGCCAACTATGACGCTAATTTGTTGAATCGCTCGATATACAGTGTGTCCCAGATCGCGGGGGATTTTGCATGCGGCTAACTTTCTTATTATTGAAGATAGATTACTGTATTTGATACAGTGTGTGGTATTAAGGTAGGTTTAGCATAGTAAGCAAAAGACTCGTGACAAATTATGACTCAAAAAGTGGGGAGTAAAAAGAAAGCACTCGCACGCTCACAGCGGTCACGTAAACTGTATGGTTAGAAGCGTGCAATTATTACGATTCATTAAAAAGCAATTAGTGATACAAATTAGTCAGTTAAAAACGGCCGGTTCTACAGTTAAAGGCTAGGCGAGTGTTCGTAAAGAAGTGTAGTGGAAAAGTTTGGTAAATTTGCGTAAGAAGACGTGCATCCGACGAAATTGTATAGCCTCCCATTAATGGGGATACGAAATTGTTTTCATAAGCCTCTGCTTCTTTTATTAACCAGCCTGCGATTGTTTTAACCAACCCGCATTAAATTTTCACTGACAAGCATTAAATTTTGGAGAAATTCTATCAAAGTCCAGTCAAAATAGAGGGAAAGCATCCCAGAATCCAAAACCACTACGCGAAATCCTCCAGAGAGCAGACCTGTGGAAATTAGAAACAAGTTAAAAGCTCCATCCGGCGGAGGTCAGCGAGTGTGATGCAATTCAGACTTAAGAGGTACCTATTATCTTTCATCATCTACGTTTCGCATAATTACATGTGAAGAGACTGAAAAACATTGTCTTTTTAACCAATTCTCTATCTTTAGTAACAAGAAAATTAGCCATGCAATCCCAGGCGATATGGGACAGCCACTGTATTTGGTAAAAGATGAATATTACCGAAATTATCGAGATATTCCCGAATATTCGCCGCGATAAATGAACGGGAATTTTACAACACTGAGGACCGATTCTACAATGCAGGTATACAGGGTGGGCAATTAGTGTGTGGGTGGAAGATTGCCGGTTTATTAACGCCAATATTTAAAATTTATTGTCGGGCATATTGAAGGACTCTTAAGGATACAACCTAAAAACATTTTCAACGAAATTGCAATTGTTATACAGGATGATTTATGTCAAAGTTGCATTTTTTTAAATGGAACCCCCTGTATATTATTAGTATTACATATTTCGATTCCTTGGCCAATTTTAGTGTGACTATGTTACACATGATATCTAAAACGAGTCGTGTACATTACTAGTCATGAAATTTTTATTCAAACCGTTTATTTTGATTTTTATCGTTTTTGTTTTGTTTTATTTGAAGTAAATTTTTTATTATTTCAATTGTTTATTTTTAACGGCCTACTAATTACTGAGAGGCTTTGAAAATCGAAAAACACTGTGAATTATAGGTTGAATTACAAAAAAATATGTAAAAGATAAATATCGACATGCTCATATCGTTAAAAAGGTAATAAAATCCTGCGATAAAAATATCTTGGTAGTTCCATTTAAAATAACCAAGTTACCTTTGATTGCAATTTTTAAAAAATTGACAGTGATTTCTTTCAACACAAAAGAATTGCAATTTCGGTGAACATATTTTTAGGTTGTAGTCTTAAGGGTCCCTCAACATGCCCCGACAATAAATTTTAAATGTGCGCGTTTAATAAACCCACAATCTTCCACCCACACACTAATGGCCCACCCTGTATGCCGAGAATAAGCTATACCTAGAATAACCGAGGGCGGTTGCCTTGGTTACCGGTGGGTAAGTCAATGGGATACTTGTTGCTATGGTAGCTATTCCAAGAATATCTTATTCTGCAAATAGGTGTAATTGTAGAACCGACCCTGAATGGAATATAGGACCAAACGTGATATATTATCGTCGTAGATCATTGCTATAAAATCACCTTCCCTCTTTTCTAAATAATTTATCAAGTTATATTACAAATATCAAACTAAATGACCAGTAATTAGGACCTGCCCATTTCTAATCAATGAATCAACTGCAATCACCAAAACAGGGCTGCTAGACAGTTTCAAACGTCTCCGTTTGTTTTAGATTAATGCAATCGCGAATCGAGCAGCGGGAAAAGGGTACGAAAATGAAGCCTTTTACGAAAACATAAAGTTCCACTTTCTAGGAGTTGAAAATATACACGTCATGCGTAATAGCTTAATAAAAATTGTTGAAAGTAAGTGCGCACCATTACAATCTCTAATAAATTACAATCGCGCCCCGTTTTCAGCATGCGAGCAGAAGAACCCGACGATGAACAGCTTTTTGAGCGGTCTAGAATCGAGCGGGTGGTTGAAGCATATTAAATCGATTTTGGAAACGTCGTGGTTTATAGCGCAGGCGCTCGAGGATAATATTAGCGTCGTCGTGCACTGCTCGGACGGTTGGGACCGTACGGCGCAAGTGTGTTCGTTGGCCTCGCTTCTGCTCGATCCGTATTATCGCACGATAGAAGGATTTCAGGCGTTGATCGAAAAGGACTGGTTGGGTTTCGGGCACAAATTTTCGGAACGATGCGGACACGTGCAGAGCGACAATAAGGAAGTTTCGCCCGTATTTACTCAGTTATTGGACGCGACGTGGCAGTTGATGCAGCAATTCCCCCTCACCTTCCAATTTAACGAGCGCTTCTTACTGACAATACATGATCACGTTATGTCCTGCCAGTATGGGACGTTCATTGGTAACTGCGAGAAGGATCGCTTGGATTTGAGGTTTGTTTACTACACTCAGGGTTGCCACCTTTTTAGTTAAAAAAAAACCACTAGATTTTGAGAATTTTAATAATAATAATAAATCGTTTATTGGGTTCAACACAAAAGAATAGGTACATGGATAAAAATTTCTATGTAGTTTTCCCTTAGATCATATACACTGTGTCCAAGATAAGAATGTCTTATCTTCGAAACTAGGAGATATGAGTCAAATTAGAGAAAAAGGCCCAATTAAAGAGTATCATGCTGTACAAAAAGCAACGATGTACGGCATACAAAAAACCAAAGTTGGTAACTGTTGGTTTCAACAGGATGGTGCACCCGCGCACAACGCCCTAATACCTATTGAATATACTTCATTTTTTAGGAAATTCCTTCTCTGTCATTTTTTATATCTTTTACTAAGTGTGACAGTATTCAGGTATAATTTCGGACTTTAAAACAATTGGTGGCAATCCTAATTCCGTTCCACAAGCTTATTACAGTATAAAAAATAGAGACTTCCACTTTTAGGTTATCTGAGCGCACGTTTTCCTTGTGGGGTTACATGTCGTACCACTTGAGCGAGTACATAAACCCAGTGTATGTCGAAGACGAAACTCCCGGAATTTTAATACCGAACTTGTGCCCGCAAAATATCAGGTGAATTCTCCAGTTAACGAAACAAAACCTAATCTTACTCTCTCTAGATTTTGGCGGGGTATGTACTGTCGATTTGAAAACGGCGTTCATCCACGCGAACCCCTCGGAGATTTGCTATTGGCGACCTGCGACCACAGTCGCTCCCTAGAGGACCACATTAAATACTTAACAAAGGTAACGCCCCTTTTGGTACTTTCGAAACGGAACGAATTGTTTTAGAAAATTTCTTCCGTCAAGTCCTTAATATTGAACGTGACCGAGAAGAAAAAATCGAAGCACGATGACACCAACCTACTAGACAATAAATATCTGTATGAGAAAAACGCACGTTTGGAGTCATCCGATGACAACCACCCCTTAAAAACTGATCATCTTGAAAAGGACAAGTCTTCTACGGATACGAAAGGCGCACAAGAAGTTATGAGTAGCTTAGACTCTGTCGCTCTCGATTGGAAAACCTTGCGGAATATTAGCGAGTGCGGATGTTCGGCGCCGTTCGATCATTTCAGTAGAAAGGTAAAATCTCCGGTAGTTTACGTTAATTAATGCTATCTTTTAGTATCACTGTCGGAAATGCGGAGATGTCTTCTGCATCCGGTGCATCGACAAGCAAGTGATATTACCGGGACATCTTACATTAAGAGCGGTACCGGTTTGTAGACCGTGTTTCGAGAAGATACAAGGTAGTTCGGTGGAGGCTGTCGAATGAAAAGTGTTCATTACGGTGCATGTTTTTCCGACTTTTTTATGTGGCTGAAGTCGAGGAACGGGGGTTCTAAATATGTAAATAGCGTTTTAGTTCTTATTATAAGTACCCAATATTTTCTTATATGAACAATTATCTAGTCTATAATAAATTTAAATTTGAAGTTGACTCATTTTTCGTATATAAAAAATTTATCTCCAGTCAGTGCGATAAGAGTGCGTTCAAGACGGTTAAAATGGCGGTAGAAACTTGGGTTAACTAATTTCATTAATTGCGAAGAAAAAATTTGCAATTTTTTTATATGGTACAAATAGGGTTTGTCTATCCACCATTGTTAATAATTTAGCAAAAAAAAAAATAGATCAAAATGGTTCCCAAAATGCCGGTATTTTTATGACTTGATATTTTAATAATAACAATAATATTTATTGATGTTTTACACAAGTCATTTTAAGTATGCAATGTAAGAGACAAACGAATATAATAAGTTACAGGACAAACGTAATATACAAACTAAGTATTCCATTATATCACATTTATTCGTCAAAAATTCTTCTAGTGAATAGAAAGCCTTTTTTATTACATAAGATTTAGATTTAAACTTCCTCATATTAAAAAACTTTTTTTAAGACGTAAAAAATTAGGTAGGTACGTAATTATGCATATTTCGGGTATCGTAATTGTGAAAGTCCGAGTGGCATTTAAATTTCTGGCAATTACTTATTACATATAAATCATACAGGTGTATATGTAAAGTGAGGGTAAAGTTAAATATTTCCAAATCTGTGAAGGCTTGCCTACAATCAGTAGGTTAGCCAATATTCTAACCACTCTTCTTTGTATTTTAATTTAAAGATTCTAGAGACGAAGAAGCAGTGGCCCCACATTAAAATACCATAATTTGGCATGGAATAATCCGAAGTACGCAGTGCGCGTAACTTCCGGAAAAACATGGTTTGTTAAATTACGAAGTAAGACCACAATTCTGTTCAGTTTTGAGGAGAGCTCGTCAATATGGCGTGTACAATTAAGTGCGGGGTCAAGATAGACGCCTAGAAATTTCACCGGCTTTTGGTTAATTGCATCGGTGTCCCTTCTCATCGTAAAAGTTTCTGTTTTGTCTTCATTTAGAGACAATTTGTTCAAGTGGAACCAGGATTTGGACTGCCCTTGAAGATCTATACTTTTATTTGTTATTTCTAGACTTGAACCAGAACTTAGTATTGTTGTGTCATCATATGAAATGACCATTAACTGTAGAAGGCAAGTCATTTATATAAATTAATAAAAGCACAGGCCCTAAAATGTAACCTTGTGGGACACCAGATTGTACCCATATTTCATTTGAAAATAAACCGCTCTTCGAGTTATGATTGCGAGTTTAATGGAAATTTCATCAAAATTATCTGGTTTCAACTTACATATTTAACAAAATCTGGTGATTTACACAATCAAATGCTTTGCTTAAATCTAGAAAAGTTGCTGTTGTATAATTATTTTCATTAAAATCTATAAGGGCGTCCGTCGTTGACTTTTTTGATCTAAAAACCGTATTGTGTGTTATTAAAAATAATTCAGTATGCGATTTTTTAAGATATTTTCAAATATTTTTGAAAAAATGAGAAGTATTGATATCTCCCTATAATTTGAAACAACCTCTTTGTTACCCTTTTTAAACATAGGTAAAAGTATAGACCGTTTCAATGCCTTTGGGAACGTACCCTTCCGTAAAACACTCATCAGTTAACAGTGCTAGTGGTCATACAATTAAATCCCTTAAACAATTTACAATTTCTGCAGAAAGATCATACCGGGTGTGCACGGTAAGTAGGAACATAGGGATTCTCATGGGTAATTAGTTTTATGCAATATCCTGCCCTCCTGTACATTTTACAGAAAAAACTGTACAGTTTAAAGTTGTTCAGAATTAAAAGGTGCATACAAATCTGTTTTTACATGTTTTATTAAGCTTTTAGTATACCCGCAAATTTAAAAATAAATTTCAACATTTCTGTTTTTAGTAGCAATTCATAAAATAACAAAAGTCATGGCTACAGATATAGAAAGATATTAAAAAAGTTTTTGACAGTTTTACATCCTTTATGCCTAATGTACATTTGCAAAATTTTAACGAAATTATAGCAACCGTTTTTGAGAAAATTTTCTTTGTTTTTTAACTTTGACATTTTTTTTTCTGTTTTTTTTTTTTATAATAAAACCTGACACAATTTTTGTAGGTTATACATAGCAAAATAAGTACACTTTAATAAATATTTTAGGTTACTTAAGATATTTCGAAATAAATGGCACATTATTATGGTCACTTTTTAATTTGACGTGTCATCTCCATTCAATTATCATAATAATAATAATAATAATAGCCAGCTCTCTGTCTAATAGTATAGGTAACAGTTTAAGGAGCGTAAGAGATTAAAATGTGAAGCCAAAGCAACAATATTCAAATTAATTAATATGACAGTCAAATATTCCTTTGTTTTAAGAAGTTATTTTGATTGCATAAAATTAGGCGCCCTTCAGAAGAGATTTAGTTATCTAAAAGTGGACATGGGGAAAAACTACACGTAAATCCCCATGTCTACTTCTTTATCAATAATAATATGTATTAATTCCCAAGACAAATTTTGAATTGTATAGGATACGTCAGAATACAAAATAAATACTAAAAATGTTGGTCAACACAATACAATGGACAAAAAAGAATGGAATATAAATTATACTAGAGATCCGCAATTTTTACCAACACAGTTTAGAAATTCATCAATAGTGTATGGTGTATTGACTAGAAGAAATTTTTTTAAAGAAGATTTAAAGCACTTTATTGTTCCCTGACTTCTAAGTGTACTTGGAAGAGCATTAAATAATTTAATGCCCATTGAGGTGGGAGAATTATGGGCAAGATTAAGTCTTGTTAAAGGGGTGATAAATTGTTGTTTATTGCGCGTGTTGTAATTATGAAAACTGCTATGACGTAGGAAATGCTGCTGATTATGGAAAATAAAAGTTAACAATTCAAGTATATAGATAGACTGATGAAAGTGTAAGAATATTCAATCGACACGAATCAAATTTCTTATACTACCCGCAATACATCGGACTATTCGTTTTTGTATCAGAAAAACATTTTTTGCCACGCTTGACGAGCCCCAAACAATTATTCCATACGACAGTCTGGATTGAATTTGAGCATAATAATAATATTTATTACTGTTAACATGCCAATAAAACATTTACAGAAGTCAAAGGAAACAACACAACATTTATACATTCATGTTAAATTACACATAAATCACAGTCTTTAAATTCATTAATAGTAACAATTTAAAGTATGCTTCACATCCATTAATTCTTTAAGATCCTGTATCTGGTAGCAATAAGTCTTTTAATAAGATTTTCGCAGTGACATTTCCAATTTAAGTTTTAATCTAAATAGATCCCCAGAAACTTCCCAGTGCAGAGGATATTAATGTTTTTGTTGCTTGAGTCAGACAAATAGTTATTTCCAAAAGTTGTAAACGGTAGGAAAAACGTTTTATCGTGATTTAAGAATAATTTGTTAAAATTAAACCAGTTACTTAGCTTATTTAGAATCCCAATAGCTTTTGGATATATATTTTCTTGCTTTTTTCCGTATATTAATGCAGTCGTATCATCCGAATATAAAACCAAGCAATTTAAAAACATGACAATATCATTAATAAATAATAAAAATAAAATAGGTCCTAAAATAGATCCTTGTGGAACCCCCATATTAACAGGCAAAGCTGTGGATAAAAATTTTGCAATAGTAGATCCGGTTTTAAATTAAATTTCTACTTGTCGACACCTTCCAGAGAGATATGATCAAAACCACTTGGCAACAATGCCTCTGATACCGGAAGTATTTAATTTTTGCAAAAGTAACAAGTGATCAACAGTATCAAAAGCCCTGCTGAGGTCACAAAATATAGCAAGGACGTTCTGTTTTTTATCAAGAAGTGAAATGATGTCGTTAACAAATGAGTTAATGGCAGTAATCGTCGATTTCCCATTGCAGAACCCGTGTTGTTCATTACTTACAATGTTATATTTAACAAGGTGACTATTTAGCTTCTCTAACATGGCGAATTCAAAGACTTTTGACAGCGCTGAGCTAACAGAAATTGGTCTATAATTCGAGCAATCTCGAGAGCAACCCTTTTTGTGAACGGGATGCACGGTTGACAGCTTAAGTTCTTTGAAAATGACATATTGAGTAAATGTGTGATAAGTTTTATTAAAATATGCAAACTTGACCTTAGCAAAGAATTAGGTATATCAATTCTTCAAACAGTGCAGTCGCATTTCCGTGTGTCCTATTCTATTGTTAGTGCAAGTGAATATCACTATGGAAGCTAAATTAATTCTAGTATTATCCAAACTTGACCTACTCGAAAATAAAAGTGATACAGCTATCCGCAACATCGCAATCTTATCAGCAACAATTGAGAATTTAAAAACCGAAAACTCCAATCTGCGTACACAAATGCAACAAATGGAGAAGAAAATCGACTATCTCGAAAACCAATCTAGACGTAATAACGTTATCTTTTATAATGTTAAAGAAGACGCCAAAGAAACCTGGGAAGACACGGAAGCCAAAGTTCGCCAAATTATCGACTCACAATATAAAATATCACTGGGTGATAAAGATATCGAGCGGGCTCACAGATTAGGCACGAATGTAAGAACTTCACGTCCCATTATTATCAAATTCAATAACTTTAAGGTGAAGGATTTCATTGTAAGGAATGCTTTCAAGCTAAAAAACACTCCTGTATCTGTGTCTGAAGATTTCTCAAAACATATTCTAGAAAAATGATCACTTTTGCAGCCTTACCTAATGCAGGCCAAAAGTGAAGGAAAACGCGCTCATTTAAAATTTGATATGCTGTACATTAACGGACGCAAATACACTGTGGATGATCTTCCCGCAAATAAAGTTTTACAAGCTACTGATTTCCCTCCTGAAGTAACGCACAACGACATCATTACCAGAAGCAAATCAGGAACCAAGCCGTTGACATCTTCGCAATAGGAGGAGGGGAGCGGTTACAAACCCTTATCGATAATACATCATAACATACAAGCAATAAAACCCAAAATTCAGGAACTGTCAGTTTTTTTAGAAAATTGTAAATCTCTAGGAATAAATGTACTTAATTGTCATATGTATTTCTGAACATTGGTTAAAAAATCACGATGTAAGTAATATAGCAATCGATAACTATTTTTGTGCTGCCAGTTTTTGTAGAACTGAATATAAAAATGGAGGAGTTATCATATTCTCGAGAATTGATTATAACTTTAAGGAGTTTATTCTAGATGTACCGATTTTAGAAAAAAGTTTTGAATATGTTGCTGTCAGACTTGGTAAGCTTATTGTGGTATGTATGTATCGTTCCCCAGAGGCCTTACTTTTAGATAGACTAACCAGTTTAAAGTTAAGGGTTGTTATCTGCGGCGATTATAACATTAACCTGCTTGAAAATTCGTACGCAAAATTAGAATTTATCAATCTATTAACCTCATTTAATTTTCGGCCAACTATACACTGTCCAACTAGAGTCACTTCTGTTTCCTCCACCCTAATCGATAATATCATTACAAATATTCCTTCGAAAACATTTGATTCCCAGAATATTTTTACTGGTCTTTCGGATCACCATTGCCAGATTTTGAGTTCAGAAAGCATCATTGAGAGTACCCCTTCTTTAATTGTTTCAAAATCCAGATGCTTTTCAAACAAAAACAAGGTGAAATTTAAACAATTAATTGGTAGAATTGATTGGATCAACAATGATGTTAACGCTAAACTTGACATATTTTATTCCAATTACAAGTCATGCTCAGAGGCTGCTTTTCCTCTGAAATCCTATAATAATAAAACTGTTAAGAAGTTAAAGTGGATCACTAAAGGAATCAAGACATCCTGTCGAAATAAGAGATGGCTGTTAGAGATGAGACATTACAGTACCAGTCAACATTTTCATAATTATGTCCACACTACTTAAGAACACCATAGCAGTTGCACGCGCATCGTACTTTACGAATTTAATTGCAAATTCTCAAAATAAACCGAAAGCCGCATGGGAAATTATAAAGCAAAACACTAAATCACCTAAACTCTTTGAAAATATTAAACTCCAACTGGATAGAAATAACACCACTTCTTGTCCAAACGAAATAGCTTCGCTATTCAATAAACATTTCTCTGATACGGCTTTTCATATATCAAGTAATCTGTCAAATGACCAACCATGCTTTTATGGATTAACTCATTCTCATAACTCGTTCTTTCTAAGCCCTGTTACACATCAGGAAACAGCGGATATTATACAATCATTGTCAAACAAATTTTCTACTGGTGTTGATGTTGTTTGTTTACTGCTCATTAAAGAATCGGTAGAAGTTTTTAAATTCCCCCTAGAAAACATTATAAACACCTCCTTCTCAAATGGAATTTTGCCTGACCTGCAGTCATAAAACCACTCTTTAAGAAAGGCAGATATTAACAACTACCGGCCAATATCACAACTATCAGTAATATGAAAAATAATTGAAACTGCTACGAAAACTCGCTTATCTCAATATATTCAAAAAAATAGGTTACTCACAGAAAAACAATTTGGTTTTCAAAAAAATAAAAATACCTCATCAGCTGCAGTATGGAATTTCATGCAGGATATCTTCGATTCTATGTCCCTGAGACAATTCACTATAGGGATTTTCTGCGACCTTTCAAAAGCCTTCGATTGTGTTTCGCATGAGCTGTTACTACAAAAGCTTGGGGTCAGAGGAGTGGCGAAACTGTGGTTTACTTCCTACCTTGAAAATAGACAACAATTGTGTGAAATTAAATATTTAACAAATATTGGCATCATTGATACCTTCCAGTCCGGATACAGAACGGTTAAATGTGGTGTTCCGCAAGGAAGCGTACTTGGTCCACTTCTATTCCTAATGTATATCAACGTCTTAGTTGCTTCATTCCCCACTGTTAAATTTACCTTATTTGCAGATGACACTTCCCTGATCATTCACAACGCTTGCTATAACACACTCTTATTACACGCTAACCATATCATTGGACAAATTAACAATTGGATGAATCATCATAAGCTGTTCTTAAATATCAACAAGTCATGCTACATCTTTTTTCATTCATCGAATGTACAAATCAACTGTCCCGATATAACTGTAGATAACAATCACATTAAACCGGTCTCATGCACCAAATTTCTTGGCATTACAATTGACTATGTACCTTCTCTTGGGCACCGCATATAGAAGACCTTTGCTTCAAACTAGCTAAGTCGATTTTTCTTATTAAAAGCGTAAAGGATATATTGGGTACTAAAACGTCTAAGCAAGTGTATCACGCCTGCTTCGAAAGTCTTCTCTCTTACGGTATTGAGATTTGGGGTAGTAGTGTTCATGTACATAAGGCGTTTAAATTGCAAAAGCGAGCGATTCGCACGATTCTCAATATGAACCGTTTAGATTCTTGCAGAGGAAAGTTTTGTTTCATGCAACTTTTTACATTAACAAATCTTTACATTTTTAGAATATCTCTACAAATTTATAATAATAAACATAACTATATTGAGCCGTCAGATGTACATGAGCACAAAACTAGAACAAACACTCAACTTCGTTTACCTAAGGTACATAGTACTCAATTACAAAATTTTCCAATAGACCAGGGCCTTAAAATATTCAATAAGTTGCCGTCACTACAAATTTACAGTCTATGAATAAATTCAAAAGCAAACTTAAATCGTGACTAAAACAAAATGAGTTTTATTCACTGGATGAGTTTTTTTCAAGTACAACCGGTTAATATAATTCCTTATTTTTGTGTAATTATTTCCATTTAGTCCATTTAATATTCTATTTTGAAGCTTATTTATATATATATTACGTACTCGAGTTTTTTTTTCCTCTACGCCTTATATGGCTTGGCTGTTTTGCATATTAATTTTTATTTATGTTTGTAAATATACTACTTGTAAAACAGTTGAGGAATAAATATTATTATTATTATTATTATTAAAAGGCAGTGTACACATACTTTCCCTAATAGTCATATTAGATTCAAAGTTGCTAGTCGAATAAATGTTTCTTTTTATAGAACGTTAAATATTTTCAGGGCCATTAATAAAATTCTCATTAAAAGTATTTGCAATTGTTTGAGGATCGCCAATGATCGTTTCTGAATTTTTAAGAGTAATATTTTTGTGCGACTTTTCATTATTGTTAAGTATAGATATAAGGCTCCATACTGTTTTATTTTTATTATCGGAGGATTTTATTAAGTTACCATAAAAGGATTTCAATTCATAATGCATTGCCGGTATTTACATTTGTGTGTTAAATAACGTTTTTTTAAGCGCGGGATATATCTTATAAAATTCCATGGCATCACAGATTATGGAAGAAAATGGGGGTTTTATTTTTCCAATTTTCCGTCTTTATTATGCAAAAAATTGAAAACTAATACGGTTGATTGAAATTTTTTCTACAAAAAACTTTAAATACATTTTTGCTCTAAAATAATTTGGGGAGCCAATAATCGCATGTTATGAATTTTACATTGAAATCCTTATGATGCGTTACGCAAATCACCACCCTGTATAGAGATTATCCCTCTCTTGTTCTGGGCCCTCAACATGCTTGCGCCCAATTACAGAGTGACCCGCATAATGCTTTTTAGAGGTGCCCCTGCAGAAGGTCTTAAGTTGGTCTATACTACTCCGGTATTTACCTTACGAATTAGGAAAACATCTTAAGATATGTACACGCCTACAGGTGCACCTGTCGCAGGTGACTTATCAAGTTGACCTGGGAATCTGGATGAGCAATTAGTTTTTGTAACTGTCAAGTAACCCAACGCTTGCCATGAAAGTCGACAGGTCTCAGGTGCATCTGTCCATAGTATGTCTAGACACCTGCTGTACTCCACTCCTCGACTTGTAGGTGTGAATGAATCCCTGAGTTGACCTGTCAGTTGCCCATGGTAGATTGGTCCATTCTGAAACATTTATTTTAACAAACTGAGATGGGACAGTGACCCTGTAGGTGTGGATTGAGAAGTGATTTGAAGGTCAGTGGTCACCTACGACAGGTAGAATTGACAGGTTGTATAGCTACCAAGTTTACACCCAGTGCTCAATGCTTTTCTGATTTCACCATTATAATTCTGAGAAAAAACGTTTTTTATTTTTAGTTGGATGTGTACTAGCTGCTATCGAATGAAAAAATATAAACATTTCATTTTGTACATGTTAACGGCAACACTCAACTGATAAATTAATAGTATTCCAAGCTGGTGGTTCCTCTAATATGCCGATTTAGAAAGATATTCACCGCCATATTATCCCTCCCTTGTAACTTCTCGATAACTAAATTATGACGCTTTGCAATGTCAGAATCGTACGGCTCGTTATCGTCAATTAACAAAATCGCAATTAAGGCGCAAGCCTCACACTCGGTACCGATTAACTTGTCGATGATGTCGTAGCGACCGTTCTCACCTACTGTGGTTAGGTAGACCTCTTTGAAAACCATGTAGATGAAATCGACAGTAACCAGCCCGTACGTTGCGATGATTTCCTGACAAAGCTCCACGAACTCCTGCACGAAAGTATTCGAAGCGCGCATTAAAGTTAGCCTTAAGAATAAGTAGTCGTTAAACGCTTCGCGCGAAGGCACGATCTCGAGCCACTTGTTGTAAAATTGCCGTAAGATGCTCTTATCCCTGTTGCCGTTCTCCAAGAATGGCGCGCAGAAAGTCTGCACTAAGCTTGAGCAAATGGTCCGCGCCTGTTGCCTGAACTCGCGACGTTTCCACCTGTTGCAGACGTAATATTTGAAAATGTTCATTACGAAGTCGAGCCGGCGCTCTTGTTCGCGCTCATTCTTACAGTTCACTACGTATTTTGCGCCGAACACCTGCGCGCTAGTGTGCAAACCGTCGAGGACGTCCGATTTGAATAGATACCCGTTAATAATATTCTCGCAGAAATCGACGGGAAGTAACTGACTTCCCTCGTCTGTGACCGAGTCTATTATGCTCTTACGCTTGTGATCGAGTTCGCCCTCTTTGTTTGGTAATCGAAACAAGTAATCCCACGCAAATATTTGGTATGTGATTAAGTAGCTTGTAGGGATTTTGTTCGGTTGAAAAAATAAGTCTAGCGACTCCTTATCCCTTGAGTCTATTTTTTGCAGACTCTCTTTGACCAGTTCCCAATGGTAATCCGAGGCGTCCTTGAGAAACAAACGGAAAGCTGTCTTCAATAGAAACCGACGAGTGTGCATTTTCTTCGCGTTCGCCATTAATTCTTTTAGAATTGTGTAATGACAGTCGGAGGGCATTGCGCGCGCGGCGATCTGGAGAGAGCGCTTGTACTCCATTTTGCTTTTCAACTGTTTTAAAATCACACTAACATAGTCTTCCTTAATCTTACCGCATACGGAAAACATGGATCCACGAACAAACCTAAAGTAGTCACTTTTGCAATACTGCAACGCAATAGAGGCGCTTTCCCGCACCTGTCTCAAATTCCTCAAATTCTTGCATATCATTTTTTGAACGGCAAATCTCTTTTTATCACGGTCCACGTGCGAATCCGACGGCGAAAAGTCATCGGCAAATCGCGCAAATTCGGCGGTGGACATTAAAGACGTAACTGCAAAAAGCGCGTGCTCTTGCAGATAATTTTGGTAGTTTTCCGGTTTCTCTTTGATCATTTCCAGGCAGAGACCGATTGCGGTTTGAGGTAAATTGAGATGGCTCAGGTACTGGCAGTGTCTCCAGAATTTGACCGTGAATTTCTGCCCGTTCTGTAAAATAAAATGTAGCGCATTCTCCATTTGGGGGGCTACCACAGTCGGAAGCGTTTTCACCAAATTGTCCAGAACGCTAGTATAACTGCTACTAGTTATCAGATATAAGCGCAAATACTCAGATTTCTGATCGCTTTTTGCGAGCAGATAACCGATGATCGAATCCGAAATGGACAGGGACATGTACACTCCTTTAGCGATCTCGCATTGAAAATCGTCAATCATTTCCGGATATTGAAAGAGCGACATCTCATCGTCCCTATGGCGGTTGTTCCAATTAATCAGGGCGAAAAGATAGTGACTGTAGAGCAATTTGTGAAGGCCTCCGTTTATGATTTCGCCGAAGGTAACCAAACAGAATTTCTCATACTGCGGACTTGTCTGGACGATATTAAATGCGCGATTCTTCGCCAACACTCTTTCTTTCAACAGGTCAAAGACTGGCAAATTGTTTAGCAGTCTGTAATGAATGTAGCCCTCCTCGAATTGTTCCCTGTCATAAAACGATTCCTGATTCATCTCGAATATTTGTATCATGTCGTTTAGGCTCGTCCAATGCGCCTCCCTGAGTTTTTCCAATTTGAAGTTCTTTAAAACGCTCGTCATGAACGCGACTCGGATGCGAATGTGATCGTTTCGATGTCGACTCAGTACGTAATTACATACCTTCTCCAAACCGTCTAGATCGGCGTTAATGCCGCACGAATTCACCAAGAATTTGACCAACTCCAGTCTCGCGTCTATGTCCGAAGTTAGAGATATCCGCTTTAGGAAGAACGGAACGGAGACGGCAGTTTTATGCAGCGACATCCACTCGTCTTCGGAGAGGTTTTTTTTGTACTCAACTTTGAGCCGCAACTCTCGCTCGGCGGGCGTTAGATTTCTTAGCAAGTTTTCCGTCACGTATTCGGGGTGGTCCCATATTTCGCTTCCGTACAACTTCTGAAATGTGGACAGGTAAAGATTGAGCCCGTCGATTTTGGTAGGTAACGTGTTCAGTTTCGTTACTATCAACTGCTGCGATTCGCCAAATTGATTGAGCTTGTTAGGGTAGAGATTGGCGAAGAATCTTGGAAAATCGCGCTGGAGGGATTTTGGTATTTGCTTATTGTGAAGGATTTCGTAGTACTTTCGGGGGTCTGCGATTACGTCTTCTTTGTATTTAGAAATAAATTTCCTAGTCGGCCTCTTGCCGATTTTCTGATACGCTTGAAAATGCTCGTGTTGCAACACAATTTCCTCAAAGTAATTGCGTTTTAAAAATGCGAGCACTTTGTTGCAGTCCTTTGGGATGTTGTATTTGGTTAATGTTTCAAACACTTGGGGATGCTGATGACCATATTTCTTGACAATTGACAGTAACTGTTGCGGAGGCAGTTTCTGCGCGGACACAATGTGTGGCAACGCCGTTTTGAAACTACAAGCAGGTAAAAGTTTCAATGCAAGATTGAGCCCATATTTATCTCTAACTGCCTTAAACACGTCATCGGCTTGCTCTACATTGCGCAAACACACCGCCAGCTTATTCAACAATTTCATTTTCACATTGTAGGAGATGTGCGGGAACAAATCGTTCACCAACTGAGAACCCGTGACATCTTCAAACGCTTTCTCAAAGAACCACGGTCCAAGCTTAAAAATGCGCTTGGCAGTTGCACGATCTTCCGTTTTTAAAAGTTCGATTAGCTCCGGTGTTTTGCGTAAGTAAATCAGCGCTTCAGTTTTCAATTTTTCCTCCAAGCGCGTCGCCGGCACAAGTTGCGAGAAGTCGAGAGCGGCAATTGCCTCGGGACTTAGGGAATTTAAGAGTCGTCGTAAACTGGACTGCTGTTCTCCCACAGTGGTCCCGTTCAAATTACGAAACTGCGCGATGAATTCCTCGGTCGAGGTGCTCATTTTATCCACGTCTGCAAAGTAAAGAGTGCCTTTATTGTAATTGTTCAAAATAATTGAAGCTGAAACGGTTACCGCTATAATTTTATGCAAAAGGCGAAAGACGCAAGAAGCGGGTGATGTGTTTTTCAGTTGAGCAAGACAGTAGGATGTGGAGTTTCATTGTCGGGGCGGCAGAAAGGCGACCTTAAACTCAATTACGATTTTTCTTATCGGCTTGTGCGATGAGTCGAGGGATTTGATCAATTACTAATTGATGATGCATTTGTTAAATGATAGCATAATTGGTTTTCGAGTCCAAAATAGAAGAGATCGCCATAGTATGGTTGCCATATAATGCGATTTCAGAACCGACAGAGCATGCGAATGAGAATCATTCCTTCCGATTCGGTAATAAGCGATCCAGCGAGGTTCTTGATGAGTTTTTCTACGATCTGATGTTGGCTAGCCGAAAGAAAGCTAGGAAAGGAATTTCAAATGGTCCTTGTTTAGTTTAGAACCCATCTGTATGTGCTTCTATTTTAATTAACTGAATCCTAGAACTGCCTTCGCTCGGTCCGGAATCCAAGTAAGATTAAATGTAAGTGCACAAATGTAATAATATATATTATTAATATGAGCTAGCAAACAAACACAAATGAAAAGAAGTAAGAAAGCGAGTACCTATCCTAGAAGGTTGCCAGTAGCTCTTTTTATTTCCTTGTAATCAAAGAGGACCCTAGAGCTACTCTCAGTTGTCAGAGGCAACTTTTATTTGAATGTTTTATTTGTTTGTTTAGACGATCACGTACCGTCGGTTTCAGTTAGTTTTAGCGGGAGTTTTGAATTTTGGTTTTGAGTTGCGCAGTCGCTTCTCGGCTGGACTTGGGTTATTACAATGCATATGTCAATACTATAATTAAGTCATACGCGAAAACTGTTCGACAATATCGTTTTGAAACGGAAGCCAGTTTGGTTCAAAGTCCCAAATTTGGTCTTTGGAAGCATAAATCTAAACTAATCTCAGAAGCTTAGCTCGGCCCTGAAAACAAAAATAGAGCATTTTAACGACGGTCGCTTTATCAACTTGTTTATATACACATGTCGACCAAGGGAGGAGAGTAATCAATTTATCGGCCGTTCAGCGTATACAGTAAAACAGTTTCAGGTGATAACAACGCGTAAATTTGAATTTATTTCCAAATGGTTGTGCCGTGATCGCAACTCGGGGTGTATGGATATTGTGCCGTTTATCTAATTAATTTTCATGATAAAATGTGGTTAATTATTAGTGCGTACGTATTGAGTACGATTTAGGTTCATTTTCCTTCCAACAAAAAGGTATGGAAACGTAAACTTTTTTACAAATTCTCACTGACAATGATTGCTTTTACGGAAACGTCTTCTTTTTGCACTTTTGGCTTTTTGATAAGAATTCGTGCAACAGTTTTAAACCAATGTGTTACTATGAAACGCTTTTTAGGCTCAGCTTTGTTTTAGTACCAATGACACAGAAGGGCCTCCTCCCACCACTTCCTTTTTCCTTCCTCCGCCCTACCCAAACCTCAAACATCTTCGATTTGTTTCCAAGTATCTCTCAAGTCTTTCCATAATTTCCTCTGTTGCCATACTAAGATTCCTCCACTGTAACACTGTTTTTGATGTACGTCTCCATTCTGTAACACTGTCTTAGTATTTTCCCCATAACCATATCGATTATGTACCGGGTGACCCAATAAGATTGTTCCTCGGCCATATCTCTGGAACAGTTCGTCCTATTACTTAGGGGTAAAAAAAATTATTGGGTAAATCGGTTTTGAAGAATATCGCTGGAAAATATTTTCAAGTTCTAAAAATGACCACCAGAGGGCGTAACTGCCATCTTAAAATTGCATTTTCTTTAAATTTCCATAATAAACTAAACATTCTTTTTCTCCACTTTTTTATAGAGAACCCGTTTATCTATCATTTTCGTACACACAAAAACTCAGTTATTTGAAAAACAAAGATGGTGTGGGGCGTTCAATTGTTTTTGCAATAACCTGCTTTAACTTCTTAACCGTTTGTAACAATTTGGTATGCTTGAAAAGAGTATTCCTTGGGCAACAAGAATCAACCAAAATATAGTTAATTTAGTTGCATCCTTCTCCGTCAGGGGACTAGTTTTGACACTATGATCCAAAATTCTAAAAAAATAAAAAAAATCAAATGGATTGACTTTTTTTATATGAAAAAATAGCCAAATAACACCCAAAGAGGCCAGTGAAAACCGTTTTTCAAAATCTGATCAAGATGGCAATTAGTCCCTCTGTTGGTCACCTTGAAAATATTTTCCAGCGATTCTTCATGACCGATTTAGCCAATAATTTTTTTTACCCCTAAGTCCTATGACGAACAGTTCTCGAGATATGGCCGAGGAACAGTCTTATTGGGTCACCCGGTACATATATTAAATACGGTTGGGCTCTAAGTGGACATCTTTGTCTCAGTCCTTTTAAATTGTAGAACACTTCACTTCTAACCGTAGGTACCCTACTTCTTGTTTCTCCTTGGTCGCCTTGATTCTGTTCTTGAAATGGTTATCTATTTTTCCATCCTCTATGATTTTCAATACTTTTTCGCTTTCTACTCTATCAAACGTTGCCTTTAAATCCATGAAAAGCTCCCTTTTCTACAGTTCTCTTTCGCCCAGTCTATGTATACAGTATATTAATATTATTACTATTGGAGAAAGGAAAAAAAGTGTAAGAAGCAAAATAAGTCTACTTTCATTTTCTGATAAAACTACATATTCAAAAAAAAACAAGTGATAAAAAAACAAAAGAGCATCAGAAAACAAATTATTTTTTTTTAAATAAAACGGTCACTTTTTTCTGTAATAGTCTTAAAGATCTTGAAAATCTCTTAAACATTTTATTAGAAATTAAAGCTACAGAAATGTGTTTAAAACCAATCGCAGTAGATGTAGAATTTAAACAAAAACATAACATTTAGGTACAACAGGAAGCAAAGAAAACAAATGAAAAGCAGTTACAGAAATAACTATTGTAACTTAAGGCAAATTTAAATACATTGCACTCGCTTCCTATGTTTTATCATCACATCAAATACAAACGCTTTACATTTTTTCATTATTTGTGTAATTATTAATTTGTTCCATTTTGTTATATTGTTAACTACACTAATTTTGCGACAAACATGACAAGTGAACACCTCTCTTTTGTTTTTGTTTAATTTCCACACTTACTGAGATTATTTTGTTTTCTGATGCTCTTTTGTTTTGCTATCCTTATTTTTTTGAATATCTAGCTTTATCAGAATTTGAAAGTCCTTTTCCTCATCTTGAATAATAAAAGAAATATACGCTTGGACACGCAAAATCAATCACACTGTATACAATCCATCTTTCCTCTTCTCAATCCCATTTTTGTTTGCATCGTTATTCTCTTCCACTTCTCTTTCTAACCCCACAACTGTTATAAGACCTTAGTCCAATACCCCCCAGGCCCTCCGGTTTAGTATTGTTGATTCTTTTAACACCATGATTTTTGCCTCAGGGCTGAATGTATTAACCAGGAGGTCTGGAATAACCCACAGGAAAAAAAGAACAAAGCTCTCTACAACTGCCATAAGATCTTGCTAGTCCAGATCGCCCCCCCCCCCCCCAGAAATATATCGCAAATATACAATTAACTGTTCCTGTTTTCCCATGTTTGGAGGTCTACTATAACACTTATTCAGCGACATCTAGTGTCGTCTTTAGACCGAAAAAGAAATAAGATGTACAGGGTGTCCCATTAATAATGGTCACAGGCCATATCTATGGAACCGTTAATTGCACAGCTTTGGGAAAAAAATTTTGTTAACAAAAGGCGCCAAGAGAAAACGCTGGAAATTATTTTGAAGTTTATAACTTCGCCCCTAGAGGGCGTACGATTCATGGTTAAGTAGAAAAATTCTTTTTCCTAAAATATACCCAACAAGCATGCATAAAAAATACATGCATAGTAATCTTGTATCAATTTTGTATCATTTTGATGCAGCACAAATTGCTCTAGCTCATAAAATATGAGGGGTGGGGGAAGGGGAACATCTCTTTAAGGAATTGCATGCAACTTCGTTTGGGTTTTTCACATAATAGGTCTTGTTGGAAAGAGCTCTCTTCGTGGAATCAGATTTTATATGAAAAGAGTCTATTTAGTAAACGTGATGAGTGGTAGAGGGCGCGATGTGACATTAACATAAACTTTGCAAGTTTTTTTAAAAATTTCAAATGGAACGATATAATTATTATATTATATTATCAAATAAGACGAAAAAGTGAGAATATCAGTGAAAACCACATTATGATATCAGTTTTCTAAGCAGAGATATGGGGAAAATACGAACATTCACAAATTTTAATTGCAATATTTATATTCATCCAAGTTGGATATGAAACAAATGAACACATAGCAACCGATAATTATGTCAAAGTGAATGAGGCGATGGCAGTTCAAAATTAACACTCAATCTAAGTTTTTTAATTATGAGCAACAAAAAAATGATTCAAACTTTAAATCAGAGAAATATGAATTAAGTAAATAATAAAAGAAATAAGAATTATAATTAACGTAAATGTTCAATGTCTGCGATTATTTTCGACACAAAGACGAATCTCTGCTGTGTTGAGAGAACAGTTGCTTTAACTTCAGCCATGGCTATGAATTACATTTCTAATTCTCGTCACCATATCGTTTCTTGTAGTTTGGCCTTGTTAGAAAGACTGTGCGTCTTTTATCCTTTCAAACAAATTTAAGACTAAGCAAGTTAAGTCGAGGGACCTAGCTGGTCATGAAAAAATACTTCCTCTTTCTATCCATTTGACTCTCGCTTACCAAGAAATGTGCCGGGCACCCATCGTGGTGATAATTCGCACGAATACGTTTAATGAAAGGACTGATAAACTTTCTTTTGTTCTGTTTTCTTTTGTTTCAAAGCCAACTTGAATGAGCATCAATATTGAAATTAAACTTTGTGAATGTATTCGTATTTTCGCCAGATCTATGGTTAGAAAACAGATATCAAAATCCTGTTTTCACTGATATTCTCACTATTTCACCTTATTTGATAATATCATATAATAATAATATCATTCCATTTGAAATTACCAAAAAAACCTGCAAAGTTTATGTTATTGTCACATCGCGCCCTCTACCAGAGAGGTCCTTCCAACAAAACCTATTTTGTGAAAATCTGTTAACCTAATCCGAAGTTACAATCAATTCCTTAAAGAGATGTTCCCCTTCCCCCACTCCTCATATTTTATGAGCTAGAGCAATTTGTGCTCCATCAAAATGATGCAAAATTGATACAAGATTACTATGCATGTATTTTTTATGCATGTTTGTTGGGTATATTTTAGGAAAAAAGTCATTTTTCTACCTAACCATGAATCATACGCCCTCTAGCGGCGAAGTTAGAAACTTGAAAATAATTTCCAGCGATTTCTCTTGGCCCCTTTTGTTAACAAATTTTTTTTTCCCGAAGCTGTGCAATTAACGGTTCCATAGATATAGCCCGTGACCATTATTAATGGGACACCCTGTACATAAGGGGTTAAAACGAACCCTCTTGTACTTCTATTGCGCAAAAAAAAAACAATGTGGCGTAGGTGGCCCTGACTTTACACAAACGGCAAAAAGCGAAAGTTCCCTTCTGTTTAACAGTTCTCCCTCTCCCTCATGTCCGATTTCTACTTTTGTAATCTTTTGTAAAAATACGCACAATTCTTATCTAAAGCCCAACACATGCGAACATCTGTTTACAAAATAATTCACTTTTCGCGGTGAGCGCAACTCTTATCGGAACGACTGGCTTATCTGGGTGATCGAGCCACCAGATGCAAGTGAGGGGACGGAGAAATTTTTACAAAATCGGACGGGGTATTTTAAAACATACGAAAGGCCATTAGTTCCATCATTTTGTGTTAATAGTCGCTGAAAACGCAAATATTGCGATTTTTCAGACATAATTCGCTAATAAAGCATTTTGCAATAAAACAATAAGGAAAATGTAGCAAGAATTTTTATTCAACACTCCTTAACTTAAAATTAGAATTATTAAAAAATAGAACTCACGTGCTCAGTGTAAAGTACCTTAGTAATCCACTGCTTGCCTGTACTTATTAGACAAATCGGCAATGTAACCAAAGCGATTATTATAATAATCAGTGTCGCCATCTTTCTTGCGTCTTGCGAACTGATGTGTAGTGGCCAGTTTGTGAAAGTACAGCGAGAGTGCGAACTGTACAGTTTGGTTGTCGACGTATTGAAGCCGTCTAATAATTTGCTCATACAGCAATTTGGTCAAATGGGGTTTGTGCAGTTCAAACGGTAACAAGGAAATGCCCACCAGCAGACAGGGTACCGTCTCATTTTCGATAACACCTGTAATTGTCTTCAAACGGTTTAGCTCGGACATAGACCGGTCAGCTGTCGAGAAGTGAGGTAGAAATAAATCTAATGCAATTCCAAACTTTGTAATAAGTGCCGAATCGTACTCCAAGCCTTTGCATAGTTTACAAATGGCCGCCGCTATCTGCTCGCAGGTCCAATCCAAGTCGACATAATCGACGTAAATTATTGTGAATTGTAATTGCAGCCACTCAGCGAAAGCCTGGTAGGGCTTCAGTAGTCCACCCCAAAGATCGGCGAATTTTCTCAGAGCATGCCTCGGTACCATTTTCTCGTCGATAAATAACTGAGAGAACTGCGTGACAAAATCGTTGACGCACTTACGTCCCTTACTCTCCCATGTACTTGCAATGTACTCCTTGATCAAACTAAACAACTGATCAACTCGAGTCGCCCCCTCCTCGGTGTAGGCGACGAATCGCGAAGCGAACTTCTGAACTGCCACGGATAGCTCCTTGTTTTGGAACAAATATTTTTGGATAATCGGCCAGAAGAGCTCATCGGGTAGCACTGTCATGCTCGACGGTTTGATGGAGGTGAGCAAGTTGATTTTACCCAGATCTGTCTTTTTCGATTTGATAGCGACGTTCTCTAAATAGTCGATCGCAGAAGTGAGGTACGTTACCAAAAACGAAGGGGGAACCTTCGACGTCTGTACTAAAATGTCAACGACCTCTTCGTCGTTCGCGTCGACGCGTTTTAGATTCGATTGGACCAAGTCCCACGAGGAGTCCGAGGGATTTTTTAAGAAGTAACGAAAGGAGGCTTTCACTATGAATTTGTTTATTGACGAGTTCGTTTCGGTGGTCTTGAATTGCTCGAGCATGGCGGAGATTGTGTCGCGGTCCAGAACTTTGTAGGTGAGGTAGATGACGTTTTTACGTACGGAAACGGGGCGGTCGACGAGCGCGTCGTACAGACGCGGGAGGCTGTCCTCGTTTGCGCCGTGCGAGACTGAGTGTAAGGCTCTTTGAATGAACTTGAGATAGTCGCCTTTGCTGAAGTTGTAGACGCTGTCGAGCATCGAAGATGGGGGAATAACGTGCTTGAGGCTGGCGGTTATTGCTTGCTGCAGTAGGTACGTTTCTTGATTTTCATCGTCTACCTCCATCCTCGAGTCTAGGGGGTAGTGCGGTTTGATAAAATTCAAAAAGGTGGGCGGAGACATCAGGCACGCCAGCGCGGTTGCGCAGTTTCTTTTATAGGAAATGCCGTCATTTTCAGTCGCTAGACCCGCTACACATATGGCGATGATTTTCTGTGGAATTTCTAAATGTGTATAGTTCCTCAAGTACATCCAGAAGAATGGTTTAACGCAAGTGTACCACATCGTTACTATACACTTTGTAATAGAATCGAGACTATTAAATACAGTCAAAGGCTTCCGCTTTGCTAGGTGCACGAAAACATCTAGATCTATGTAACCATTGTACATTTGCAAAACATTCATGCACGATTCCAGCTCAGCGTCTTCGAGGTTTAAACGTAACAGTTTCCCTAAAGTTAGATTACCCCAATACCTCTGACTTTCATCTAAATCCCCCAACATTTTAATCAAAGTCTTGTAAGGCACCGGTATTTGACTACGAGGATGTTGCCTATTCCAATCAAGAAGCGTTTCAAAATACTGAATCTCTTTCCCGAGTTTTGCATTGACATCCCCGGCATCGTACAGGTCTGTAATTAATTGGCCATATTTCTCCAGGCAAATCTTCTTCGTCTCTTCCTTCTCCATGCACGTGTACAATGTGGTGGACAAATGAATTTTCTCCGACATTTCCACGATGTAAGCCTTGGCATCTAAATCATTAACAATAAGATACTCCAAATACGCATAAACCCAGTCTTGATAATAATAAGGCATCGACTTTTTCTTCATAAACACACGCACCAGCTCATTCACAGCCTTCCAAACGTTTACGTTAAAATCAACAGGTTTGTAACACCGTTTCAGCGTGCACAAAAACGAGTACAACACACTAGGGCTGGCACTTCGATGTTGGGCCACCATATACTTGCAAACATCTAACAGAGCACGGTCGTCCTTATTAATCCGACAAGTTTCCACGAGACAGCCCACAAGTTCCCCCATTTCCTTAACGTCGTTAGCTTGGGAGATTTTATTCTTGATTAAAGGAAGCGACTTCTCAGTTTTGAACAGACAATTCCAAGCGTCTTCGGATATATGCCCCGGTCTTGGTTTGGAATTCATCCAAAGTTCCCTTTCATCCGACGTCATCATCTCCAACAGTTTCAAATTGATACACTCGGAATGCTGCCACAGTTCGCTTCCGTAGGCCTTTCGAAACGAAGTCAGCAGCAAACTTAACTTCCCAGCCGGTACACGACTCACTATGTCGATGTAGTCGTTTAGCTTACACTTCATTTTGTCGATGGATGTGGGAAGTAACTTCAGGTAGAATTCATTGAAGTCTCCCCCTAAACTCTTCACCATTTGCTTGCGATGCAAGTAAGAGTACAATACGCTCGCGTGGTTAATGACTCGTGCTTTATTCGCCAGGATGAGTCGATTCGTAGATCTCCAACCCACTCGAACAATAAACTGGTACTTCGCAAGCAGCCTGAGAAATCCAGCTAAATCTGTGCGTAGTGCGTAAGTTAGTTCTCTTCGACGATACTCGCAGGGATTAGTCGAAAAATATCCAGCAGCCTCTAACATTTGCTCTAAGAGCTCCGGATGTCTTTTAACAATGAGTATAAACTGTCTCGAGCCCAACTCCACCTTCCACGTTTTAAGGCAGCGCATAATTAAGTCCGCGCTACAACATGGTAGCAACTTGCCCGCCATGTAATTGCCATAACGCCTTTGAACGGCGTAAAACAATCGATCGCCCTTCTCGCAGTTTTCCACACGAAACGCGATCTTGTTGATCAACTTAACCTTTGCATTAAAGGAGATGCGCGGAAAGATCTTGCACACCAACTCCTCCTCGCCGACATAATCGAGAATCACCGCGGCAAACCACGGTTCCCTCAAAATTCGATGAATAAGTATCGGGTTTTCACTTTTGAGTACCTCGATTAACAGAGGCACTCGCTTGAAGTGTAACAGTAGCTGCACTTTGAAACTTTCCTCGAGAGGCGTTTTCGGTTGAATTGTATTAAAGTCGAAAGCTGTACCGAGATGGGGTAGGAGGAGGAACAAATTCTTTCGTCGTTCTCCGATTGTTATTCCTTGTAGGGAATGGAAAGCGACTCGGAATTCTTCGGATGAGAGCACCATTTTAATTAACAAGTCTTCTGTAACAAACACTCTGTATAAATTACTTTCTTTTCCCACTTTTAAATCAGAACTGAAACCGACATATGCGCGCGTGAAGTATTACCGAGATACATTTGTATTGGTTGCGTAAACAAGGTCTTGTTGACGTTATTTCGGTTTAAACACCTAAAATAATGACGGGACACCCTGTATATGAGAGTGTTTCAATTTAGTCTGCAGGAGAGAGAGGGGGTAGTGGTATTTTTTCTATTAAAATTGTTAATGTTAAAATATAGGCACATCTCGTCGTTTGCGATCAGAGTTTTTGTTATCAGGCGAGATTTAATTAACGCACGTGTTTTTTTTATCGCTGTTAGAACAGATACCGGGACAGCTGGAGTTATCACGATTGGCGCTTTATCTCTAAAAAACCAGAAGAACGAGATTTATGTTATTATGGAAGTGGTGTTTCGTTAAATACTGCAAGCAAGAGACTGCTAGCTAGCTAGTTCGCGACGGTTGGAAAGTGTACGTTTCTTTAAGTTATTTTCAATCAGGCGTTGCGCTCTATTTGATTGATTGAATGATGCAGCTCGCCATTTTCATAATATTTCTGTACAGAAGAAAGTTAATTAGTTAACTGAAGTTGTTACAAAGTTGTGAGAAGCCGAATGCGCGTTATGATTCGGAAAAAGTTATTTTTAGTGTACCGTGAGACCTTTGTTACAGTTAAAGGTTTGTCCGATATCCACCCGCAATTCGTCGAGTGAATGTTAATTAGTTAAGTGGCCAAATCGAAAAACGACTCTGTTTCTTAGTTCTAACGGCATTTTATGAGTCATTTTGGCCACATGGTTTTTTAGATGTAAAAAAATGTGCTGAATCCGATTCTGGATGTTGCCAGGCCGAATTTTGCACTAGTTCACAAATACAGCACGATGGCGCCACTATCTATTGTATTGTGTGCTATTTGGTATTAAATTGTTTTCCATAATTTATTACTTATATATACGTAAGAGTTGGTTAATTAACTTCATAGCTAGTTCGGAAAATGTAGGAAAGTATATCCTGTGGTGATATATAGGGTGTCCCAAAAAAGCTGTGAATTAATTTAAATTAGGGTTTTACATTTTCCTCGGCAAATTTTGTTTGTTATTAAATTTTGTGCTTTTTAATAACCGTTGGTAAGTATTTAGGTTCTTTCCAACTAAATATATATAAATAAAAATTGCGTAATTTTCCAATGAATTCAAATCTGCATTTAAAAAAACAAAACCACATCGCATTTTTCAGATGATAACAAAAATGTGACTTTGATATGGAACACCTTGTGTATTAATACATAATATGACAGGTTATTAAATTCTTTATAATACACTATAGCAAAAATATTTTAAATAACCAACATTTTCAAATTATTGACGATCTCCTAGGACGTAGAGAGTTTGTAATTTTGCGGTGCCTGTCCATCTGTCCCGAGATCTGTTCATTAGCACGATACCTCGAAAACGAATAGACCGCCGCCGATTATGATGAAAGTTCGCGAATTGGCAATGTACGTAAAAAAATAAAGAAGGCCCTTTTGACATCTCCGTTAGTTATAAACCGAATTGCATGAAATTCAATATGGGCATAGTCGAGGGCATAGTTTTAGCCATATAATACGCAATGCCAAAAGTTGGGCCTAATCAATTCTACATTCACAGTGCCCTTTTTGAATTGCAAACTTTTTTATTTATGAAAGTATTTAAATAAAATTTGATACATAGGCACTTGGAATAAAAGCAAATCTAACACCGGGTTCAAAATTTGGTTTTTCACATGCTATAGCCACTACCTATAGTAGTATCTCGAGTAGTTTTAAATGGCATTAAATGTAAATTAATTACATTAACTTAGCGTTAACCACATTAAATTACATTAACTGAATTAACTTGAAATTAACTGCATTTACAGAACATATTAACTACATTAAAAGTTAATTTTAATTCATTAACTACTATTTGTACACCGAATTAACTAGGTGGTTTACCCCTCGGTTCCCCCCGACACAGTGCAGCGGCGCCACTTGCTACACTCAAATTGTTTATTTACCGCCCACCAAGATACAGACTTTATTTACAAAAAATATGATTTCATTTTTTGGGGTAATGTTCAGAAGTAACTTATCTAGAAAACTGTCGGTTTACTTTATCCACAAATCGTCTTGATCGAGAGTAAAACAATAAAACAGGTTAGCGCAATAATCGGTGCAAAATATCTAATCTTTAAACAGCCGGTATTCAGTTGCTATAAACTTTTTTTAAAAAATGGTCCCAACATTTTGTAGATAAAGGTCTAAATTTATAAAATATAAAATTTATATATTATTAATATGACATTTTATTTTTCAAAAACAACTTGAATTTTTTAGGCGGACGCTCTTATGGAAACTTACATTGGGTGCAGTGGGCACAGAAGGACGTAGAGTTGCATCTTCTCATTATGCTGTTGCCGGGGACTTTTTGTACCATACATATTGTCTCGCAAATGCGATAAGGGACACTGAAAAATCGAATGGTCAGACTAGTCCTCCTAAAAACTTGGCTTTAAATAAATTGTGCTAGTTTCTAAAAGTGCGCAAATATCTACAAGTGTCTTTCCGACTGCTTCAATCGTAAAAAAATGAGCAGAATGATGAAGAAATTGAAGTTCCGTTAAAATTATTGAACGAAATATAGGTAATACATTTGCCGTCAGAATTATCTCTATATTATTACCGTGTTGTCTGTATAATGTACCCAATATATAAGTTTTGCAATTTTCTGTGCTTCCTGTATGTTTTTTTAACACCTCAATCCGAAAAACTATGTAAAATGCGTCTGGCATAAAAATTTATGTATTTGGCCGCCATATTAGCCGCCATTTTGAAATTAGCCAAAAATCAACTTGGCAACATTCGAATTCGGGTTCAGCAGACATTTTTACCCTTATAAACGCACGTTTCCAAAATGGCTCATTAAATGCCGTTAGACTTACAATTTATTAACTATTTTGACATCGCTCCCGTACTTTTAAGACGTCGGGGAAGGACGTAGTTCATTAAAAACAGTTTTAATTTTCGAATGTTATCGCAAGGACATGGTTGGTTTTTCACTGCAGTTTAGATTATCTGCCGTATTTTTAAGCCAAATGCTCTGTATCGTACTAATGATTGATGTAACAAATTACTTTATTTGCAATATATTTTAATAATAACAAAATGTAGTATTCTATGAGAATCTCTCGTTCAAATAAACACAATAAAGTAACTGTCAAAACCGTGATCAAATTTTTTGCAATGGTGGAAGTAGGAAAATAATCAGAATAAGCACATACTCTGCCCACACTCAGTATAGCTGAATTATTGAGTTGAAATAGCAGTAAAATGGTTGTGCAAGAAGCACTGAATGACAGTGTCATCACACGCTTCCAAATTCATTATAATCGCCTTGTATTGCTCCAAAGTCTCCTTTAATGTTGCAGGATACTGGCTCATTAATAAAATAACTAACGCACTGCAAGCAATCGTCCGTGTGGTTTTGTACAACGCTTCGAAAACCCTGTAGCGGTTCTCCTCCAAGAACTCCGTATTTTTCACAAAGTAATCGAAAACGCCGACTAACTTATCACAAAAAGGCGCGACAGCCATCAACCCGTAACTCTCAACCAGAGCATTGCAAAGTTTTCCGATTCTCGCGGCAATCTCATCCAACGGTAGCTTCTTGACATAAATCCTAGTCAATTCCAAATGCAAATACTCGTCGAAAGCGTCGTGAGGTTTAAACGACCCGTTCCATTGCTGCACGAAAGTGTCGAGCGCCTTGAAGTTAGTCGACGAATCGGTTAAAAATTCCAAACAGAATTGAGTAACAAAATTGACAACACTCGCCCGACCTCTACTGTTTATATCACAGTCGCTCCACGCCTTCGCGACATACTCCTTTAAAATCGGAAACACTCCGACAATATCGGCATCGCTGCAGTAAATCAAATACTTGCACGTAAACGAATGAACGGACGCCTGGAAATTTTCCTCCTCGTTCTTCCACAGGTAATTCGTCACGATACCTTGGCAAAACTCGCCCGGTAACGAGCCGATATTGTCGCGCGTGACCAGATCGAGCAACTTCTCCATGTTGCCGACGTCGCGACCGTCCAAAACGCCCCAGACCAACGTGAAGTAGGCGGAAAAATAAGCGGCGGGTATCTTCTTAAGCAACAGCACCTTGCGTACTTGTCGATCGTTCAAGTCGACCTTCTCGATTACCATTCTGAGTAAATTCCAGGAGTCGTCGTCGGGATTTTGGGCGAAAAACTTCGAGCACGTCTTCAAGATGAAGCTGTGGAAGGTGGCGGTTTTGGCGATCTCCATGGTGGCGGAGAGGATTTGAAATGCGTGCGGTTTGTCTAGAGTTCGTAGGGTGAGCTGTACGGCCTGTTTTTGAGATGAAGTCGTGCACTTGCCGAGATCGGCGAAGAGCGGTGGGAGTTTGGGCTCGTTCAAATTACCAGCGATCGACTGAAGCGAGTTTTGTACTAATCTCCCATTTGATTTGCAAAATGACGGCAGACAGTTTAGAATAGGTGGCGCCGGTGGTGAATTCTTGATGCACCTCCCTAGGTGTTTCCAAAGTTTACTTTCCGTTCTCTCCCCGTCGGTCTTTGGTATGTGCGTGTCAACCAAATTTGCGTAGCAGTGTGGAGATAGCAGGTATGACAAACCAGTGGTGGCATTTTGCATCACGTAATCGGTAGTGGAGTTTTTGTGACTTTGCAAAAGATCCGCGATCTTTTCTGGTAGCTGCAAGTGGGAGTAGCTGCGAAAAAGCTGCCAAAAGCGTTGAGATCGTGTCAGCTGGTACATTGGAAGCAAATTGGCCATAACATCACCGATGGAATCAACTAAGGTTTTTGGTTCATTACAGCAGAGCCATTTTAAAACATTCAACTCGAGAAACTTATTGGACGGCGCCAAGTACAAAGCCAACATCTTGTTTCGTTCCTCCGTATTTTGACG